GATATCGAACACTATGTAGCAGGTGATGCTCTTCAGCGTTAAGCTGGAATGAATGGTCTTTTCAGTAATAACTCGTAGTTTTCTTACTTGAGGAAAAGGCGCGATGTAAGTGGTTACTTCGCTGTCGCTGCTCAGCAATCTGTTTGCTGTGCGCACCTCGTATGTTGACGTCGCGTTGCGTAGGAGCTTCTCGTCGTCAACCTCTCCTTTGGCAACGTAAGCTATTCAAAGAGCTTTCGGCCTTAGTCTTACTGCAGAGCTACCGGGCTCATAACCTATTCACAATAAAGGAGCAGGCCAGTGGAATGCATGTATTATTGACTATGTAGATTAATTGTACTAAGGTAAAATCTAACTACGAAGTGGAAGTGATATATGCACAGTAGCTTAGAGCACGTGCCACAACTTCCAACAAATTAGCAATTTAAAAAAGATTTACAATTTGTTTCACTCAATATGAATTCTTTAAAACTAATTATATTCACTAACATATCCTTTACCAACAATAAAGATTTATTCTTTTAGATTAAATATATTATTATTTTAATAAATAAATATAATAAAATTAACATCATTTATTAATTATCCATTAAGTATAAAAGAATCACTAGAAACATACTAACATCAAAACTCTACACTATAATTTTAGATTTTAATATTAATATAACAATTAAAGGTATAATTAATAAAATCTTCCCGAACCATAAAATCTTACTAATCATATATATCACCTCCAAATCATTTTATAATTATCTTATAAAACTCGGAATTATTAATAAAAAGAGATTAATAATTAATGTAATAACAATCCGAAAAATATATAAAAAACAAAAGATTATAAAGATTAAATGAATTAATAGAAATTCTAACCCTACAGATATAATGACTAAATCCAAACCATATCAAGCCCTAAAAAACTTAATTAATAATAATACTATAAAGATTAAAATTATAAAATAGATTGAAAGAAATTAGAAGAATGAATAATTACACAGACAAAAGAGATATTAACTAAAAGGATATAATTCAACAACTTTAAAGAATTACTAATATTAGGATAAAGATTATATAACTATACTAGTATTGATACTAATATCTTTCAATATTACAGCAATACATTTTGTAGCCCTAGCTTTTAGAATCTTAAGTAATATAACAATAGTGTGAACCATAGTACTATATTGACTTCACCATCCCTATGGTGATACCAACACTTTTGTTTTTATATTTTAAAATCTCATTGGAAATTAGATAATGTTTTACCACTGTATAGAAAGTTTTCTTTTTAATTCCTTAAAATGGAAAAGTTATGAAAGATTGAAGTTAAATAAATATATTAAATTTTCTAAATTTTCTAATATTTATACTTGATATTCTTGATATTCTTGAGAATAAGCGAATTTACCCTTCTAAAAATGGTCTTTTTCTATTTCAAATATATATAACTTTTTCATTTAGAAATAAATCTTTATCAGAATATATGTATTAAAAATTAAGGTTTTTATTTAATAATATGTTTAAATTTGAATATTAAAAGTATTAAATCCATTGAATTATTAAAGATCGAAAAAGTATTCAAAAATAAGTACTTTTTGAGTAAATTCAATAGGTTTAATTGCTTTTCTTTCAATCATTTCAATTTTAATTTTTTAGAAACTTCTATATATTATAACTATTACATTCATTAATTATCTATAGCAATTATAGCTTATTTTATTTAAAAACATTAAAGTTATAAATGTTTTTAGTTTATACTATACATCTTTAATTATTTTATTGAGTAGAATAGTTTGATTTGATTTGATTTGATTTTAAAATAATTTAATTTAATTTAATTCATTTTATATATCGATTAATTGATAATTATATTCTTCTTTCTTTCCTTCTTTTCTTTAATTTCTTAATAATAAAGATTATAAATCTTTTTTTAATTTTTTTTTTAAAGAGGAGTAGTGTTATATGTTTAGAATATTTAGATTAGAGTTCTTTTTATATATGTATATATATATATATGAAGGGCGAAGATTCAATACCTGTACATAATGCCCTTTATGAACCTATAGTTCTTTTATTAGAATCTATAAAGCTAAGATTGAATCATCGACTTTCTAGTAATCTATAGATTACATTGATCCTATTTTTTCGAATTATTCCCTTCCAAAGGCCCGATTATTCTTTCATTAATCTTTTCGATATTCTTGTATAATATAAGATTAATCTTGTTAATTAAAGAATAAGTAATATATAATAAAGAAAAAGAAGTATTAGAAAAGAGATGAAAAGAAATCTCTTAAAAAAAATAAGAAGGGATTTTTCGAATTTTTCAAATTTATAGTTTATAAGAACACTAAAATAAAGATTTAGGATTTATTTAAAAGAGATTTGAACTATCTAAAGTCTTATATCATTTAAAACAATATATTTCCATTTTAAATAGAATAAAAGGATTATACAGATAATAATTATGATTATATAAAGAGTGATTATAAAGCTATGTACAATATAACTCGAAATACTTTCTAAAGTGTATAATAGAACTATAACATTATAAAATCAAAAACTCAGGATTATATATTAAAGAATTCCTTTTTCCCTCTATAATTTTTGAACTCTTTAATATATAATATATTATTTTAAATCCTTAGCTTAGTATATCTCAATACCCTTCAAAAGGTCTCCCTAGACGAAAATTTATACTACTACTACTACTACTATATATATATATATAATAAAAGAAATACTTAAGGAATATAGAGATCGCAACTAATACACTATAACATAAAGAATAAATAAATCGTATATAAGAGATTAAATAAAACGTATCATAAAAGAAAATAATAAGAAAGAAAAGAAACAAATAAAGATACGATTATTATAGAATAATAATAAATAACAGCAGGGTTATACAAAAAGAGAAGCAATATATAATAATATGATAATAAAAAAGAGAACGAAATTCTATAATACCTTGAAAAGTATTTATAATATATATACTATTAACTTATAGATTGAAAATAAAGTATTATACTAATCGTTTTCGAAAATACAAATATTATAAACTATATATAATTAATATAATAGAACTTTATTACAACAAAGTTGAACAAGCTTTCAAAGAGAATAAGTTTTGTTATTTTTTTCTATTTATTTTATATAATTAGTATAACTTAGCTATAGATAGACTAAATCAATTGAGAATTTACTACTACTATATATAACACTTGAGGTTTTTGATAATAATAATAAATTATTAGTAGAGATGTTAGAAATGATAATAGAGTTATAATTACATTTATCTTTATAGTTAGGGTTATAGAATAAGAACTTGAATTGCTTAATGACTTCTCATGAGAGAAAATGAGAAATAAAAATATTCAGACAACATCTAAACTCCTCGAGGTCATAGATTGGAATCGTCTCGTATGCGATTAATTGGTATGATGTGTGATGGGAGTTTGTGAAGTTGATGGTGTGTGGTGAGAAGTAGAGTAGTAATTGAATGTTATGGATTGTATGATTTACGAGTTCTTGACTACTGGGAAATGAAATACCGGTTTAGAGGTAGGTATGGAGGGAAAGAAGTGGTACTCTTGTTCACTTTGTGAATGTAATTTCATAATGAGGAGGGAACGCAGAGAAATGGTGTATTTAGGTTCTGATAGAACAGACTCTGGTATAACGCGTGAAATGTATATTCGATAGCACACACCAGATACTACAATAGATAATATATCATTTCGTCTTCTTACATAGAGCTCTATCTCCATATGTACCAGCATTCTCAGATATTATTATCCATAGAAATAGATAGACTGAATCGTTTATGGATTGACTACTATTATTATCACGATGCACAGAAAGTCCCAGAACACTCAAGCACCAAGCCCCCTAGTCTTCTTCTCTCCGCGCACATATGTTCCAAACCCCTCCCTTCACAATACCCATCTAGAAAAGAAAACCACAACCTCCCAAAGCTCTAAACTAAATCAGTATTTCACGTGATTGATCAGTTCAGTTTAGAAAGTTTAAAAGGGGTTAGAATATCTAGCTCGCTACTACTCCATCCACTATTCTTGATACTAACGCTAACCGAGGAACTTTAGCTTTAAGACTTAGGTTCACGATGAAATTTTGTATGAGGGGGGATATGGTGAGGTAATTTGAGATTGAGTGGTTTTTTTGGTGGATCTGTGAGATATTGAGGAGAGATGTTGGGAATTTCGATGTTTGTATAGAGGTTTTGTTAGGTTTGTGAGGAGGAAAATTCTATTCTATTATGTGTTGTATTTGTGATTAAGTTTTACAATTCGAATATCAATTATATGAATTCCTCCTGAAGATTTCGTGTAGCTTTACCCAATAGAAATCTCATTACATTATCATTCTTTTCCCGTCCCAGTGTAGTGATCGACACACAAGACACCAATATACCACCTAATACATATACCAGAAACAGAAATATACCCTAAAGCTAGATCCCCCTAACAAATTTTGATATGTGTCAATGACGAAAGAGGATACCTGAGTAAGAAGTAGCGTGAGACTAGTCCACGTACTAAAGTGAAAAGGAAAGATGGATTTACACTAGGAAATTTTTTCGCGGGGTAGTCTTGTTCGGAATTGTATATAAAAGGTGATTGTTTTCCTGGATTTCTTTTTTTAAACCTTTTGTTACTCTGTTCTACTTCATACAATCTACTTTCAGATATCTCTGGATCTTCAACCATCTTCGACATCATACTCTTAATATCACCCGATCTCATCTCCTTTCGGATATCTTATCTTTTCTGTGATAACTCTCTATCCGACGGCTTACTAGTATCTTACCTCTGATATATTCATATCACTCAACATATCAGATATCTCTAGAATCTATCAAACATAACCACACACTTTCGACATCTTACTCTCAATATCACCCGATGTCATCTCATCATACTAAACGAGTACATCCAGAACAAATCTCGAATCAAAATCTCCCCTCACAACAACAGCACAACATGACCTCCCCCACGGACCTCACAGAAGACATGACGATCTCGTCCCCCCTTACACAACAAGAAGCCCAACCATCATTCCACCGCTTCATAGAACTCCCCAACGAGATCCGAGCCAAAGTCTGGAAATACTGTTTACCCGAACCACGAATCGTGCACATGTCATCAAAGCACACACGGGCACAGCTGTATTTCTTTCTGCAGCGCCCCGAAACATGGATACAGAGACGTCTCGAATTTTCCTTTTACGAAAATGGGAATGACCTATACCGAGGCGACCAGACACAGCCCGAGAAATCTCCTCTTCGACATGTCTGTCAGGAATCTCGCAAAACCTGGCAGGATAGCTATAGCATACCCGAGATCCAATTGTCGCATCAAATGAGAGTCAAGTTGGATGTGCAGCCGCAGGTTTTTAGTCGCTGCAGAAATGGTGAATGTATATCGCTCCGGGCTCGTTATCCCGCTCCAGCCCATATGATACCACACAGTCACAAATATTATCAGATGTCGGATGGGAGGTTATTCTACCTTATTGTTCGTGGTCTTATTGATATGAAGCGCGATACTTTGATCATGGATCCCGTACTTTTTTCCTTGCTCAATGGGGATTTGGGATTAGATCTTAACATCTCAAAACTAAGGTCCATAGCATATACTTCCAGCATTGAGCATCGTCCAGCGTGGAAGCCACCGAGAGATGATGGAAGGTATCAGATAATCGAGGACTTTCAACTCTTTTTATCTGAACTACACGATGGCTTTCATGTGAAAGATCCCGATATTAACGAGAATCTTGTCGTGGAACAAGCGAACGATGCAAGGGATGCTCTCGTGAGTATTGAGAAAGTGGAAGATATGCCTATAGAGAAGAAGTATATCGCAAGCAGAGATATGTGGAACTTCATTACCAAGTGCTGCCCACAAATCTCCAGTATTCAATACATCCTTCTTGGGGAAAGAAACACTGCCATCTACTCAAATATGGGAGATAGGGAAATCTTCGGTTGGGGTAATCTACATTGGCTAAAGTATCAATGGGAAATCCACGAGCATCATCTCTTGCCACTCTATCCTTCCGTCCGGAAGATTATCATGAGCCCGGAGAACACACCAATACACAGTCAGGGCTGGGGGATTGAAGCCAAATCCGGGTTGCCGATTGTTGGAATTCAACATCATTTTAGCACTAAATTTAACCACGGGGTGCAATTGGAAAAGGATTTTCAAGATTACTTGAAGCAATATGAGCGCTCTGGTAATCGTAAATTCTGGCACGACTTAAAATTTCAAGTTTGTGCTTTAGGAGATGCTGTGTATCTAGGTGATTTCTATCAAATTGCCCAAGACCATGATCATGCAGACACGGACATGGATGGAAAAATTGTCGACGTAGAACCCGAAGGTGAAATACCATTTGAGTTTACCAGTGGTTATGTCTCACCATCTTCTTCGTCTTCGTCTCTACCTTCCAATCCAGAAGAATGCGAGTCTGAAAACTCCATTCCTCAAAATAAGGGACAGATAGTCAAAGCTCCAACGAGAGGAGTTGAGAGAAGTTTTCTTTGTCTGGAAATGGGTATTTATATCCACTGGGATCCCAGGGGAGCACCCGTTCAAGTCACTCGAAGAGTACGACAGTGAAGGATTTCTTGACAGAATCTGGGGAAATCATTTGCGGTAGGTTCACTTGACCTCTCCAACGTTTGACATCTGATCTAACTAATGGTGTAGATCTCGAATATATGTTTACATATAATTTTTGTTAAGAATTAGATTGATATTACAGCAGCATGGATTTATTGTTATCCTTATTGTAGAAGAAAAGAATGAGATAGGAGGAAGTGGCAAAAAGAACAAAACATAAAAAAGCTTATGTTATAGCGTTTGTTAATTAGTGTTCGTATAGATTTTAGAAAGGAAAAAATTGAAAAAAATGAATTGCAAAAAATGACATCAATATTCAATGATTTAATGAGTTGTATCTGCTTTCTCAAACGACAATATCTCCTTGAATATTGTAAGATCTTACTTAATACACACAAACTGAAATTGACAGACAGAAACTGACAGACAACAATCAACGGGCAATTTGAAAAAAACAATCAATTCACAAGCCCAGATCTAACAATGAACTTCCTATCCGCATGATATCAACTTCAGGTATAGCGCTACAACTTACACTGCTCACTCTGACCACCCACTCTCTTTCTTTTCTCGAACCCGGGCCTCAATCCATATCTTGAACTCAAGAATACACTAGCTCTCCAACACATCAACGCCGCCGTTCATTGAACCGCCCCCACCCCCAACCTCGTGAACTTTCGATGTAGGCCATGTCCTTAATGCTTAACGACTTCCTTATGATATGACGCTTTTGCCTATTACCAAACGTTGTTAGCTTATGTACTTCATCCCTTTACCCTCTTTTCAACCATTCACTCTCCTCTCCCATCGTCCCAGATTTCGAAGCCCAAATCCCCTTTTCCCTCACTCTCCCTCTTATCTCCCCATCTCCCCACAACCCACCCCAACACCCCAACACCAAAAACCACATTCCTCACCAAACCACCTCCTCTCCTCTCCTCTCCAATAGCCACAACCCCATCTCCAACATCCCACAAAAAGGCACTCTCGAACAAGAAAAAGAAAAAGAAATCCCTACATCATGACCATGTTTCTCCATCTTATCACCCACCGCCTTCACAGCGGCATGTACACGCGTACTAATTGGCATATTGCGATCTTTCGCTATACCTAGCATTCCAACCTATTAGCCTGGTAATCCACTCCTGATGTCCTGATGTCCTAATGTTAAGAAAGAAGAAAAGAACTCGCTCTTATTAATCTCCTTGCTACTTTCCTTCCCTCCTGCCTTTGTCTTTTCCGCAACGTAATTCGAGGCATTTCTGTACCGAGCAAAGACATTGTATTAGTATCTTCTCGTTATTTCCAACCTCTCCCTCCTTTCAACAATTCCAACTTTCCTATCCAGATCTCTACAATAACAAAAACAATATCCCATCCCAATGCCAATCCATAAATATAATCTCAAACGTGAACTTCAAGCCTGACAAAATCTCGAAACCGAAAGCACAAATCCCATAAAGATTCAGATCCAGATCGAGAGACTGAGTCTTAAATCTTGACTCTCAAATCTCAACCCCCCTTCATCCTCCCAACTCCCAACTCCCCTCCCTAATCCTCCACCCAGATCCTCAGAAGAAAGAAAGAAAAGACGAACTTAATAGAATGCATATTTATCTATCAACGGATTAGCGTATTTATGTTTCCTTTTGAGAATACTCGTTCGTTCGTTCGCTCGTTCGTTAACAGGGTAAGTAACTTTGACTCCTTCGGTTTTGCTGATTTCTGATTTCTGATTTCAAGTTGAAAAGTTGAAGAGTTGCAGAGTCTAGGATAGGTAGATAGATGTATAGATGGACAGAGTGATTTATAAAAGCGTCCAATAAATCCAACAACCAAGCCCAGGCCCAAACTCAAAGATCCTTTCGAGGTGATATTTATTTCTTTGTATGTATGTAGGTAGGTAGAAAGAGAGAGGTATGAAGAGAAGTAGAAGTAGGTATTTATTTCCTCCCCGCGTGTATCTGAACGATATATTTTCGTTCTGTACTTTCGATTTGTACTATCGATTTGTATGTTCGTTCTCGTCGTTCTGTACCCAATATTTTATGTATACAAGTCTTGCTCAAATACCGTAAAATATATCAAGAACCAATTTTTAAAGCAAATCTCATCTAGAATGAAAGAGATATCCAAGTCTTTATATACTCACCCACTCACCGACCTCTCTACCTCCCCAGCCATACCTACCCAGCCATACCTACCCAACTAACCCCTCTCTCTCCATCTTACCTTCCTTTCTCTTTCCCTCTCTTTCCCTCTCTATCCCTCTTTCCCAGATCCCATCACAAAACCCAGAAAAACTCCCCAAATCTAGACCACAAGACTACACACAAATGACGTACCCCCCTGACAGCTCGTCAGCCACACACTCTTTTTCAGGATTTCTCAAAAAAGCATAAAAGATTAAAAGGTTAAACGAATCAAACTCTTAGAGACCTATCAATTCATCACACGGAATAGAATAAAAATGAATCCATGGCAAAATATCGTATTCTACTAGGTACTCCTACCCTACCATATTACTATCCACCCACTCACCCATTGAATTCCACTCTAGCCATCACAATTACCTGTCCGAATAAAAATCTGAACATCCATTGATGAGACAGCGAGGGAATCCATATCGCCAAATATGAGATCAATACGTCTTTATCTAGACATACGTATCCCACATAATCAACACCATCATCCACAATACTAGCGAATCTCGAGGTGAACCACCCGCGAAACGATTGATTGATTGATTGATGAATATAATAGAACTGTGCCTCCACCCATACCCTCATATAAAGCCCATTCCATTCCATTCCATTCCATTGCGTCCCATCCCATCCCCCCAGCCAATCATTCCAAATCACTCCCACCGTAGCAAAAAACAAAAAGCCTTCCACCAAATCCACGACCCATCATCTCCCAAAGCGCCAAGAAATGCGTATATACAAATACTACGCCTTTACAATCCCATCGCCCCCTCGCTTATGGAATAGATATCTATGTACCTTGAAGACAACCTCCATGTACTCATTCATTCATTCCCTTCCAAAAACCGATTGATATGCGAAAGACGATTCGTAATGAACTGGGTATGTACGTCCATTAGTTATTCATGCCCACTCCTTAACTCCATTTCCCAATGATTGGATATATTGATGTACGTTCCCTGACCTCTATTTAGGGTGTATCGTATGCCTGATATCCTTAAAGTGATAGCTTATGAAGTGCTATAAGATACTGGGTTACGTGGTAAATCGAACGAGTATCAAGGAAATACTGCATCCAATACCTCGTCGTCATCACCGTCATTTTCATCGGGATTTAACGCAGTAGCATTCATCATTCCAGACATTATCTGGTCATCTTGAGCTCCTAGAGGCTGTGGTGAATGTGAAACCTCTTCAATAGAAAGGGCTCCTTCGTCCTCAGGTGCTACCTCATTTGACTCCATAGTCAAATCTCGAGTCAAAAAATTGCGTAGACCATTCACACCAGGTCCAGAAAAGACACAAAATACATTGCGTTGATGTTCGGTGAATTCTGAGTGATGTTAATAAATTGAAGGAAAGCATAAAAGTGAAGAACTTACCTGCAGGAGCCTCTCTACAAAATTGTTCGAGATCACTTCGAAGAAAAGCGTGAACACCAGTCAAACTCAGATGTGTTAATTTTGAGCAATTCCTAAGTAGTAATATTATACTCTGTATTTTGTTAGTGAAAGATCCTCATGCACAGTTATCTTCCACCTACTTGGAGTGTTAAATTAGCACAATAGCTAAGATGTACTCTTTCGAGACAACTTCCATTATAGGCTGCTTCATCGATATGATGTCCTCGGTGAGCCAATTGTCGTTGTTTTTGTGCTACGGCTAATGCTATGACACTTTCATCGGTAATATTTACACACTTGACTAAACCAATACGCCTTAGCTTAGGAAGAGTAGCGAGTTTTGTGACGGATGCATCTGTGAGGTGAACACAACAACCTAGATCAATATAACGAATCCGATTGCATGCTTGAACAAGTTTGATGACGGCAGCATCAGTAATTTGTCCACAATGTCCAAGATGAAGGTAGTGAAGGTTTTTTCCCAGCCTGCTAATGGAATGAACAGCGTGGTCCGTCAAGAGTCTACATTTGGCAAAGACTAAATTCCTCAATCTTGGAGCGACGGCTATAATCTTCTCAACGGCAGCATCTGTGAGTCGATGACAACTTGTGAGATCCAATATTCGTAAATGATCATATGTCGCTTTATGAGGTAGGTTAAGGAATGCCAAATCGGTAATCAATTCACAATTTGCTAACCGAAGTTCCCGGAGAGCATTTCCATGTGTGATGAGATTAGTTACTGGGTCGTTTCCAATATTTCTACATTGGTGGAGATCGATTTCGAGGATGTTACGGCAGTTTTGAGCAAATGCCATGATAGCCCTGTCGTCTAGTTGCTCACATTCGTTCAACTTGAGCTAAAAATTATGTCAGTATAAATCTTGAATCGATTTCAGGCAACTTACCCGTTTGAGGTGATGACAACTCTCCGCCACTTTCACCATCGATTCTGAAGTAATCCCAACGCACTGCGATATGTTTAAACCTTGTAATCGACGGCAATGCTCCGCCAAAGTGAACATGGAAGTGTCGGTAATTTGTTTCACTCCAGAAATATCCAGAGCAAGTAAGTGACTGTTATCGGTGATTAATTCGGTCAATCCACTATCTGAGATACCCTCGCAGTTGGTCAATGTTAATCTTTCCACCTTTGTGCATACGGAAAGAGGTCGAACAGTTCCATCACTGACGCGATCTGCTAAAACCGCCAAGTTTAATCTTTTGATGAAATCTCGATATGCGAAGTAGGGATTTTCTAAGGTGAGTGTATTGCAGATGTGCCCGAGTTTCGGAAACGTCGAGCATGCCGGTCGATGCCATAATAAATCCACACTGTTCCTAGCCCATTTCTTACATACTCGCATGCAAGACAAAATATCGTTTGGATGGGTGAGTTTTGCGAATATGTTGATGAGAACTTCTGCGGGTAGTCTATTGGATGCCGATATACATGTCTCTGTAACAGCCATATCTTGAAAAGTCGGTACACCGATTGAAGATTGTGAATCGTTGTTGCCAGCGAAGAAATCGGATTCTTCATAATCGGCACGCGCGGGGGAATTACTTGTCGATGAATGCGAATCATCACCTATATCAGGAGTCGCACGAGATGGAAAACCGGAGTTGATGAGAGGCATCCTCGTAGGTCGACCCTTCATCGTGATAAATGAAGGGAGATGATGTAGTTGGGTATCTGGAGTGGGAAGCAGTGATGGAGCAATGGCCGGGATGGGTTTCTAGAATTTGGCGCTACGTTTTCAGGTAGTTGATGAATTGATATCGAGACCAATGTCGTTCAAGGGGGTGAAATGAGGAGGTTGCTGACAATTGTGGGTTGCTCAGCCTCGTCGATATCATGGAAGATTTTCCCAGGGTTTTGGGTATGTAAGGGAGGATAAAAATGTCGCGATTTCGTCGATTTCTGGGAATAATTATAAACGACGAAATTGAAACCCTTCCTCCCGAAATATTCGAATTTTGAAAAGTATTTGTTGAGGAGGTTTGAAATTATTTATCGGTTTTGCTTCCAGGGAAATTGAGCGATGGGAACAAGCAATATTTGATTGTGTTGTGTTCTTCCTATTTATTAATGTTTGAAGTTTGGAGGCTTTGGCTTGGACTTTGCATTGGCTTTTGGTTGCAGGAAGAAGTTCCGTTCTGGATGTTGTGCTTTTACAGGGTAATTAAATGTGTGTAAGGAGGATTTGATGGGATGGTGGTTTGAGGTGAGGTAAGAAGAAGCTTGATAAGGGAGAGAGTGATGGATCAAATGTGTGTGTTGATCCGGTTCTTATTAGTAAGCAACACAATTGATATATGTTATATGTGAAGATTTGGCTGGAGAACGACAACATTCAATCTATTAAAACGATTTAATAAAGATATCAAGATTTCTTTCATCAATAGAAAGACCTGATACCTCAACAATTACAAATTGAATCCATCAGAAACACAATCATCAAATCATCTATCTACATTCAAACTCCTTGAAGTGATGAAAACTATTCTAGGTGCATATCATCCTATCAAAAACATATAGAATTCTATTTATAGGCTTGAATGTGAATAACATCTAGAACGATTAGACCTTTAATTCGTCAACGTTTTATTGATCGAATATTGTGATTTCTATTTATCCAAATAGTCTGCCTCCACGGCAGTGGCCCCCGGAGGGCAAGCGGAGCGTCAGTTATGTATCTATATAGCAGACAGTATGGGGAGTACTCAATCCTCAATCAACAAGTTAGAGATAATATCTAAGGAGTTAGCGGAGCGTCATATACAGCGTGGACATCTATAATATATACTAGATTCCTGCTTGCGGAGATTCATTCAATATCTTCTGTGGGGGGTATCTTTTGATAACATATCCCTAGGTAGGTACCATGGAAGTATATAACCTTGAGAAAGTCTGCGTTGACCTCTTATATACCTAGTTTATTGAAGTCTAGTGACTTATCGTTGATGATGATAAGGAGGATAATGTCAGGAGGAGAGGTGCCTCCCTACCTACTACCTAGTATCTAATGTACTGAAAGACTCATAGGAGTCAGAGACATTATATCCACATATTTAGATACTGGGAGGAAGTAGAGGATTGTATATAGATTGATAAATAGATGGATAGAATCAAGAAAACCCCATTATCTATTATTTTCCTATTAGGTCGTATCATCCAATATCAGAAACCTCAATCAAATCAATCAGACCCCTCCATAGGAAAAACAACATAATCTTACATACATCATAAATTTCTCCCCATCAATACCTAAATATCCAATCAAGTACCTAAATTATAGATAAAAAATCATAAATAAACTCTGTAACCTAGAAGCCAGCCACAAAATAAATTCTTATATGTTAGTAATATTAGCCAATTAAATCATTCAGATCACCTTCTTTTTCGAAGGAATAAGAAATAAATTTTAGCTTTTAGATTTTCCCCAGATTCCACTAAAAAGCTTCTCAATACGCGAGCGAGCGAGGGAGGGGCGTGCAAGCTCCATCCATCTCTATCCATCTCCATCCATCTCTATCCATCCATTATTAAATCAGGTCATATTTCAACCACTCACTCCTCATCCACCCACTTCAATTCATCTTCTTAGGTGTAATTACAAAACCCAACCTAATCCAACAAAACACAAGACCCCTCCATCCCCAACCCATCAGCACAACAACCTACTAAAATGTCCTTCCTCCCCCTCACATCCCGCACACTGCGCACCCTCCCGAAACAACAATGCTTCTCTCTCCTGCGCACACCCACCCGTACCATAACCAGCAAAGCCCCCTCAACCCCGCAACTCGATCCGATATCCCTCCACCGACTCGAAGCCACGCGTCGCGCCTACTACAAACGCCGCACCTTATATTCCGCCTCCGGGTTCCTCGTCGGCATGGTCTGCATCTGGGTAACCGCAACCTCAATCGATATCCCTCCGCCTGCCAAACTCGACACCTCTCGATCTAGCAACTCTCTCTCCTCCTCCTCTCCCGTTACCATTCTCCCCCCCTCTTTCAAATCCACAACAACAACAGAAGAAGAAGATCTCATCCCCACCGGCACCAGCACCATCCCCACCTTCCCCAAGACCCTGCACTTCACCGACACCCCCTCGACCCACCCCCCAGAACTCTACCAACTCCTCGGTCTCGGCATCCGCACCGTCTCCTTCCTGCACATCCAAGTCTACGTCCTCGGTCTGTACATCTCCCCCTCCTCAATCCCCACTCTACAAACCTCTCTCCTCCAACTCGCCGCTCCAAATGGGGCATCTACCCTCGTCGCCAACGAAAAAGATGCTTTAAAATCTATGCTACTCGACCCCTCCCGCAGCGAAGAAATCTGGTCTACGATTCTCAAAAATCCCGAAATAAAATCTATCGTCCGTATCGTCCCAACGCGAAATACAGATTTCCACCATTTGCGCGACGCATGGGTACGTAGTCTTACAGCGCGGGCTCAGAAAAACAGAGAGGAATTCGGGGATGAAGCGTTTGGGAAGGCGATGGGAGAGTTCAAGGCACTGTTTAATAGGGGGAGTGTACCGAAGGGACGGGAACTTTTGTTGAGTCGGGATGAGAGTGGGAAATTGGGCGTGTGGTATGAGGATGGGGTGAGTGGGAGTCAGAGGTTGGGAGAGGTGAGGGATGAGAGGATTAGTAGGGGTATTTGGCTGGGGTATCTGGCGGGCGCGAATGTGAGTAGTGAGGAAGCGAGGAGGAGTGTGGTGGAGGGGGTCATGAGGTTTGTGGAACGTCCGGTTGGGAGTGTGGAGGGGATGGTGAGGGTGTAGATTGGGGGTTGTGCTTTAGTGTGTATGTATGTATGTTTGTCTGTATGAGTATTGTTATGATGACATGATATGAAAGGGAAGGTCTGGCATGGTATAGTAGAACATGGCATGGCAAATCACAAATCACGAGCAGAGAAATAAATAAAAAATAAGTATTATTTTTGTATAAGCATTGTTATGGCATACCATGCATAGCATATCACAAAGCACAAGTCAACAAATCAATCTTTGTGTATCAAATTCATCCATTCATTCCTCTAATCTGAGCAAACGAGCTATGCTATGCACTTCCTGTAATCATGTACTTCATCACCTCTCCCTCAAATCCATCCCCCCATCCCCAGAAACCCTCTAAGCCTGAATAACATTCAACTCCTTCAACTGACTCTCCAAATCCTGCTTATTCTTGGCCTGCAAATCCGAGTTTCCACCCACATGTTTTTGTCCAATGAAGATGTTTGGGACAGAGCTTTGACCTGTTTTTTCGACAAGGTAGGCTTGGATTGCTGAGCCGTCGTCTAGGGGGGAAGGGGGGGAAGAGTTAGTTGATGATATTTTGGGGGAGGAAGAAGTTACGAAAAGGGAGGGAGGAGAGGGAAATGGGTAAACATACCAACTTGATCAAGTTCGATAGAGTAAAAGTTTGCTTTCAAATCGGTTAAAAGCTTCTTGGTGGCTTTGCAGTAGGGACAGTAGGATTTGCTGAAGACGGCTGGGTGGGTGGGTTTGTTAGTTATTTGTTTTCAGTATGATGTTTTGATCCGTTGGTCCTTCTTTTGATTATCATTGTAGTATATGCAAACTACTGTCTCCGAGTAATCCGAGAGATGATTCGAGGAACAAATAAGCTACGTAGCCATCAAGAGAATACATAGAATAGAATGGCATAGCATAGCTAGCTACCTATCTCCACAACACCGCAACAAGAGTATGAGATGAAACCAAGGACTAAGGTTAGAAGAAAGATAAACACATACCAACAGCATTATCAGCAATAATGCCCTCAGCTTTCGTTTGAGCAGCAGACATACTGGCGGCGGTAATAGGCGTGGTGGTGAAGAAACGACGGAGGAAATTAATCATGGGCGACTGGTGAGAGACGTATTTATACCTAGATCTTGTTGGTGAGGTGGGTGGGGTGGTTTATATGTAGATGCTGGATGGACTGGGGATTGGGAAGGAGGGGTGGATTTTGATTTGATTTGGTTTGAGTTACGAACGAGGCCACTGGTGGGGTGCTTGAGCTTTGATTAGCAATTGGGTGAGGGGCGGAAGGGTTCTAGAAATGGTGAGGGAGGGTTGCTTACACAGCGGTGATGGCAGATTTGATTGGGTTATGGCGTCACGGGACACTGGACACTGGACAGGCATGGTAACCTTATTAGATCAGCTGGAGCTTTGGGGTTTGTTGCGAAAGGAGTTGTGGACTTTTATTGTTATTTGTACTCGACCCATACAGGATGATGATTGAATAATGTGAATTCTTTGTACCTATTGTTATTGTCTTTCTTTCCATGACATATAAAGCTTTGAGTGGCTCGAGGAGGATAGCATTGTATTGTGATAGAAGATCTTTCGTTGGCGGATATCATAAGTGACAATACTTTGATTCATTGGAATAATGGACACCGAATTGATATAGCATTGACAGTGGATATCATCAAGATGCAAAGTAGAATGGAATCATGCAAGAGGGAGGCAAAGCATCCCTTGGTAGTACTTACTTGTGATTGATCTGCTAAGAGAAACATGTGTTGGCATACAGCCCTGTGATCTATTTGATGTGGATGATTACCAAGAGGAGCCGATTTCGAGGTGATTGGGTACTATCCCCTAGACCGCCATTATATGACGCCTCGCTTAACAGGGATCTTAGTGACCAATCAGAACATCAGGATTCTGAGAATTTTTATAATATTAGGACTATATTCTATAATAACTATTGAAATACTTATTATTATTATATAAAGGAATATCATATTCTTTACATCCCTATTTGCTCTCATATCTTACTTCTTTTTATCTAAAATTAATAGATTTCTCCCTCAATATAACCCTTTTTATTCTATAAAACTATTCCTTATAAGTATAACAATTCCTTTTACTTCTTAATCATATAAAATATTAATCTTGAAAAAGATTATAAACCTTAATTAAAACTAACCAAACCTGTTTTATACATTTAGAATAACATTTGAGTTCAAATTCAATAATTAATTTATTAATAAGAGATTTTCGAAAATTATTATGCTTAAGAGATTTAATTATAAAATACTTTAATATAATTTCTTTGTAAATTAAATAGTAATTAATTAAAACAATAATAAAAAGCTACTATTCCAAAGTTTGATAATTATTATATTATTATTGTCAATGTTTTAGTATAAACATATATAATTAATTCCTTATATTAATAATATTCATATTATTATTATAATCGTTAAAAAGGATTGAAATAGGTAAATCTTTTTTGTATTCATTTTTAAATAATATTTAAACTATTTTAACTTTCAAAAAGGTAATTTTTAGTCTTTTATATATCCTATTAACAAAAGTTTTTCCATTATAAATTATAGATTATACTAAAACCATTATATTATCCTTCCATATTATAAAACATATATTATTCAAGAGTAATATTTTAAAATGAATTGTTTCTCGTAATATTTTATTATCTTTAAATTAACCAGATCTTTATGAATATCAAAATTAGGCCTATATATCCTTATCACAGTATACCCTAAATAACATATATACTCCAAAAAGTTATAGGAAATGAATAGATTATTAATATAAATATAATATAATACTTTAAATAACCTTTACATTAAGTATAGAATTATTACTTATGTAGGATTTATATATTTTTTATTTGTTATCAACTCTAAAAGAAAGGATATAACTATAATCACAGGATTATTCTTTTTATTAATCTTATACTAATTCTATATTATAAAAAAGCCTTGATTTGCTACTATTTATATTTTAAATCTTATAGATATAGGTTTATTTTTAATAATAGTAATAAAGCTTGATTAGTCAGAGTATTAAGCTATGTCTTTATTAACTAATATTCGATTTTGAGGTATTTATATTAAGAAATTAATATTCTAAATATGATTTAATAATGGATCTACCTATAAATAAGTATATTAGTATATAAAATTCGAATTAATAGAATAATATCTTACTCTTTTATAAACATTACTTATTTTAGAGGGTTTAATATAATACCTTATATAAAGCTCTTCAAATTTATTCCTTGATATGAAATATATAAAAGAATGTATATTAATACTCTTATTATATTCCTAATAAATTTCAAACTTAAATTCAATATAAATTGATATATATATATATATATATGTCTAAATATAAATAAACCTCGTCTATTATTATAGAATATTATCGAAATGTTCGCGAATTCGAAAGTTCTTTGTCTTTCAATATTTATATATATGAATTTGTTTATTTTATTATTGATTTTATTATTTTAATAGAAAAGTAAATATAAGATAGATTGAATATATTATATTCTTGAGTATTAGCTTGTAAAATAAGTTTTCAATCGAAATCAATAAAATTTATAGATTTAAAAGAACTCCCTACTTTCAAAATAAAAGGGATATCTAAGTGTAATGTTTCTATATTTATAAGATCAAATTTCATATTAATTAAAGTTATATTAATGGAATTGTTATGTATTGCGCATTTATTGATTTCCTTATTATCAATATTATTTATAAAGATATTGATGGTTTTGTTCAATACACGGACCACCCAGGCGTTATATAATGGCGGTCTAGGGGATAAGAAATTGATGAATCCTTTGCATTATATCCTATGGCCTCGGTCTTGCTTAGTATATCTTGTTTGTTGCACCATACTCGATTATGCTCGGTTGAAAAAAGGATATATGTGCGGTCAGTACTTTACGCACAGCCGGGACAGTACGGTACGGTACGGTAGAAGGAAATCTAAAAAAGCGTCCGGCAATTGATGAAGGGACAGATATCATCTCGCTCTAGTGTAGAACCCTTTCTAGACCCCATCACACATTTGGCCTTATAATCAACCCTTTTTGATATTCACTCTGACCTCTTTCGAGATCTGGAATTCTACCTACACAATAATATCTCATCCTCACTCTGACTCTCACTCTCTCTCACTCGCTTGATTAACCTTATACTCACCGCCATCAAATTCCTAATTAGAATCAATCCTCATCAGGCAAAACTTCTGCGCATTAAAAAGACAAAAGACAGCATTGAATCCATTACTCTCCAAAGTGTTCCATCTTTCCATCAGCTTCGAGACCCCGTCATCCAAAGCCTTAACATACTAGTCAATCACCCCACCTTAAACCCTACATCCCACATCCCACATCCCACATATATCGAAAGCCTTGTCATATCACATTCACAAGTTTTCTCAAGGAAAAAAAGTCCCCTCCGCAGGACTCAATACGAAAATCAGCCAAGGTGGCTTCCCGCGTTTTGGACTCGCAAGGTGGCACCCTGTCTTCTGCCATTCAACGTCTCCCCGATTCTCTGCAAACCTATCTCGACACCACCGTTCAACATCTTCAATCGGCCTATTCGCAAATACCTGAACCCGCTCAAGCCTACATCGAACAAGCTGCAAAATATACACATATTGATCAGGTTCCCCCTACAGCATTAGCGGGTAGCGCCTTTGTTATACTTGCAGCTGCTGTGAGTATGAGTCGTTGGGGAAATAGTTGGTTCAGTGGTGGTACCAGTCGTTTGAGTCCTTTTTCGAGTCGAGGTAATCCACCGCAAGTACAGGATGAGGACTATGAATACATAACTGGTGAGGATTTGGAGTCACCAAGGAGAATCTATGATCCACATCTGAGACCGCCTCAATCTGCACAAGAGGAAGATGATGTGCTATTGGTGAAGAACAAGGGGATTACATATCCTGTTAAATTTCCTGCTTACAGTATCGGGGATGGAAAGTTGGAAGTCAGTGATGTAAGGAAAAGAGCTGCCGCCTTGATGGAAGTTTCGAATTGGAGAAAATTGAAATTGGTTTACAAGGGACAACAATTAAAGGATGATCATGCACTTGTTCGAAGTTATGGAATCAGAAATGAGTCGGAAATTCTTTGCATTGTCGGGGACGCCGCAACTGGAAGTGAAGATTCAGGAGATGAAAGCGAAGAAGCAGAAGGGACCGCCGCCAAGCTCAGGAAACGAATTCGCAAATCGAAGAATAAGAAGGGAAAGAAAAAGAGCAATAATAATCTCCAAACACCACAAATGGAATCATCGGCAACTTCCAGAACAGCTTCACCGATCCCTCCTCCAACACCTAAAACACCAATCGAGAAATTAAATGCTATCTCAGATACTTTCCACAACGAGATCTTACCATTAGCAGAAGCCTTTATTGCGAGTCCGCCAGAAGACCAAAAGAAGAAGGATTTCGAACATAAGAAGTTGAGTGAAACTATTATGGGACAAGTACTATTGAAGTTGGATGCGGTTGAGACGGAGGGTGATCAAACAGCGCGGGAAACTAGGAAAGCTCTTGTGAGAAAGGTTCAAGGTGTTCTTAATGAACTTGATTCAAAGGTTCCAGGTGCAGAATAAGGTGTTTCATTTCGGCTACATCAGGGTTATTGGGGAGGTAGAAGCGAATCAATCACCAAGTTTCGACTCCGGATTCCTTCTATATCGAGGAATGCATCTATCTTTTGTTGCATTTACAGAATTTGTTCTATTGGGATGCTATGCATATACTGGGTATGATTGGGCTTCTCCACTTGTAGAGAGGAATTGTTTATTGCAATATTTGCAATCTGGTATGGCGTATAGCTTAGATGGGATAGGTGTTAATAAGTTGATGATAGGAAAGGAGGGGTTTGAATTGAAGTGCAGGGGTGAGCATCATTGACACATAGGAAAGATGCGAGAAGGTTGACCATCCTGTTTGCATCGAGGAGCATGAACATGGGCATGATCTTACTTGTGGTTTGATATTCTGGGAAATGCATGTATATGCTATTTGGCCAGTGTGTTTATATTTAAGGTTACAGGAACTGAATGTATGTCAAGACTAAAGTGTATAACCCATTTTGCCTCCTGCTACATGTGATATCATAATTAACAATAAATAAAGGGGCTTTGCCACTTTTATTCGGAGCATTTTGTGGCATTCTTCTCTACAACCACATGGTATATCGAAAGTCTACGTATCATACCTAGGTAATATTTTATGAATTTCACAACTCCGCAGTTGTGTTGAATATTCGACTTCATGTTGTCCTGTATGTTCGAGTATGGATGTTCGAGTATTGAGAAGTTCAATACCTGGTCGATAAGAATTGTCCGAATCATTCCATTTACTGCAATGGCCAATTGTCTCGTGCACCATGTTGCAATCATCACTTGCCGGATGGAACAGAAGTCACCTCAAAATATGTCTATTACTTTACTTTAAGTTGAAATATTAGATAACAATCACTTGTATTTACGCAGTTCATGCGATCAAAATTGCTGCCTTAGTATCTGCCATCAGGTTCGCGAGGCTTGCTTGAAGTGAAAATTCGATCAACGTAAAAGTGACAAGGCTGCAATCGCACACATCGTCAACTTCAATTTTTTCAACAATACTGTACATGATCAAAGTGAGTTCAACATAAAATCAAATAAATATTCCTATGGAGAAAAAATAATTGATTCATCATCAACATTCTTTTGCCTCACTCAATCACTACTTCTTTTCAATTTTCCATCAAATTGGGGTTGTTAGCCCTGGGACTCGGCTAATATTTTTAGCGCGAAAACCGGTGTCAATTTGGAGAATCCATCAACCGTGAAGGAATTTGAAGACAACGACCAACCGACAAACCACGACACCGCCCTCATTAAATAACGAAGGTAGAGCAATTTGACTTTCTGTACGCCTTTCGATTTCACTCTGACAATATATCCAGGACACGATGTCGACCTTCGAGCCAGTCGTAAGTGCTCAATTCCCCATATATCCATGGCAACCACAGCCAAATTCAGTATCTTGCGACAACAATCATGGGAAATGGTTTTGGGGGGATTCAGCGATATGGACGAACACGAATAGGAACGAATTGCTGATATTGGACTTCTTTTCATAGATCACGATCGATGCCAAGGGTCACCTTCTTGGTCGACTTGCAAGCACTGTTGCAAAGCAGTTGCTCAACGGCCAGAAGATCGTCGTTGTACGATGTGAGGCCTTGAACATCTCTGGAGAGTTCTTCCGTGCGAAGCGTACGTTTTTACCTTTATTTGAAATTGCGATGGAATCGGAGATGATGGATTTGATGTCGCGTCTGGGTGGAATACATGAAAGGACGGAAGACTGATTTAAATTCGATAATAGTCAAGTACCACGCCTACCTCCGAAAGATGACCAGATACAACCCAACCCGTGGAGGTAAGATATCATAATCCGCCAATTGCGATTCTGCGATTCGCATTCGATGCAAGGAAGATATCCTGACTTTTCACGAATAGGTCCTTTCCATTTCCGTGCCCCATCCAGAATCTTCTACAAGACCGTCCGTGGTATGATTCCTCACAAGACCGCCCGTGGTGCTGCCGCCATGGAGAGACTTAAGGTTTTCGAGGGTGTCCCACAACCATACGACAAAGTCAAGCGCGTTGTCGTTCCCCAAGCTTTGAGAGTGTTGAGATTAAAGCCTGGACGCAAATACTGCACTGTCGGTAGATTGAGCCACGAGGTCGGATGGAAATACCAAGATGTTGTCGCTAGGTTAGTATATTCTTTGGGATTGGGTTGAATTCTGGATTATCTCGAGATGGTTACTAATACGATTGATTATAGACTTGAGGAGAGAAGAAAGGTTAAGAGCGCAGCATACTACGAGCGTAAGAAGGCAGCACGCAAGCAGCTTTCAGAAGCCCAGAAGTCCGCTAAGATCGACGATAAGACCAAGACCGAGTTAGCTGCTCTCGGCTACTAAATATCCTAGACCTTATTTGATGTGATTTTGCGCTGCTGGGTGGATGGATTGGGTTGTTTAACGGTTTCTTCTTTTCAACAATAACAACGTCAATGCTTTGTTCTACCATTCATTGGAAGATCTCAAGGCCTGGTATTCATTTACCATATACACAATATTGGGAAATGCTGTAATGGCAAAAGGAGTCTGATGCAGCAAGGAACTCTGATGTGTATTGCTTCGGCTTGCATGCAGTTCATAGCAGAATGAAAAGCCCAAGGCACGAATCAAGAATGAATACATTGCGTTTGGTCTTGTGGAAATGGAAGTGGAATTGTGAAAAATAATAATGAAATCCATTTTAGCTACAGTTTATGAATGAGCATCGGTTTGGTACAAAGTTACTTTAAATTCTTTGTGAATTCAAAGAGCAGTTTTGTTGGAGAGAGAGTATGATGGATCTTTTGAAATTTGAGCTTCTAAGATCGTCATGATATGATGTAATTTGTTGGCTGCCTTACAAGCTCAATTGATATACCCATAGGTAGAACCAAAGATTTCTAGACTCCCAACTCCCAAACCTTCAAGAAAATAATACTGGTGGTGGATTGAATCCTTGAAGTGCTTTGTGTTTATCTCTCGTCACCATCTCCCAATCTCCCGATGTGCATTCTCACGTTCTCTTGAAGCACGTTTGGATCATTTGTAAATTCTCCTTCCCCGCAGTTCCCATCTTGACGGGTTACTCCGGTCGGAATAGGGTTGTAATGCACATGATTTTGATGTTCAATTGAGATGTTCATCAAATTCTTTGTAAATCAAAAGCAAGACAGATGCACGATGAAGTCGATGAAGTCGAAAAGTAACCAGCATACCCGCTCCGGAACTCCGAAGCCGAAGCCGAAACCGAGCGGGGCGAAATTATTCCTTTGCAGAGGGTTGGAGCATTGCCGAGGATGAAGGGAGTATGGGTACTTGGGTGTGATTAATTGGATTCGTGTGGTTGGATGGAATTGGATGGAATTGGATGGTTGGATTGGAGAGGGGATGGTGGGGTAATGGCATTTTGTGGAATGCACTGGGTAAGTTTCTCCACATTATTGCTGCGGGAGCGAGGGGGAGGAGGCCCAGGAGGAGCCTTTGGTTCGGGTTGGTAAAGTATAAATTTATATATGTTTTTGGTATCCTGGGTGGATGGATGGATAGATACATGTTGGGTAGGTAGGATTATATTTGTGTGAGGGTGTTTGTTAACTACTACTTTGTCCTTACTACTACTTTGTCTTAACTACTACTTTGTTTACTGATTGATTTGATCGGGTCTTTTGATGGAGAGATTTTACTTGGGTTTGAGTGGCATTTCATTTGAATTGAACTGATTTGATTGACGAATCGGTCGATTGGGATTTCTTTGTTAAGAGTTACATTGACAAACTTTGTGGGGGGTTTTGAGGTGACATCGATTTATTGATTGATCGATTGATACACATCCGGTAAAGTCAGGGAAGATAAGAAGAGCTTCAATGGAGAGTTCGAGACAGCGGATCGGGTCTTTAAGTGAAATTGCGAAGACGAGGAACCTAGGCCATAAAGGTGTAGTGCAGACTTGAGGACTCAGAGTAAGAGAGAGAGAGAGGGTGAGAGCAGGTAATTATAAAAGCTCTCGAGATCATTCAGGGCACCGATACTGGGCTAGCGGACTGTTCGAAACCATTCACATCAAACTAGGACCCCAAAATGTCGGGTCCTACTTCTAGGCTTCAGAGTCTGGTTAATCATTTATTACCTTCTTCTGGCTCAAACACATCGTCAACAACACTGCCAGCTCCAAAGCATCACATCCATACCCTTTCACCTACATTTTTCCTTCCCCGCGCTGCAGCGATTGAACCTGATGCTCCAGCTATTCATCATGTCACTGCGAATGGACAAACAATTACACGATCTTATCAGGAATTTGCAGATCGTTCTCGCGGTTTAGCATACTATCTCAAAAAATACAAATTCTCTCGAATAGGAATACTATGTCCCAACACACCTGCTTTTCTCGAGAGTATTTTTGGTGTCGCGGCTGCGGGGGCGATACACGTGGGAGTCAATTATCGACTGAAGGAGGAGGACATTATTTATATTTTCGAGTTTGCGGAGGTGGATTGTATTATTGTGGATAGGGAATTTGTAGGCTTGTTGGAGGGATATAGGGGGAGGAATCAAGGGGTGAAAATTATTGTGGATGAGGATACGGATAGGGATGAGGGGGAATTCGATCATGCGGTTTTGGAGGGCTTGAAATATGATGGGGAGAATGAGGGGAAAGGTTGGGATGGATTACATGCGCAGGCGGATGATGAGGATGGTACGATTGCGATTCCGTTTACGAGCGGAACGACGGCGAAACCGAAGGGGGTGGTTTATACTCATCGGGGAGCATATCTTGCTGCTATGGGAAATGTGGTGGAATCGGGGTTAAATTTTCACAAAGGGAGGTGTGGTTATCTCTGGACACTCCCTATGTTCCACGCCGTGGGATGGACTTTTCCTTGGGCTGTAACGGCAATTAGGGGTACCCATTTCTGTCTTCGCAAAATCGATTATCCTCTGATATGGAATCTATTGAAGTCTCAACCCATCACCCATTTTAACGCCGCACCTACAGTAAATACTCTACTTTGTGCCTCGAAAGAAGCAGCCAAACTTCCTAATCCAGTTCGCGTCACCGTCGCCGCATCACCACCTACAGCTCATCTCTTCGAAACAATGACAGATCTTAATCTCATTCCAGTTCATGTGTACGGTATGACGGAAACTTATGGTCCTATTACTAAAGGTTACCATATGCCTATTTGGGAAGATATCCCGCTGAAAGAAAAATATAACCGCATGGCTCGCCAAGGACATGGATTCCTCACCTCTCTCAATCTCCGCATTATCAAACCCGATCAACCAGATGATAAACTCATCGACGTCGCTCGCAACGGGAAAGAAATCGGAGAAATTATCTTCCTGGGAAATATATGTGCAAAGGGATATTATAATGATGAAGAAGCGACGAGGAAACTTTTCGCGGGCGGTGCACTGCATAGTGGAGATTTGGCAGTGTGGCATGAGGATGGGAGTGCGCAGATTTTGGATCGCGCGAAGGATATTATTATTAGTGGAGGAGAGAATATAAGTAGTGTGGCGTTGGAAGCGATGTTGGTGCAGCATGAGGGGGTGTTGGAGGCGGGGGTGGTGGCGGTGGGAGATGAGAAGTGGGGGGAGTGTCCGGTGGCTTTTGTTACGGTTAGAGAGGGGAGTGGTGGGGAAGGAGGGTTGAAAGGTGAAGATGTGGTGAGGTGGGCAAAAGAGGAAAGTAGTATTAGCAGGTTTATGGTGCCAAAGGAAGTGATTGTGGTAAAGGAATTGCCGAAGACGAGTACGGGCAAGGTGCAGAAGAACATTTTGAGGAAGTGGGCGAGGGGGAATTGGGAGGAGAAATAGGGGGGTGGATGCGTAGGAGGGGACGAGATGGGATGGAATGAGAGCTGAGTTTATTCATCGCATTGTTTGTTGTATATTATCAAACTTATGGAAATCATTCTGCGTATTTGGTTTGATGTAAAGTGATGTGTATGTATATAGAGGTAAGAGGATTATAGAGCTTTCAAAGTTCTAGGGAACTTTGGGGATTTCAAAAAGGCTGGGGTAGTGAGTGGAGCGAGATGTGGAAGATGAAGATGAAGATGAAGATGAAGATGAAGATGAAGATGAAGATGAAGATGGAAGCATAGATTTGAGTTCTTGTATCACATCATTATGGATTAGAGTGAATAGAAGTATGGATGCTCATTAATCAACCGGTTTTTAGATATAGTATTGTATTGTATTATATTGTATTGTATTGTAAAATTCATATGATTCTTTTTATGGTTTGATTATGATTTAATCACGTGTATATCACATGGGCACTTTTGAGTCTTGACAGGGAGAGGATTTGGATATCAAGGTTAGAGATACTAGGATTTATTTAGTCAATGCATTTATTTAAATGAATACCGATACCTACTTACTTACTAACCAAGATTCATGACGACCACCTGATTTAGCGTAGATCTTGAGTTAAATGTCCGTCCTAGCATTTTCTATGTTTTCCTCGAATACCTAATCTTTCTTATTTTCTTGAGATTTTTCAAATTTTAAATAGGCTTTGAATGAGGCAAGGAAATGAAGGGGAGTAGGAGATATATGATTCGTGTATTTTATGATATACCTACGGAGATTCGTGATGAAGAATTTGTGGAGGGTGGAAAATCTATAGCTAGTTCTGGAGGGCGGAGATGATGATTACGTGGGTAGTGTGATGTGTGTATGCGCCAAGTTTGATGGAAAGGAAGGCGATGGATGTGGTGCGTGAGATGGGAGTGGTTTATTTGGAGTTTGTTTATCCTTTTGAAAGTTACAGAATTGAGATTCTCGTCCAAATTTCACAATGGCAGACCCATTGAAAAGTCAAGACCTTCAGATCTCATGTCGGATTTAAATTCTGTTTGGTTGAACATCTACGATGAGGCTATGAGAGGGAGTGAAAACTCGTGCGGGATTCTTGTTTGGGATTTCCGATTCTCGGATGAGTCGATGAAATCGAATTCTAATGAAATGGCTATGATGTACCTCGCTATGAAAGAGAGGTTAAAATGTCGTTCTGTGGTGTTGAGAGGAGTTGCGAAATCTTTGAGAGAGGTTTGAAGGCAGTGAGTGAGATGCTCGAGGCGTGGGATGATGCGCTGAAGGATATGTCGAAGATGGGCTGGGAGGAGGAAGAAGATACATTGGGGAAGAGGGAGTGTGAGAAGTATCATGCTTTGCTTGATCCGGGAAAAGTGCGGATGAGGAAGGGGGCGCTGGCTTCGAGGAAAGGTAGTAGCTGGTAGTGAGCCTGCTAGGACGGAGTAGAGCTTGACGTGGAAATCGGGATTGGAAAGTCAATAAGATGGAAACATTGAGAATTGGAGTAGGAAAATGGAGATATCAGAGATGGGAGTTGCATCTATGGTTGCGACACTTCTAATACCTCCAATGCCTTCGATATCTTCGGATTCTCTAATACCCCAATCAATTCCGATACTTCAAACTTCTCCAACACCTTCAATACCTTCAACACCTCCAAGATCTGAAATCTCTCCAGCAACTCCAACACCACAAATACTTTCAACGTCTTCAATACCTCCAACACCTTCTACAGAACTTGACGCAGATCACTCGTGGGGATTTGATTCTGGGTTAAAGAAGTCAAATTTAGAACGGGAAAGGCTCCTTCTATCATCATTAGCGAAAGGAAAAACCTTTATCCACATGATTTGTTTTCTGACGACTTGTATTCGGACGATATGAAATGGACATCACTTGGAAGCAGCCCTAAGAGCAGAGCGAACGCACGTAACATAGTTGCAAATTAAAGGGAACTGATGATTGGTTCCTCACGGACGAATATCAGGGAGCGCCCATTCCAACAAGTCTACCGATGTCAAATCGAATCATCCAGATGAACTATGCTTTATGTCGGCTTACCACTCCACCCCTCCCGATTCGTATCTCGGACGCTCTTCATCCTTTTCTTCTCTCTACGATATGCAAAGTGCTTGTGCTGTTTCAATTGAAAATCTTTTGGGCTTATATGGCATTCTCTTATACCAACTATTGTGGGGTAATAAGTGAGAAAACTTCTTTTCAACAAATTACATTCATTGGGGAGGCCAATAAATCTTCCAACTTTTCAGAAAACACGGTCGTGTCTCATTTTCTCAACATCCCGCTTATTTCGACACCGATCACCCAGATACGTTCAGTAGTTTTGTTGATGTTCTCAACTTTGATGTTGAGCGTACCTCCCCTCTACCTTTGGATAGGAAACCTGCATTCATTTTATTGTTGCAAGTAACTAAACAACCCCCTTCTCTACGAGTGATTTAAAAGTACCCTGAAGCGGTGCCGGATTGGTACCGTATAGATCACTTGTTATTTTTGGGCTATAGGGAACATCTATGGGCTATATATTCTCCTGCTGACGCGAACGCTTGCATGAGTTATGCTCTTAAAATTTGGAGTCGAGTGCACCACCACGAACCCGGGTTGCTTTCGTAAGAATGTTTCGAAAGTATGAAGTTTTCCATGAATTCGGGAGATGTAAAAAGATCTGATAAATACCGAAGACGTCTGGCAGGTCCTTCATGCCTTCTCTGCGGTTCTCAACATTAAACTAAAGGGGTCGAGAACCGTAAACTATATGATATCAGTAAGAGAAGAGAATATGCAGAGAAGAGCGCCAAGGAGGTTCTTCTCCAGAATCACAGGGGCCGGATCATGTTTGAGGCGTGGTCTCCTCGTTTGACAATATCACCTCTAGAAAATTGCTCCAAATTTAAGGCAACACATTCTAGCATGAATGAATTGCTTGGAAAACATGAGATTTTATCAAGTGCTACTCGACGCTTGGTTTGGACATGTGTATGAACGATCAAACGAGAATGTATACTCAAGGCTTCTGCTTCATTCTAATACTCCACCAGAAATGTGGACATGCTTCCTACGACGACTGTACCGAGTTCCCAGGCCGGGAAGGTACAGTTGTAGATTTGGCAAAGGAATTGATGCAAGCAGGCTACATAAATCGAGCACAGATAGCAATTCAACCATTGGGAACAAAACTTTGGGTTAGTGGGAGGCTCCAGAATGGCATTAATCTCATCTCGAGAAAACTTTCGAAACTTCGGAAGACCCCTCTGCCAACATTTGTCAAAGCAAGTCCCCCGAAAAACCCGGTCTGCCTTCCTGCCGATGGATGTCGTTGGCTTCACTTGTGTATGAAGAAAAAACCATACGCAACCCATCTCAAGCCACTTCATGTGTGTGAGGACGAAAATCAAGATCCGTTGACCGATGAAACTTTCTTCAAAGCTCTTGAACACGTTTATAATAAAGAAAGACGTGGAAGGACTGGGCGATTCTGAAGTTGAGGAGAATCGAGTTTATAGGTGTATGAGCTCCCGATCCCTGGTTGAACTTTCTTATTAGTATTTTGGATTTTAAAATCCGGGGGATCTTCGAATGGAGTCTGGGCTTTGAGGTTGAGATTCCGTAAGCCTTGAGAGCATTGGACGAAGTGTTCGTCTAAATCTTGAGCAGCGATGATTTCCTTACCAGCTGGTCAACACCGAACTTTCCGGTTTCGATTGAACGTATGGAATGACGTTGCTGACTTTACATAATTTGAAGCCTGTCCAGACGTGTATGTCGATCATATCAAAACTAATGATCTTCCACTAACAGCCAATGAGTATGATTTTGCACCGCCACCACCTCCAAAAATGGTTCCCCCTATAGGTCCAGAACACATGTTGCATCTTTTCTAAGACTGCCGTTCGATTTCTGATGTCAATTCGAATTTCTATCTCCAACGAATTCCCCGCAGGAAGATCGAACCGATCGCATTTAATGCAAATAGTCTAAGCGAAAATCTAGGCTAGGAATTACATTTTGTCGAGGGATTCAATACGTCCTTGGCAATTACCTATGCTTATACTCTCCTCGGTCTTAGAAATAGCACATGCTATTTGTTGAACCATACTGGAGAAAGATATTCCAGGAGCATTTGAGTTGCCGCTTATATCACTAGTGTCATGACCCTGGCGGTAATGACTTGGAAATTGTGGGCTTTATGATTTGAATGATGTGATTCAGCAAGTCGTGAAAGGACGTTAGACGCCGGTGACAGCTTTGGAGGAACCTGTTTGTTGTTGATCAGACATGGTTCCACTTTGACTTCTACAAGCTCAACCCTGTCATGAACCCAGCACGTGCTGGGGTTACAATGTTATCAAGCAGAAAATTCCAATGATCTGTTCGTCGGCCTCGCATCTTTTTATTTTGGGGGATAAACTTGGCAGACATGAGGAAATGGGATATATATGAGGATTCTTATTTATAGGCGATGTAACGTCTCGAATTTTACGTCGTGAAGATGGTTCTCGATAGGTATGAAACTTGAGACAGGGGATCGTGGAACGTGGGAACAATAAGCTTAATCTCGGGAGGTTTAAATGGCTTGCTTGGCTGGTCTAGTTTCACCAATCAGATAAGCAATAGGTATGCATCATCCCACCTACGTACAAAGATATTCTCCAAATATATATACTCGCTAATTCAATCCTAGGCAGAGAGCCAATCAGTGATCAGGCTCTGTGACAGCAAAAAAGTCTATTGTCCGTTACGCTTATCGTTCAATTCCTTTTGAAGAAAGAAGTTGACGGGAGAGAGGAGGCTGTACTTTGTAATATCGTACTTCCACTGTTTTAGATGGCATTAAGAAACAACTGACACTAGGTTGGCTCTCGCGGTGGGGGAGGGAGGAGGGACTTCTTCTGTGCTCGCGTGCTATATCTTCTTGCTTGTATCTTTCGTACTTGTACTGCATTCATGAAGGTTGATGTTCGCCATTTTTGAAGTTTTGGTATCAGAACGATCATTTCTGTTCGTGAAAATACCCCAGTAGGTATTTGGATGCCATGCTCGAGCCATGCTCTAGCCATGCTACAGGGATAGTTAGATCAACCCTGCGACCTCCTTAAAGTACCAGTATTCATTATAGAATACTACCCAAGTAGGCAGTGTAGGACCAAGTCATCCCACCCTACGTAAGAAATACAAATAGCACCAGAAAAAAGCAGCCAAGCCAATCAGGAATAAGTTTCTAAGGAATGAAAAGGTTAAGCTTACTTCCTTCTGAATAAAGTTGAGAGGAAGCCATCATAACAGATCTCCACTGTTTTCGTTGGCAATAAGGAAGAATCCCATTTAACCCATCTTTTGATTCTGGGCAAAGACCTGGCCCTTAGACCCATGAGCCCCATTTCCTTGTTCAACATCTCTCAGAAGATTCAAATCTTTCACGTATCCAACATGGAATCTTTTGGTGACTTGGATCCTCAGCGTAACTTAAACTAGGACAACAATCATTGCAGTCATCAAAATGTATTACTCACGGAATCATTTCTTGACATTTCTTACTTGCTTCTCGTGGAGTATAGGATATACTGGAGCTGATGATCATGGTGTTGTTTTCTTGTATCCAACGGATAATCTCACCATCAACTATCTCGATACCGTTAACGTAACCTACACATCTCCTTTTCCAGAGCCTCAACTTTGGATATATTGTCAGAATATCACGGATCTTACGGGTCCACTAATCACAGGTAAGAATTCATCGTAAAATATCACAAAAGAACATGACGGAGCAATGAAAACTCACTCGATGTTTTCCTTATAGAAAGCTATACCACGGTCACAGCATTTAATGGCTCTGCGCCAATCAACTGGAGATGGTTGGGTGGTTCACCTTGTTGGTTCGATTTGAAACCAAATGCATCAAATGGATACGGAGCCAACAGTGAACATTTCATCGTCGACCAAAATCAACGTGCATCACCTACAACATTAGGATTACCATTACCTACAGATTCATCAACTTCCACCACATCAACATCGATATCAACTACTGCTTCGGCTAGCAGTGATGCCACCACAACAGCATCTCCAAATCCCACCACCTCTTCCACTAGCACCTCCGCATCCGCCTCCTCATCACCGACCCAAACCGGCGTTTCCACCAACAACACCCCATCCACCGTTCTTTCCGGCGGAGCCAAAGCCGGAATCGGGATCGGGATCGCAATCGTAGCACTCCTAGCATTAACAGCGGGATTCTTCTTCTGGCGCAAGAAACAGAAGAAAAATACGGATTATACGGTTTATCCTACTTCGGAAGTGGCTATGAATGAGAAGATGGAGGATTCGAGCGATTATTCGAAGAGTGAACCCGTGGCGTATGAAATGTATGCGCCGGAATATCATGTGGAGATGCCGGGGACGCAGCCGGTGAGGGAATTGGGGGATGGGGAGATTAAGAGTCAGGCGACGAGATTAGCGTGAAGGGGGCAGGAGAGAGTAGAGGGACCGATGTGTGCGGTTTGGGGATACACATACATCTTTTTTTAATTCTCTGGTTAGAGAATGTATTGGATGGAGGGATTTGTTGAATTGGAATCGAATGGATGGTTGGATGGGATTATGAAATTTTGATGGGAAAATATCGGAGTCGGGGGTCTTTTACTTCAGATTGCGCGGATTATTTATCTGCGTGTGTTGGATGAATGGGAAGCGGATATGATATAAATTCATAGTCTTTCCGGGGTCTGGTAGTGACTTCCATGTATTCATTGCTTGCAGATGGGATGGCAGATGGGATGGCATTTTATGTGGGAATTTACGTTTCTTGAAAGCAGGTATTTATTTTGTTAACATCTCTATATTTTGAGATAAAATGTCTTGGGTATGAAGCATTGGGTGTTGAGTGATTTATATTTTTTTTGTATCAATTTTTGGTTCGTTTCGATCTAGAAGATACTGGACTTGAGTTATTTTCAGGTTTTCAGGTTTGATGGAATCGATGTGTTGATTTGCTGTGGTTTGTTTCGTATGTCGTTCTGGTAGGGTAATTAGACATTTCTGCATTCGTTCATCTGACACTCTGGTATGTTTTTTATTTCTTGGTGTCTGAGTTGCATGGCATTGGATCATTAATTAGTTATCATTGTTGACTGGATAGCGGGGTATTCGATTTTAATAACGGTTGTAACAGTTAATTGATTATGCATTTGTTTCTTGATTGCGATTAGTTTATACGATTGCTAGTGCAAACATTCGTAGTTCCTTCGCATTGGGATGCCGTTTAGAGAAATCAATTGTTGGTGAAGGGGGAGTACAATTGGTGATTCACTAAGCTTGTATTTGGTCTGAGAGTTGTATCATGGATGTTCTGAGTGTTGATAGCTCAGCTGATATATTTTGCGGCGGAGTGCATACTAGTGGATGGACTCTCGATGTTGATGATTTTCCTTTCTTCCCTTACTTTCCCACGTCTATCTTTCCTACATCTAAGGAAATCCTCCATTTCCATCCCATTGCATCAATCTCCACCATCAACAGGCAGAACCCGAATCTCCCAAAACAGACTGGAGTCTCTCCTCCGGCCACGGCTACATCCTCAACCGAACTCGTACTCGTACCCACATCTCCTCTTGTCGACTAGACCTGCAACACCATCTCTGGAAAGAAGCACTTGGATTTAATATCCATCCATCCATGCTCCCCCATTTACCCAAGGATGCAATAATTGCAGATGTAGTGACGGGCACAGCAGCATGGCTACTAGACATAGGAAGGCAGTTTCCAGATGGAAAACTAGTAGGTTTTGATAAAGATATCAAAAAGGCGCCGAATGAGAAATGGCTACCAAGAAACACCGAGGTGAGGAAATGTGGCATTTTCGAAGATGTGCCCGGGGAATGGGTTGGAGTGTTTGATTAGGTGCATGTGAGATTGCTTGTTTTGGTTTTGGAGGGGGAGAGACAGATTTTGAAATTTGTGGGGAATTTGATGAGGATGTTGAAGCCTGGGGGTGAGTTTCTTTTCTTGATTTAATATCACGAGATTTGAGGAAGAAGGAAGAGGAGGTGGAGGTTGAAAGCTAATTGAGGTATTATAGGATATCTACAACGGGACGAACTCGATTGCGTAAACATGCATGTCAAAACCTCCTCTTCTTCTGCTCTACAAGCCCCTGCTCTTCAACAAATCCGCACGATGTCCTGGGCAAATGATCGATATGATTGGACGCTTCGAATCACGTGGTTTCTTAAAGATGCCGGATTTGAGGAGATAGATTTGCAGAGTTCTGGGGATGAGGATAGATTGGTGAGAGCGTTTAATGAACAGCATTTATTAACGATGGAGGAATTTGCGGATAGTTTGATGGGGATGGGGAAGGAGGAGGCGGCGGAGATGTGGTGGGGATTGATTGAGAGGGGGGAGAGAGAGGCGGAGCAGGGGAATGAGCTGTGTATTCCTAGGGTTGTTTGTAGGGGGAGGAAACCGGGGAGGGAGGTGTAGGATGGTGGCTAAAAGTTAAGGGGCTAGATACTGGGGTGAATAGAGCGATATTTATCCAGTTCGTGGAGCGCATCCTCTTATATCATAACGAGATGACAAGCGTTTTATTGGTTGCGTCATCAGAATAGATATGTAAGCCCTTAATGCAAAATAGAGGCGTGTCCGAGATAAGAATCTGTGTCGGGTAGCAGCTACGCCGCACGACCCGCAACAGCATATACTCTTTTGGTAAACCATGATCGAATCAAACAACTGCCGACACCAACAATAACAATACATGTGTATACTTATGTTCTACCTGTAGCTCGAGTCATTATGATTGGTGTTGTTACTGCTTACAAGCTTTTCTGCATGGCGATCATAAGTCTGATTGATATCATTCCGTGGACGTCAGTATCGTACCGAGGATAAAGCAATGAATATCCAGTCCTAGATTCTTACTATCTTCAGATCTATTCGATCTTCCTACATTCTTCTCTTGGAGCGGTTGACTCTCTCCCAACATTGTTATGCCTAACGGGAATCTACTTTATGAGCAAGACTGCAGTGGTCTCAGTCGTAAAGACCTCTGATCTTCCAAAAAGCGACGGCGGTGATTGATAACGTAGTTCGAGCTCCAGACAAATGGGGGTTGGTAATATATCTCCGATGACCAGGTGTCGATAGCACGATGCCGGGGTTTCTTCGGAAGCTCCAACAGTTTGATGACAAGTACAACACATTTATCTGATATAGTAGTGATTACTTCTGCAAGTTGTCTTGAGTTTTTGTACTAGCCGAGCTTACGCTAATAATGGACAATCCAGTGCTCGACGTTTCCCTGCAGGAAGAAGCATTGGTAACAAAATCAGACGAGAACATCGCCTCACCCTCAGAAAAACCAAACCTTTCAACCACTGAAACCGACGCCCTGGAAGTTGATGAGAATGTCGTTGATCTCGACGAGAATGAACCAGAACACCCCCTCAACTGGCATTTGTGGCGGAAATGGTCAATTGTTAGCTGTACGGCTTTGATGTTCATGTTGGTGTATGTTGATTATTCCGCGCCAATAGTTCCTCACCCCAAGCCCACGGGATTTTCATGATTCTCAAATAACACATCTAACGAGTTCTCGTAGTAACTTAGGTACCATCACCATTGTTCCAGCCGTGCCACGAGTTATGGAAGAGTTTCGCGTTACAAACGAGCTATACTCAACTTTGCTCGTATCCATCTGGGAGCTTGGTGAAGTCTTCGGACCTTTCCTCGTGGGACCTCTGTCGGAGATCTATGGGCAAATACCTGTATATCATGTTGGAAATATCCTGTTTATCCTGTGTTCTGCAGGAGGGGCTCTGAGTACCAATATGTCCATGCTCATTGCTTTCCGGTTTATAAGCGGACTGGTCGTTTGCTCAGTGACTTTGGGACCCAGTATCGTTGGGGATCTCTTCAGAAAAGAAGATCGAGGTACCGCTATGTCAGTAGCTATTACCTTTCCACTCCTTGGTCCATTTGCAGGACCGGTCGTTGGGTCTTATATTACCGAAGCGAAAGGCTGGCGATGAAGTATCTGGATTGTTGTGATCGCCGTCGGAGCGGTAACTTGTTTTGGATTTCTCACATTTCGAGAAACATACAAGGTGAAACTTGTGCAGCGAAAAGTAGAGAGACTTCGCAAAAGTACTGGAAACCAAAATTTGAGATCAAAATATGGAAGTTCGGAAAAACATGCGGATTTGAAGGATTCTTTGTTACGACCAATTAAAATGCTGTTTCTTTCGCCAATCGTGTTCATCATATCTTTCTTCACGGCTTTAGTTTATGGAATCTCTTACGTTATTCTTACCACTCTTACTCTAATATTAGAGGATAATTACGGACTTGGTCAAGGTCCTGTGGGACTTGCATTTTTGGGAAGAGGTATGAATTTTTGTTCATTTATCGCATGTATGTTAAGGAAACTAACTTATATCAGCTGCTGGAAATGTTATAGCTATACTTCTCTATGCCATGGTCTCCAACCGATACATCAAGCACAAAAAGTCACAAGGAGGACACCTAGAACCCGAGCATCGACTTCCCCTCATGCTTCTGGGTGCCGTAGTTCTTCCCGTCGGCCTTTTTCTCTACGATTGGTCTGCCAAAAAGCACGTTCACTGGATCGTTCCTATTATCGGTACTGCAATCGTGGGCTTTAGTTTCATATTATCAATACTTCCCACAGAGAACTATCTCGTCGATGTACATGAACTACATGCAGCTTCGGCAGTGGCTGTGTGCTGTATACTTCGTGCTTTATTTGCTGCTATTCTACCGCTCGTTGGTCCACCTTTGTATAAGCGATTAGGGCTCGGATGGGGAAATTCGTTGTTAGCTTTTGTTTGTATCGCTTTCTTATCTGCACTTGTGGCGTTGATGATCTATTAGGGAGAATGAGGACGAATTCGAGATTCCATTAGAGTTCTCTTCACATAAAACCGAATAAATTTACGTTGCCGTCAAGGGATTTCGGAGAATCTTTCCGAAAGACATAATCATCCGTGATCTGCCAAAATACTGCTTACGCCAAGTCGAAATCCGTGAGACTCATTCTCATAACGGTACGATCTCGACCTCGTGATATTTCGGTCTATTTGAGCAATGATTCCCATGACTTAACCGTCCTTTTGTGCGGTAGATAACGCACCTAATAGACGTCTATATCTTCTCTTACATCTATCGAGTACAAGGCATTGTGAAATAATTTTCTCATATCTCAAGATGTACCAGACAGGAACTTTCATGATACTTGTGTCGTTCATTGTGACAGGTTCTATAGCATCAATCATCCCAAATATCCCAAACAGACCCCTATCTCCTCGAGAATGCCGAAATATTCCACCAACTTGGATCTCCCAGATATCAAGCGTCGCTCCTAATTCAAGCTACTCAAATGCCATAAGTAGCAACGGTGCTGGTTCATTCTTCGTATACCAGAATTTCAGTAAATCTCCTTATTTCTCTAGTCCCACTCTCACATTCACCGTAATTTGACTGCTAACAAGATATTCCAGCTACCGCTCTTCTCCAATACATATCCTTCACCATCCCTTCATCCACACAGAGCCCCTCTAGCACAAATCAAACCTGCACCCTCGCTGCCACCTTCCCATTTTTCGAATCGCAATATCTAGGTTGGTCACACACCTCACCTACTCCACCCGCACTCGATATCTCTATCATCTCCCCACCCTCCAATTCTCCATTCGATATCTCACCAACCTGGACTTCAACCTTCTTCCCCGAAAACTCTGATTTTCCTCAGCATTTTGGAGTACTCACACCAGTGGTGCGTCTCGATACAACGATTAATTCATTGCCATGTCCTGAGAATGGTGTGTTAAGCTTTGTGTTTCAGTTTGCGGATGGCATTGTGGGAAATAAGAACGTATATGAGATATGGCCACAGTATCCAGCGGGGTTGTCATCGGGTTTACCGATGACGGGTGTTTATCTAAGTGTGTGCTGATCGTGGATGATGGTAGTCATTGGGTATCGTAATTTCTGAGTGGAATGAAGTCCAACATTGCTGAAGTCGCTCGATCTCTCAGCTTGAAATCAGAAGTTCCTGGAAGGATTCGTCTGCGTGTCTCAATACCAATGCACAACGATTATGTCAATAAATTTCTGTAGTAGATATCTCATGATACAAATCGACCACATGAACTGAAACTGAAACTGTGGTCTGATTGCTGCCAAAGGCGTAAAGAAATATACGTCCCCAGGTAGATCCACAGGACTTACAGGCAAATTTGCATTTCTCCTTTTCGGCTAAAACTTAGAACTCCTTGTACGTCCAACAGGAATGTCCCAGTCGTGCTCAACACAATCGCATCCTATGGATATTCTTCTATCTTCAAGATCCTAATCGTCATGAATATTAATGAACATCTAGATGCGTGCCATACGATGACGAGATGAAGATGCATGGCTAAACATCCATCCACCGTAAAAATCGACTATTCATCACTATCAAAAGCTGGGCACTCAACTTCTTCTTTTCCCCTCAGGTGGTTCTATAACATTATTCAAAACCAAACATGCGTGATATACATAAACCAATCTCACCATAATCAACAACAGGAATAAAAATCTTTCCCGATCAAAATTCGTAGCTTCTCCATAACCAAGATAAGCTCTCTAGACACAAGTGAGCACTCCCCTTGAATAAGAATATATCATTATCCTGAAGCCCCCCATGATCCGTATTAGATTAGATGCTCAACCGCAGAATCACAAACATCCTACACAGAAGTTGGAGACCAATGCTGAACTAAGTTCACAGTGCCAGCGAATGAAGAGGAAGTTTGTGTTTGCACTTGCAAATCTGAGGTGGGAAACCATTACCCGGATGAATCCATACATGCGAGAAGTAAACTTCTGGTTCGAGCTCAAACTAGAAGTTCTGGCGTTATTATGATCTAAGGAACGTTTTGACTCGAGCTATCGGATGTGTGATTACTATGGTAATGCGCAGACTTTATCATCGTGAGTCGGACTAATTGTTAATTTTAAAAATGGCGAGTGATAGAGATATTGTTAATGACTAGTTAAACAACTATCAAATTAACATTACGTAGGTTTCCTGTTTCCTCGATATGATCCAAACTATCTGACTTTGGCGAGATGTTCACGAGATGCACATCTACGCTGCATAACCACATTAAATGATCGCACAACAACATCGGTTATGTAGGTACTTGTCGTAGTACTTCCCAATCGATTGAAAAGAACAACATCTTATATTCGCATCCGAAACCCTTCGTACATACAGCGGTCATATATTGACGCTCGCTAAGTACGTTTTGCTTGCTTCATCTTCACAACCATGCAGCAGTTGATTTTTCACCCATAAGCTTCTCTTAATGGGCCTTTGGATACTCAAAGAAGTTCGCCTGCCCTAGTAAGCACCCAGTGGAAGCATCGATTTCTGTATTACTGGAAGACCGACAATCACCGTTGTATGTTTGGAATTACATAGAACCTTGATATACAATCCTAATTCAGATATAGATTGCGGATTCTCATCCTGCTTCGATTTTCAAGGCTACTAGGAAATCATGCACTTGAATCAGAATTACGCACGGGTCATCTGAGTTCCGAAAGAGCCACTGTCAAGCCCCAAAAAAGGTGGCTATAATATTTGCACAGCCCGAAACATCAGACATGCAACATAAGTCACAAATAAGGGTCTGTGAACATGAGGCTGAGGTTATTGCCCAGGTGTATTTTGAAAAGTATGTCATAGAAATTGAATCCGTACGTAATATGAAGATCATGAATCGGAAGCTAAAGAAATTCATTATCATGGATCGATCATAACCTGCTATGAAAACACACGCACCCAAGTCTCGCCATGCAATCCAGTCTAACGCCTTTCCCCCAAGATAGAGGTATCATAAGTCCGTGTTAAAAGAAATCCGTCAATATTGTTGGTAACCTCCTTGGGCAACCTCTTGTGGCGCATATCCTCTTTGCATCGGCATCTGTCCTTGTTGGACTTGTGGGCGTCTCATTGCTCCTGGTAAGTCGTTGAACCATGGGTGGCTTAAAGCATCGTGTGCGCTGATTCTCAATTCTGGTCTTAATTGCAGCATCCTCTGAAGAAGGTCGATACCAACCGCATCAATTTGAGGCAAAATAACTCGTAGATCTTGAGTTGCATACATCTGAAAGTTTGACTTGTACTCGGTAAATTGAGAGATTCCAGGCCATGTTCGTTCAGATGGTGTTCCCATGATCCTGAAAATTCGTACCAACTGATCCTCATTGGTTGTACCAGGGTATAGGGGACGTCCAGTATACATCTCTGCCATGATACATCCCGCAGACCAAATGTCAATACTAGTATTGTAGGTTCGACTTCCAAGGAGGACATCTGGTGCTCTGTACCATAAAGTAACCACCTCGTTGGAGAAAGTATTGACAGGGATACCAAATGCACGCGCAAGACCAAAATCTGCAAGTTTGAGTTGACCCTTCATGTTGATGAGGAGGTTTTGGGGCTTGAGATCTCTGTGAAGAACCCGGTTTTGATGACAGAAATCGATTCCCTTAAGGAGTTGGTGCATGAATGATTTGATCGTAGGAGGTGGTAAAGCTCCTCTGTCTCCTGCAGTATCCATGTATTTCTTCAAGTCCTTGTCCATATGTTCAAAAACCAACATGAGTTTATTCTCGGTATGTATGACATCGTGTAAGCTGACAATGTTCTCGTGTTTCAACTCTTTCATCAAGGAAATTTCTCTGATCGCAGTCGATGGTGTACCTTCTTCAGAATCGAGGTGGATCTCCTTCAAAGCGACAAGTTCACCAGTCTGTCTATTTCTACCTTTGAAAACCTTGTATGAGTCAGTATCGAAGAACATCTACAAGTCCGCTGCAGCAAGAGCCCTCGTTAGGATAGTCAATCACGCGCAGGTCGCGCAGCGCTACATGGATCTCAAAATCCCTCTCATGTACTCACAGTAGCGTATGTACCCTCTCCTAGCTTCTCCAGCTGCTGGAAGGAACTGGGGTGTTTCCTATTGTCCATTTTGTCTGTGAGGTGTTCGGTATCAAGATCTTGTATGCTGATAGAACTTGGCAGAGAGTGGGGAAGTCGCTGCGCAGTTGGAGAAGGGGGAAATGTGTGAGGAGGTCTTAGCAAAGATCTCTTGCGAACTGTATTGAATAAAAAGGACTTTGGAGTGCAAGTTTGCTCTAGAATCGACAGCGCGTCTTTCGACCCGTGAGAAGCCGTTTTGATTGATTGTATTAAAATTGGAGATCTTTCCCAGTGGAAAAGAAAACCGGAGCAAAATGATGTAGGGATTAAATCACTCGAGAAACGATCGTCGGGAAATGCTTCCAATAATCGTTCATGTATGGCCCAGTGAGGGTGATACAATAGGAAGAATGGTTGATGAAAGTAGCCATATTAAGTTTAGCCTCTTACTATTATCCAAATATGGGTATATTACACCAAAATAGGGCGCTTAAATATGAAATATCAGGCGCTTAATAATTAAGGTTGATGCGAAGTAAGGTTGAGATAAAACTTGATGCCTTATATCATCTCTCATTGGTGCCTCAGCACGTGCCCCGGTGCTTTTGACACTAATGCCGGTATCATCTTAGTACAGATCGGAGTTAGGTAAGATTCACCGCTAATCGGCTCCTGTACTTTTGGCTGATTGGGCTCTGCTTCCATGAAATGAATCAGGAATCAGGATCTCTTCTTCCTGTATTCAATATCACGCGGCGGGGTACTAGTAGGTATTGTTACATGCCTACCTAAGCAACCGTGCTATAACTTACGAGACAACTTCAATTCTTAATAAAGGGATTGTTTGAATACCTACAATTCTTTAAGGAATTACCATACAATAGGTCTTCAAAGCATTTAAAAGCATGATAAGAACTTGATCCCCGCTTCTCCACAAACAACCTCCTTATCAAACAATCCAAAATGCGCCCTTTACCAGGCGACGACGCTTACAGGGGGAGATCTCGAAGTAGGAGTATTAATGATAACGACATAACACCACTCGCAACAAGAACACAAGCTCCGCAGATGAGCTACTTTCTTGCAGATGAGAGAACATTAGAATCCGGAGAAGCTCAACCTATTCGTGTTCCATTAAAACACCGAGATTCTTTGAAGAATAGTACATACGGTGTGGAGAGTATTGACACAACAATTAGCTCTTTCTCGGAAGGTAGCGGTGATGAGGATGAAAAATACGACAGGGCTAGGGAGAAATTCAAGAAGAATTTGGCAGAAAAGTTACAATCTGTAGGAGATTCGAGATCTCGTTCCCGAAAGCCATCCTACGATCATAGTGGAACTACTTCTCCAGTCCGCCCTTCAACTACCGAAGCCTCCAGACCTTATACCCCTATGTCCTTATATTCCGCCGCCGGAGAATCCATTATAAGTAGTCCTGGTTCGAGAATATCAGATACAGAATCATTAAATGACGAAATATCAAGTCAGGCTATTGTATTTGGTGGAGAAGATGAACAGAATGCGCCGGCAATGATGGATAGCTGCTCTGACCCTCAACTAGTTATGCCGAGTATAAAAATGCCCAGTAGACGACCATTTACTGAGAAGGGGAAGAACATGGGGAGGTTGAAGGTATTAATCGCTGGTGATTCCGGTAAATAAACCTCACTCCATCACATCTGGCTCTTCTGACATTCTACAGGTGTTGGCAAGACATCCTTAATCAAAGCGATAGTACAAATCTGTGAAGATATAGTTCATGTCGATCCTCTATCTACCTCACCACCCCCAGTTTCCGATAAACGACGACATTCCAAGAATAAAGCCAAATCTGGCGGTGGCAATATGCAGACTACAACTCAAATCACAGAAATATATGCTAGCACCAAGGCATATCCTAGCTGGTGGTCGGAAGTTGACGAAAGCAAGGTCCTACGTCGAAGAAAGAGTATGGGCGATTCAGTTCTAGAAAGAAATATATGCTTTGTTGATACCCCTGGTTATGGAGACAAGACTTCCGTGAGCCTCGTCTTACTGTCATGGCTATACCATCAGCTAATTAATCTAGTGCCTCGAAGTGATCACTCCTGTTGTGGATTATATCGAGTCTCAATTTCAGAAAGTTGAATCTAAAGATGGCATGACCGATTCTGATATGATACATTTGCTTGGTGGAAATGGCGGTTCTCAAGTGGATGTCGTATTCTACATCATCGTAAATCGTAAGCCTTTGAAAACTTTACTATCTACACAAACAATTAACCCTTGGCCAGGAATCAAACCTGTTGATATTGAATATCTACGACGCATATCTTCAATGACAAACGTTATACCTCTTATAGCACGATCAGAAGTATTGTCGCTTGAGGACCTTGCCAACGTCAAAAGGCATGTATTGAGCGAGCTTCAAGCTGCCAATATACGGCCATTTCTCTTTGGCTTATCCTTTGACGACGCGCTGAGATCCTCTCAACCAGCTGCACCTTACGCTATATCCACTATGTTGTCAAAAGACCACGAGACCATGGATGCTAGCTTTCTCATGAACCCTGACTACGTTCAACCGTTAATTCAGTCAGAGCTAGCAGCTCTCGTCGATCAATTATTCGAGCCAGATAGCATAGCATGGCTGAGAAATTCGGCAGCGAAGAAATTTATAGCATGGCGGAATAATCAATCGGTGCTGAAGCCAAAAGGTTTGTATCGACCTCTTGCGCAATCAATGATGTCGTCATCTACCTCACAAGTTCTTACTGCGCCTGTTGGTGCTACAACATCTTACGCGTTGGCTCGTATAACAGATCATACTCAACGTGAAGAGAGGCTCGCACAAGTAAGACTTTCGAATTGGGCCATTGATTTGCAAAGGAGTCTTCAAAATGAGCGTGCTAGATTCGAAACTTTAGCCAGGAATGAAAGGGCGGTATGGTTGACAGAGAGACTTGGAGAATGTGTACAGGATGGCACGCTTGTACCAATCTCTCAAGCCCGCCAATCCCAACGGAATTCTGATCCTGGAGCTTTAGTCAAGCGAGGAAAATATTCTCGAACATCTTCAAACTCGGCCCTGAATACACACGATCCCCTTGGGATTTTAGAATTCAACGAAGACATGAAACGACGAGGTATCATCGCACTACAAGTGGTGAGTAGCTTTGGGATCATTGGTGGTTTGGCATTTTGGATCAACCGCAATTGGCAACCCAGTGGTGCCAGCATATGGGGATTAGATTGGACTGGCATCCAAAAATTCGTCGATTGGAGATGAAACTCACGATTATGATGCATTTAGCGATTTGGCTGTCCTTTGTGCAAGATATTCAAGATAGTTTGTTCAATTCGTGGGGTGGGCCCACGGGCATTCCTGGTGTTTCTTGATGCATTTTTTTGCAGTGGGATTTATTGGCGTGATGATACGATTTTACATGACGGGGTAGGAATCTGGACGGGGAACATATGGCATTATTAGTATTTGTAGCCTGCTGATGCAAATGCGAGATTCGTGGCCTTGTAGCTGATGCGCGAGCGAAAGAGATACCAGTTAAATAGCATATCCAATCTTAATAGTTCTTTTTTCAACCCAGTCAAGTATTATTGGTCTCCCTTGCAACTCCTTACGGTTTTTTCGAATTTTGGAGTGGGCTTACCTATTGATATAGGTACGTACCTTGAATCATTCGTTCGTACTTATCTCAATCGTCCACAAGTTTCCCGAGGCATAAGGGCTCTGAAACTAAATGTACAGTCGCACATCCTCACTCTGAGATCTGCTGCGTTCTTCATACTGACATTTTATATAGTTGAAAAGATCGAAATAAGAGAATTGATCTACACAACCAACCATGGACGTCTAAATTTTTATCGCGGAATATTAATGATTATCGAATCCAAGGTAAGGATGTATCTATGAATATTCAGCCTTGTTGTGCTGTACAATGATAGTAGCATGCTAGCTTCTGCATTAAAGCGGTGTTGGGCCGCTCAGCATCTAGACTTTTACCGACCGACCGTATTGCTGCAATTTCTTTCTCAAGAAAAACCACAACATTCGAAATCCTAAGAATCTCTCCGAGCTCATTCTTCGAATGAATTCTGGAAAGGTCATGAAGCCGCGCAAGCACCAATTTCACCGATTCATAGTTAAGCAATTCTCTAATCCTCCCGCAAAGCTTAGTATAATTCCGAGGTTTCCACTGGTATTCGTTTCTTCCTTCAGTAGGCTATGCCCAGTATTTTGTCACGATTAGATTATATCTTGCGTAGTATTTTCCTAGACGAGAGAAGAGGTGGTATTTATGAAGATTCAGGGGTGTCAGACCTCCAAGCACGTGGTTGGGGGTTGTTTCGAGTTTTGGGTGGAAGGATTTTTTGCATTTAGTTACACTGTCTTGTTGAGCTCACTACCCCTGAGATTATGCATTACTTTTTGAACTTCTGGATGGATAGTTCCGTTTGATGTTGGGACCTTCTAAGAATGGTACCTTACAGTTGTTTATATCATTAGCCTTGTGAAGGGCTGGTTTCATGTTTCCTGGGGAATCGTTTGATATGAAATCGAGTGCCTGTTCTTGGAAGAAATGGAGTCTTTTTATATACTCTCGTCATTCCTCCGATCCTACCCTCTTATATTTCCTTGATTTCTTTGATCGAATGGTTGTATCAAACCAGCTTATGGGAAGCAGCGACAAGCTTCCCCAGAAAATAATATGTTATGATACTGGTGGCGCAAAGGAATAAGGATCATGAAGTTGCGCAGTGGTGAGATGAGGATGAGTGGCTTGTTGCAAGGGAAAGGCAAGTTTAGATTCCTTTTCTAGTATGCCAAGTATATATATATGCCAAGATCATGTTCTTATAGTTTCATCAGTTCAGAAACTGTATTCAAATTCGCATTCTAATTTTTGCATCTTTCATTATCACACTCTTTACAGTTCAATTTTTTGATTCCAATATCGGCGGGTCCTTACTTGATTTCTTCAGCATTTTTGCATCAATTCAAACAAATCAACCTCTTAAGCCCAAGATCACGCAAATAGACATCTATCATCATGCAATTCTCCAAGATCTCCGGCGCAACTGCCGCTCTCCTCATCTCCATGATCTTCGCTTCCCCCATTGCTCTTACCTCCGATGTCGTTCAGCACAGTGGATCCCACGTTAAACCTACCGGCCCCATCGAACACTCCTTCAAGATCCACCCTACCGGTTCCTTCACTGCTAATGAATCCGTCCCCACCGGCACAGAAGAGGAGGAATCTAAATTCACCATCAACCCATCTGGTGGTAAGAACGAAGTCCACCACTTCCGACCATCTGGTGTCGAGTCTCACGATGGTTCCAAACCAACTGGCCTTGCATCCAAAGTCCACGATAGTAGCCACGCTAAGCCAACTGGTCATTTCTCTAAAAGGGCTGTTGAAACCGATATTCTTGAAGGTGCTATTGTGAGCAAATCCCGTAAGGCAAAGCCTACAGGAAGTACAGTTCACGGATATGACAGTGTTCATACGCAGCCCACTAGTGGAAAGAAAGAACATGCCCATCCTTCTAAAATCCCTGTCTTCAAAGATGAGAAACCACATGAGAGTGGTCAAGCCAAGGTATCTGGAAAGGGAAGAAAGGAGCATAAGAGTGGATATATCAAACCCACTGGAGCTAAAGAGCATAAGTCACATGAAAGTGGACATGCTAAGACATCTGGAAAGAACGGAAAGAAAAATGAGTCCACTTATGCTAAACCTACTGGAACAAAAGAGCATTTTGCTCATCAATCCGGCGATGCTAGACTTTCTGGTGCTAAGGGACACTCCCAGGTTCACGAGTCGAGCTATGGTAAGCCTACTGGGCATAAGGAACCAGCTCGTGCTTTTGAGAGCGGACACGTCAAGCCAACTGGTACTCACGAAAGTGGACAGACCAAACCAACTGGTAAAAATGGCAAAGATCACGAGAGTAAAATAGCGAAGCCAACAGGCAAGGGAACTAAAGAGCACCAATCCGGCCACGCCAAACCAACCGGTAAAGGAGGTAAAGAACACCAATCTAAACACATCAAACCTACCAGCACTAAAAATCATTCTCGAGCGCACGAATCCGGTCACGCCAAACCGTCCAATCAGAAGGAATCCGCTCGGGCTATTGAAAGCGGTCATGCTAAACCTACTGGTGTGCATGTGCAAAAGCCTAAATTCACGAGTACAATTGAGATTGAGAGTAAGATTTATGAATTTAAGACTGAGACGATGACGTTTGGAAGTAAGACATTTGTCGTTACGGGGGTTTTGCCTGAGGAGACGGGAAGGGTTAATCTTCTTTAGAGGTCTAAGAATTGGAAATTGGGTCGTTTTGATTGGAAGGATTGATGTTGAACATTTTTCTTTTTCTTTTTGCGAGATTAGTGATTTGGAGATGGGGTTTGGATTATTTTTCTGTATCTCTGTGAAGGGTTCTTTTTTGTGAGGGCATGGAATGTGTATGTTTCAGCGTCTGGGATGGCTGGTTTGAATTATGTTGTTTTGAGAGTGCTTAGTGGGATAGATGGGAATGGAAATCTGTGGACAGAGTTTTTATGATATTGAATGTCCGAATTCGTGAGATTTGAGGTAGGTGTGTATTGTACAGTCTGATATTGAATGTTGATTGGAAACGAAATGCGCATTGGTCATGTAATATTATTGAGATATCACTATTCTAAGCTTCTAAGCAATTTGTAATCCTTCGCCCTGTTCATTGTTCCATGATTTTGAATCGAATCCGCTCAGATGGATGGTTACCAACCTTCATCGCTGACGACGAGAGCAGATGCGGTTTTTTCCGAGGTATTTGTCCTCTCGGATTGGGGCCACCAGTGGGTGTACAAACTGACGGGACACTCCAAAAATGGACTTGTAGATATCTCTTAATATATTCAAGTTTATATTTTAAAACTCGAACCCAGTTCCGGTTTTGAATCAAGCTTTCTGGGTTGTAGTGGGAATAGTAGTAAGTTCAAAATAGATTCAGTTTATCTACACCAAGGCAGCTAATGCTACGCTGACTATGCGATGCGCCTATGTGCCTTGTGGGATTGACTTACAAGTTAAGCAACCAAACGTCTGAGGTACACTGTTGAAAGCCAATTATTCGGAACCTTACTTCCAGAGCATCAGCTTCTTCAGATAATGACTCGGTGGCTTTTAGGAAAGGGTATTGATTTGCTTTTCACAACACAAGGAAGGTATGCAAAAGAACTTAATGATGTGCAATGATTGGTGGAGCTCTGGTGACGATCACGAGATCGTTGACTGCAGCACCTACATTAATAGAGTCCTTCAAGCCATGGCCGAGTGACTTATTCCCCCTCCAAGATTCCCGACTCGTTTTCCCAACCCACTCTTTACTCGGGGAAACAATTTGAGCTCGCCGTGAAGCGAATATCAAAATAGGGGCTATGCAGCTTGGACCAAATAGTGAACAGTACGTTTACCTGTCAGTTCCAATGATCTATAGTTGGCGTGGGGGTTGATAAGGGGTTTGGATATAAGAAGTCTGTGGAAAAGACAAGCACAAAACCTTAACGAAGATAAAATAGAACACACCTGCCGATATAAAAAATTCACTCATCGCTACCAAAATGAATCCAGTCAATGCCAAGCCTTACGAGCTTCCAGCTGATGCAACCTGGTTGAGTGCGCTCTTCCCCTCTCTCGTTGCGAGTTTGAAAATGGGAATATGACTAATGTTTATCGTGAAAAGTTACCGGCTGCTCATCTGGAATCGGTCGCGCCATCTCGGAATTAGTTGCCAGTAAACCTAATCAGCGTTTGATTGCCACAGCTCGCAATCCATCCGACCTCTCTTACCTTCCCGGCTCTAATCCTAATATTCTTAAACTCGCTCTCGACGTAACCTCTTCTGCGTCAGTGAACAAAGCATTTGCTACTGCTTCTAAGCATTTTGGTGACTCTTTCCATCTTGACATTGTCATAAATAATGCTGGTTATTCCCTTTCTGGAGATACTGAATCGGCGCCTGAGGAAGAAGCGCATTTGGAAGTCGAAACATTATTTTTTAGTGCAGCAAGAGTCACAATGAAAGCTGTTGAAGTCATTCGCCAGCATAAAGAACATCGTGAAGGGGTTATTTACCAGATTTCCTCACTAGCTGGATTGTGTTCATTTCCTGGTAATGCTTATTACCACGCTGGTAAATATGCAGTGGAAGGTTGGACTGAATCTGTTGCGCGAGAAATGCACCCCGATTGGAATAGTATGCTGATAAATGCCTTCATTTTTCACTTTATTGTCTCTTCCCACACAACTAACACTTTCTCTCTCTTCACCAGTCAATTTTTGTATAATTGAGCCTTCTGGTGTAAAAACCAACTTCGAAGGTCACAGCAAAGCCCACACTGCACCTCATCCCGCCTATCCAGCTCCCAATATGCCAACTCGTGCACTCGAGAAATGGGTAAATATGGGTATCGAGAGCGGTGTTGGTATGCTCGACCCTAATGGTATAGCAGAAACTATTTATAAGATAGCTAGTCGTGGGGAGATAGTACCACTTCGACTTCGTTTGGGTCCAACGGCGTGGAAGTTGATTAGACAGAAATATGAAGGGTTCTTAGGAGATTTAGATGCGGTTAAGGATATCAGTTTTATGGGGAAAGATACTGGACTTCAGGCTGTGAAATTTTCGGACGTGTGGGAGCGATTGCTTGTTATTGTAATGCCGCACGATGAGATGGATAGGGTGGAAGGTGTTGTAGTTGAAAGAGATTCAGCATCTTTTCAATGCCGAGGCTTTTTCGTAAAATCATTGATCCGGTCCGAACTTTTTTTTTGATAATTCATCAACTTCACAAGTTAATAAGATGCTCAATGAAAATACACTATACAACGCTATTATTATTATTACTATCATCGCTGGATTGGCTGATATGTACTTTTCCTCAATTCCTTGCCTGGCAAATTGACCCATACACAACCTGCTTATTTGTCTACTTGATTTGCTGCACCCGAAGTACTCATCCTCATTTTTGTCTTTCTAGGAAGTTTCTTCAAGGCTTTCGAAATATGCCATTTGAAGCCCCGCTTTTTTCTATTGTGATGAGGTTTCCAGAATATTTTCGATACCCTCATTTCTCTCTATCGCTGCATGTTTACTTCAACTAATCGTCTGGCTAAATCAGATGCCGAAAGTTCTTCCTGATGCCCAGACAGATCTTTATCTGACCATCGAGTAATGGAGGGTTCTAGAGGGGTCCAACTATGGTCAATCATCAGTCTATCCTCCATGTTGTAATCGGATTGAAACTTATTGTCTTCTCCTTTATCCGTGGCGAAGCTGCGCTCAGCCATACTGCCTTCGAGCTCCTTATCTAATTTACAAATCTCCTCCTCTTCTTCTTCCTCTTGTATGACTGGCAGATCAGGGCTTCTTGATTTTACAGGACCGTGTTGAAATCGATCGAAGTCAATCTCGACTGGGGAACCTATGCAATAATCGTCGACTGAATCGTCTGAAAAGTTGTCAAGGTTCAGATCGAATGCGGGTGATAGAAGTGAAGTTCCAGAACTGACGCTGGTCCAAGATTCATCTCCTTGTTCATATAATGATGGCGCATGAAGCAGATCATCAGAGACGGCATTGAGCGAACTTATAGGTCGAGGCGATAGGACATACTCGTGTGATGTGAGAGGCTCAGTGGACGGCGACACTCCAGTATCTGGTTCTGTGGTGCTTATACCATGAAAGCTCCTCCAGATGCAATTATCTCGGGACCATCGTTTCTCCGCTTGATGATTTCCATTTTCTCATTATAAGCCGTTACATTTAGGATAAATTGGCCGTGAGTGATCTCCTTAATGATCACTTGGTAGAATATCGCAATGCAGATTTGTGCTTTGTATCGATACTGTATTTTATGTGATTCGAATAGGTGCAAAGAGTCTCGGTTATAAGGGACGTTGAGGATTTTGAACAAAAGTAAATAGTCATGATGGGTGTCCTTCAACGATATTCTGATTCTGTTCGTTCCTTCTCTGTGTCAATAAATGGTTACTCTTGCGGGTAATCCTTATGGTGCATGGCAACAGCGTACAGTCGAATTTCATTGCATATAACAAAATAAGTCTGTACCCACAATCTATTCCCAATTAACCGCATTTCAGAAAAATAATTTTGGACGCCAAAATTTTATTACTTATCAGAATCATTATTCAAATCTATTATTTACATTGCACGATTAATTATTAATATGAGCGGCCACAATTTTATGGAGGGACTAGAAGCAATGGGACATAAAGCATACTCAGAAGGCATAGGATATAGCGCGATTTATAGTTGGTATGGCCAAACCATGGATCGCCTCCAGAGTGATGGCTCAAATATGTCTGAAGAGTTTCGATCACTGACGGCCAAAGTCGAGACATGGAAACATTTCTGTGAGTGGGCTACTTCTGGAGAAATTTGTGTCGCATGCTGATTTTGCTCCAGGGCCTGATGAACCTTTCTTCGCGGGTATATCGTCAAAAAGAACCTCAAGACAATCCTTCGAGTCCGAAGATCAAAATCAAACCAAGAAGTTTGCAAAAAGATTGATTTCCTCTTCGTCAGAACAGCATTCGTCGCAGAAAACTCTCAGTACACTATCACCAACGGAAGAATCGTCAAAACAACCCGTCATACAAGATCCAAGTCGATCACCAATCAATCCACGGCAAGAATATAATGACAACAGAGAACAGAATTACAACAGTTATCACAACGCGACTTGCGCAAACTGTAATATGAGAGGCCACGTCTTGAGTTACTGTGTGGCTCCTGTGGACGAGTTTGGATTCATCTCAGGTTGTCCGCGATGTAATACCAAGGAGCATTTATATGACGAATGCCCTAGGCCAACAAATATTAGAGGCAGGGGAGATTGGGTTTATCTTATTCTGGTACAAATTTTCAACAGCTGAAGGCCTTGGGGATTCATGGCTAACATTATACGACCAGAATAGAATGAACTGTCCTCCAATTCGTTGTTCTAAGGATATTCGTAATATATCAAAACTTAGGTCGAGGAGACAGCCTCCATGGACATACGACTTTTCCTTGAAGCAAGCTGGCAAATTTGAGGTATCATACGATGGCTATGGGAGACCGAAGGGATTATATCCAGATCCAGCATGGAAAACTCCAGACAAAGTTCTCTGTCAAGCATACCCCCGCACGATGGATATAATTTTACCAAGGCTATGGAATATTCACAGGAGGTTGATTCGAAAGTCAGCCGACCTAGGCCACAAGTTTGAAGTGTTCCTAAGTCGGTGAGCGAAACAGCAAGTGATAACGAAATAATCACTTGTGAGATTGTTCGCTTGGCAGAAGCTCTTGAAGATATTACAGAGTTTGAGTCAAAAGAAGCTAGAGGAGAGCCGTTGGCCATCCAGATGCGCAATGATATCACGACAAAACAGGCGAAGGAGCTGGAGTTAGAAGCAAAGCTAAATGCTTACCATGTACCAGAAAATTATCGCCCAGTGAACAATGACTCATCTATAGACAACGAAATGGCTGTTTCTTCAACTGAAGGAAAGGGCAAAGGCAAGGCAATAAATGTCCGCAGTACCTCATTTTCCTGCAAATATGTAGAAGAAGAGCAGAACATGTACCAGAACTATCAACAGAGGTATGCACCTGATAGTCCCTTCAATGGAGGTACTTCGTCCAAAGTCCCAAGCGAAAGCACACGTCCGTTTGAGAATTTGGTTACTAGAAAAGAAGTCGGAAACAATCTAACTCCCGCTGTCGAAAATTACAAACCGCGAGATTCATCATGTCCAGGAAAGGTTCCAGATTGTGTTCCTGTCAACACAGATACTCAGTCAAGTGGTCAAAGTGAGCAAGGAAAAAATCAACTGTCAAAATTTGCAGAATTTAGGTACGAACAATCTAGGGAACAGAAACAGTTGGAGAAGAAAATTTCCAACTTAAGGAGGGACCTCAAAGAGATCAATAGCTTTGAGAAGAGGTTGGAATTTTTGACGACCGATCAGTGCAATCAACTTAAGATGAAGGAGTTCAAGGAGAGGGAGTTGAGAGTCTTGTTAGAAACCCGTAGTCGAAACGTAATATATCCGGAATCAACTGCTGGCTCGAAGTTAAATGCGACTGAAAAGCATCATTCTTTTGGAGCACCACCAAGACAAGCATCTGAGCTGGAACATATAGAAGATCCTCACAACAGCAGTACGGTAGACAGTAATAAGAATAGTGGTGAATCTTCAACAAGCGAAGAATTGCCACCGGAAGGCTTTCCGATCAAGAATTTTAAATCAAAAAATGTTGGTCGGAAACCAGCGATATGTACATCGTCAGTACCAAGACACTTACAACACTTTCCTTTCGCAAGCATTGGAAAGTCACCTTTGAGCTATGTTCAAACCGCACCAAGTGTTGGAGATCAAGATCCAAACGGTGATAATGATTCCACGAACCCTGAGAGGTCACAGTCTTCGGTCGTTGAAAAGCAAGATTCATCTCCAGCATTGAACAGAAGACAGAAAGCCAAGGATATTTTGCATGGGAAATTACACCGATCATCGAGAAATGCACCAACAGTTCTCTCCGCTGCTAAAGCAATGACAATTGTTCCCAGACCACAGTCGCCGAGACCGTTGAAATCCATGACTGAAAGTCAAGAGACATCACCGGCTTTAAATGAAACACAACGTGAGAGTGTCGCAAATAGGTATTCGAAGCCACCCACGAGTCACACACAACTAGCTGCATTTAGTTCCGAGAATATCAACAAAGAAGCAACAATTTATGAGTCTAAGGAATCATATCACTTGCAACAATCTGATGAAGTCAAAAATCAAACAGAGCTTATCTCCGGGCCCATAGAGTTAAGGGAGTTAGCAACGGCCATTGATAACAGCGGAAATCTGCCCTCAGTATTGAATAAAAACCAAACTGACCATGTGGGAAACACAAATCTGGAGCTAGCTTCAAGGGAAGCCCAAAAGATCTCCAAAGTTGACGAAATCCATCAAGATACTATCAAGTTGAAGGAAAACCACCCTCAACAGAGTCCTCCACCATATGTAACCCCTCTCAAAGCAAAGCAGATGTTAGCTTCAGAAGATGAGTCGCCTTGTACATTGCCACAATCAAATAGTAAATTACCCTTATCCGTTAATAAGCCACCACATAAAAGAGAGAAGCAATCGATACCAGGTGATGAGCATCAGACATTGTTACTGCAAGAAGATACCACAGATCACGGCGAATCACATGTACCTGTTTATATACCACCGCAGATGAGAATCACGCAACCTCCTTCAAAGGACGAAGCGCCGCCTTCAACGGCGCAATCTTCAATACAGATGATAGAGCCGGAACAACTATCGCTCACGAATAGCTCAATTTCGCATAATCAACAATTATTAGACCCAGAAATAGCATACCAAAAAACATCAAATAAAGGGTCCTCGACTCTACCATATCAATCTTATTCAAAAGATGATGATGACTCCAGCTCTATACCTCAATATCCAAAAAGTCCTAGATCTTCTAATTTACAGCAGAAGTCACCCAGAACTATGAGACGGAGTGTGAAACGACCTGCATTATCATCTGATGCGTACTTACCACAACCAGAGAATCCTTTCTTGACACCATGTTTTAAGGAGACTGTTTCTAAACCTGGTGATTCATGGCCGCAACTTATAGATCCCGAATTCTTCGCTGAATTCTTTGCTGAATTCTTTGGTTATGAATGGCCCAATGACAAAATCGATTTATTAGTCCCGCTTCCAGAGCCAGATATCTTCTTATTGGTCGAAGAAGATTGTATTACTATAGAATTGCTAAGGCCATCAACCTCGCTGCCAGACCCAGATTTCTTCTTATTGGACGATGAAGATTGTGATGCTGAAGAATCGCTAAGGTCATCAATCCCAACAATACTACACCCCCGTCCTCAAAGTCAGAGCAACCATACAAGCAGTACAATATCTGGTGGGAATTCAGAAATCTACAAAGCAGTCAAAGCTGTTTCAGACGAAAATGCAAGCAAGATATGTTTTGAGTGCAACAAAGTAGGACATTATTTAATTGATTGCCCCTCGAGTTGGAGACTTGACGCATTGGTTCTTGACAATTTTCCTCATTCGAGCTCACGATACCGTGCCGGCTTAGGAAATAATATGCAGGCTAAAGCTAAAGCTGATCTCAATCCCAGCGCCAATGATTTCATCCCGACTTGGTCAAGAAACATTCATCCGGTTCATACATCACTTCCTGGTAAATTTACTCGTCCCAGCCTACCTCATCTTGCAGATGCAGGGAACCAGTTACAGGCTAAACCTAAGTCTGATCTCGACCCCCCAACTGATTTGTTCTTCCCGAATCGGTTAACAAAAGGTGATCATTTAGTCGAGGGGTTACCTGCGAACTGGATCGAAATAGCGGAGAGAATCGAAAGTGTTTTCCCTGCGGATTGGGATCGAGAAATGAACAAGCGAATTGAAACTCGCTTTGGGGAAGTCCAGAAAGTCATGAGTAAAACGGGCTATAATTTCAGTCTTGGAAATTATTCAGATGATGAAGGGTCAGGAGAGGAAGAATCAGAAGACGAAGAGATAACCGTGAGACTTCCCTGGCAAACGAAGAGCTCTGACTGCAGCCCTTGGAGGGAAACTAGGGAAAGAAAACAGAGACCCCCGATCTCAACTAGAGCTACCGCAATCCAAGCAGAAGATGGTTATAATATGGAGGATAAAGTAAGAAACATGCTGACAAGAGGGTCTTCAAGTGGCCCTCACGCATTCCAACCAAGGAGAATTATGAATGGTACTGGGGGTTTCTATCCGGCTCCTGGAGATTGGTTCTGTCTATTAGGGGTGTGCAGCGAACGCAATACTTCAGAGTCTCTCATCTGCACGAAATGTTCCAGTCCGCGTGGAACAAGAAGAGTAGATGGTAGCATCGAGATTTTCCAACCCGGAGATTGGGTATGTCCATTCAGAGATTGTTCGAGACACAACTATTCCAAGCATGTCGTCTGTAAAGGTTGTGGTGGTCGTTCAAAAGCACCAACGACAGCTCCCATTCTTTGGAATTGTAATTCATTCAATTGTGGCGCGCCAAATGATAACGGGGTGGTAAGTTGTCGAAAATGCGGTAATCCGCGTATTATTTTTCATAATCCGCCGCCTCGAGCAACAAGCAATGTTTTCCATGCAGGTGATTGGTATTGCGGTACATCAGGATGTGCAGCCCATAATTCTTCTAGAGATATCAGCTGTTGGAAATGTGGCGGCACGGATACCACACTCGTTGCTCCTGGTCAAGTTGTGCAAACTACGACTGGCTATTTCCCTCCTTCGGGTTGGAATTGTAATATTATAGGGTGTGGATCTTACAATCAGTCGAACTGTTTCAATTGTTGGCGGTGTGGAAATCCTCGTGCTGTATTTTTCGAGGGATGTTGAGGTTTTGAATCTACACATGATTTCTAGTCCCGCTATGGCGAGAGCAGGATGATGTGGAATCGGATGGAGTTTGATGCGCGGGGATATCTTGGAGAGGAGTTGTCGAAAAAAGTGAAGAGATTTGGATTGCCTGGCTTGGCATTTATGATGGATGAAAGCTCGTACCATGAAGCTATGCCATCCTGGGAGTAGAATTACCCTCTACCCTCAACGTTAAAGCTACGCCTTATTCTCATCTCACCTCAACATCTCAATCCAAACCCAAATCTCAAATCTCAAATCTCAACACCCCCATCCAATTCTCAATCATCAATATCTAAAACCCCCATACATTCACCCCCAGCGAAACCAACCCCCTATTCAAAATTCAGATTCAAAATTCAGGATCCAAGATTTAGGATACATGAACATAGCGAAACACCTCTCTCTTCTTGAGTATAGAGTAGGGACTCAGTGATTGGAAATCAAGAATTTACTTTCTGTATTTATTTTAGGGATAGAGAGAGCACAGCGTGATGCGTTGATATAGTATAGCATAGCGTAATATGATATATATAATACTACTCGAGTAGTTACAGGATACTCAATACCCAGCACTAAATCCTCAGAACCAAACACACAATCTCCTAGAACCAATCTTCCAGAGGCGAAAACCAAACCCTCCCAAAATGAAACTCAAAATCCAAAACATCAAAGATTCCTGTACTGCTTTTGCTGTGACAGACAGATCAATCTTCAGACCCATATTCCGATTTAGACCCGAACGCACACCCTCCCTTCCCTCCCTCCTCCCAAAAGCGAAATGAAAAGACAGGGGGAAAAAGAACATCATATCATATAAACCTATTCGTTATCAAAAAGATACTATATAATACACATACAAATATATACATATTTATATACACATTTATACTCCATATTTATACATCTATACATCTATACATCTATACATCTATACATCTATACATCTATACATCTATACATCTATACATCTATACATCTATATATATCACTTCTACTTCCACTTCTACTTCCACTTCCACCTCAATGTCAATATAAGAATATAGTCTAGGTTCTAGAACGATTCAATCAAATTGATACCTAGATAGCTAAATAATCAACAATCAATAATGGATATATACAAACATATAAATATGTATTCCACTAGCCTGCTGTTCCTTTATTGCGAATATCAAGAAATCATACTCTACTTGAGAGATTCACCACTCAATACACAATATTCAATCCTCCCAGATCAATCCTCCCAGATCAATTCTCCCAAGCTCAAATTCAAACCCAAACTCAACCCCAAAGTAATTCCATTCTCCCGGATCAACCGCTCCAAACTAATAATTCAATCCTTTCCACTCAAACTCAAACCCAAACTCAACCCCAAAGTAATTCAATTCTCCCGGATCAACCGTTCCAAACTAACAATTCAATCCTTTCCACTCAATCCTTTCCACTCAAACTCAAACCAACTCAACCCTCTCAATTCCAAGCCCCAAATCCAAATCCCCAAACCCCAAAACATCAAATATACCCATCAAAACTATAACAAACACATAAAATCTTCAAATCCAAATCCCAATCCCAATCCCAATTCAAATCCAAGCCTCAAATAAAATCAAGCAGAAGTTCAGAGTGAGAATATTGCATCATATTATACGTACGTACCTATTATGCGTATTGAACGATATCTACTCTAATGTAATGTATTATATAGGTAGTAAAGTATTTCAATTATTTAAGAGATATCCATACTTAATTAAGTGCCATCTAGATGGAGTTATCGCCTCTAATGATTTCATCATCTCGCTTATTTTTTTCTGGGTTCTCGATTCATCTCCAAGTTTCGATACCCATTCACTTCATTACTCATTCAATCACGCATTCACTCACTCAAACATCATAGCATCTCATCTCATATTTATTAAAAATTTTTATTCATTCTTCCCGTTACACACCTCACCTAAGCAATCCTATTTACCATGCATCTACTTCCATCCCCCTCTACTGCCTTCCCAAACACTTTAGCAAGCGCGTTTCCACTAGCCAAAGGTTCTTCAGTGTTCACCAGCAATGCATAGATTTTTTTGTCTACACACCGGAGTATCCAGCCATCCGTTCTGAATCCATTTCATCCCAACCCACCCCATCCATTCATCGTCACCATACGAGCTCCACCCAACATACGTGGGTATAGCCCATCAACACATATTTTTTTTCCATTACCGACCCCATCCATCCATCCATCTGTAATCATCAAAACATGCTATGCATTATACCTTAAAGAAAAGATGTGAAATTGAAGAATAAGTGGTATGGCAAAAGAGAGCAAATAAAAAGTGCGTATGGGAAATCAAATTCTTGCAATGCCAGATAGTCGAGACAGACAAACGAGTACATCATAAATTGCGTAAATTCTGTGGTCCATAAAAAAAAGTTGCACCCAATCCATCCTCAAATTTTGAACGTGAAAAAGAAAAGCATGAAGCTATTCACATAGCATGATACCGCAGAAACTATGAGCCAATAATCAAGTTGCCGAACTTTTGCTGTCCTAAAAAGCATGAATATGAAAGAAAGGCCCCGAGAAGTTTTCGTGATCAAGTAGAGTACAAGGTAGAAGGGTCTTGGTCTCGTAAACCAAGGTGACTGAATATGATACATCGTCGAAGGTTTCATACTCTGGTGATGGGTGATGAATGCGACGTTTTAACTTAGAAGGTGGGTTTGTTGATATTTGCATTTAAGCTGCTTGAGTGGCACCACCACGACCTCCTCTTGGTCCATTAGCATTTCCACGTCCACGGTTTGCTCCACCAAAGTTGCCTCGAGATTGATTTCCAGGACGACCCTGTTCAAATCCACCACGGCCACGTTGGTTCATTCCACCACGTCCACCACCGGAGTAACCATTTCCACCGTATGCAGAAGCCTTTGGTCGGCGAGGTTCAACGTAGATAGTTTCTTCACCGATTTTGTGGGGGTTGGCCTGAGCGGCTGCTTGATAACCGGAGGCATTGGCGTATTCAACAAAAGCACAGTTCTAAACACGAATTAGCTACAATCATGAAACACATTTGATGAGCCGGTATAAATGGCATACCTTAGCGCGGTTGATATCAAAGTAGACCAACTCGCCGAAAGAGCTCAAGATGGAGCGCAATTCATCGTCCTTGACTGAAGCGTTGACATTACGAACGTATCCCAAAGTTCCCTTGTCTTCTGTTGCTTGCTGAGAGATAGATTGAGGTCTATTTTGTCTCTTGGCATCACCTCCAGCGGTTTGCCATCCGGCAGAACCTGTTGGTGAGTTATCCTTCTTCTCGGCAGCTGGAGTAGCAGCGGTTGTGGCTGGGGTTGTTGGTTGCTTAGCAGCTGTTTGAGCGACAGCAGCGGGCTTTTGTGCAGCTGGAGCGGCGGCCTTTGGTTGCACAACTGGTACAGCGGGTTTTGGTGCTGTGCCAGCTGAAGCGGCAAATCGGGCAGCCCAACTCAATGGCTTAGCTGGGGTAGCTGGTTGAACAGGTGCTGGCTTGGCGGCAGAGGGTTGTCTGGAAAGCTCTGGAGTCGGAACAGGGTCCTTTGGCTTTTCGGCTTCCTTGACTTCCTCATCAACAGCCTTCTCAATTTCCTCTGGTGTAGGGGCTGGCTCCTCAGCTTTTGGCTCTTCTGGCTTCTCCTCAACTTCGGTAACAGCCTCAGTTGGTTCTCCATTTGTAGTTGGCTCGGCAGTGGCGGGCTCAGCCTCAATAGTCTCTTCCAACTTCTTGTCAACGACCTCGGCATCTAAAGTAGCTTCTGGAGCTGCAGACTCCTCCGCAGCAGCTGGTGCAGCTGGCATTTCGACGTCATCAGCAATTGCAGCTGGCGCAGACTCTTCCTTGTTCTCAGTAGCCTCAACTTGCTCCTCTTCACCCTCATCATTGATATATCTGAAGACATCGTTGAGAACGAAATAACCGGTAGCTTGTTGAGCTAAAACGAAAGTTTGAACGAATTTCTTGGGCTCGGCAGATTTGTTGGAAGTTTCACCAATTACTTGAATGACGATGTTATCGAAGGAGGATTGGGAATCGACGTTGGTGACACGAACTTTGCAGTCTTGGAAATCAAGCTCGCGAATACGTTCTTGGATACCCTGCGAAAAAATTAGCCACAGTTGCAGTTATGAAGGCGCGCAAAACTTACAGCTCGGCCAACAGATACTGGCGCTTGAGCTCCCTCGACACCAGAAACGAATTGGGATGGCTTTCCATAGAAGAGCTATAGAATGTTAGCGCACACTGTAGTTTCAATAGCAGCAATCATAAAACTTACGTGGAGCTTTTCTGGAGATTTGCTTAAAGTAGTGTAATACTGCTCAACAAAGTACCATCCAACTTCATCTTTAGAGAGCTCTCCACCGGAAGCACCTCCGGTTGAGGAGCCAGCGGCACCTGAAGTAGCTGGATATTGTTCGGTTGTCTTGTATTGGTCTTGTTGATTGAAAGTACCATTGGCGGCCATGATTTTAGAAAAGGTGGGGAAGGAAGACTTTTGTCAACCTCACAAGAATTAGAAGATAAGAGGGGTCTCGGAGAGATATTTTTCTAAGAAATTTCAGACAGATGAAATGAACTGTCGCAGATGGGTTCGAACAAAGTTCAAAATAGGGTGAATAATCGCAGAATAGAGTCCTATCACAGAAATCGCGGGGTTTTCCAAATCTTGGGAGTGTTTGTTAAAGGCGGTTTGAGTATTCGTGAGATCTGGAGAAGATGATCGCTTTAAAGATTCAAGGATTGATATTACGAGCGTTATGTGGAGGGATTGATCAGAAGTACCGAAAGAAGCTTCTTGATTGTAGGTAAAAGTGTTTTGAGGCGTAGAAAGATATCGAAAAGAATTTTCTTGGTGTAGTCGATGGGTGGGAAAGGATGAAGCTGTTCTAAGTCTCCATTATTTTACAAATTCATAAGCGAAGAGAAAGAACTCCGATCTATTGCCTTAGGCATCAAGGAGTTTCGCGCACAGACCAGAACTAATAAATAACAAATAACAGGGTTCGATTAATGAGGAGAGATACGAAATGTAAGTGAATATTATAGTTAACTAGATGAGTGTTGAATATACATTGATATTCATGCCCTGGATAGCTATGACATAAAAGTCACTATTTGACAGTCTGATGATGTATGGTCCAACGATAACGCTGTCTCTGGGTTCTGTTCGGAATAATGAGTTTGTTGAGACAATTCAATTATTCTCATAGCTTCTTAAAAAATCCATGACCTTAAGAGTACTGCGAAGCTCTTAGACCATTATGCAATACCCATGACAGATAAAGCCTCATATGAGATCAAACCATCATCAATAGCATCCTCCAGAAGATTCCTTACCACCTCAGGTTGTAACTTAACATGTCTCAATAACTTATCTTGCTCACCATACAAACTCATAGCTAGAGCTTCCTTAACTTCAGCTTCCTCCAACTCCTTCCTCAACCCCTCGATTTTCGCAAAATTTCCAGCGCCACGATAGAACTTCTCGGCGTTCTTAGTTAAAACTGCGCCATTCTTGAAAGAAACCTCGTAGTTACTGGGTGGCTGTCCTAATTGGAATCTCAGAAGGTCAACATCGCCCCGTAAAATATGAATCTTTGGTAAGTTTTCAGCCGAAGGAAGTTGTGAAGCTTTCGTCAGATTGTCGAGCGCTGCCGTTAAGACCTTCCATCGTGATGCTGATGCTTCAGGTGATTGAGCTGCTTGATGATTCAGACGAAGAGAGGAGTTATATGAGATGAATGCTTCAGCTTTATCACAAAGTCCCTCGGGATGGTCGTCGAGGCTCAAGGATGCGTAAGCATCGTTCAAGGTTCGTTCGTATGTGCCAATATCAATTCGTTGGAATCTGAAATTGGCATCGGCGAGAGCGGAAACGAAGTTGGACTTTGCAAGACCAGCTTCTTGCTGTCGGTCTACAGTGCCTTCGAGGTAGGTTTGTAATTTTTGGCCAATCAGTGTCGTTGAATACTCTTCAATCCATGCTAGACCTCGACCAGCATCGACGTTCACCAGTCCACACAGTATTGCGAGTGTTTGAAGCTGAGCTACTACGGTATCTAGTAAAGTTTCAAGAGTTACTGGCTCAACAATACTAGCCCACCGATCATCTTGTGGGGGCTGAGAGTTAGAATCAGATAATGGAACTCCACCTTCCTCCATGTCTGGATCATCATCCGATGTGGGGACAGATTCAGCTTGGGTTTGTGATTCAGTGTATTGGTACTCCTGTAACGCCAAACATCTTTGAAAGAGCTCAATAGCTTCCTCCAGTAAAGCTAGATTGTTGTCATTACCGACATTTCTCGTTTCTGATGTTACTTCCGCAATACTGGTAAGAACCTGGGCGGTGTTGCTGATGTCGTTAGCCGTGAAAAGCACCAAGGGATTTGTGTACTACATACAAGAGGATATCTGCATTATCCTGCTTTAAACCTAATGCAAATCGACTAGCTTCTAGAGCAGCTGATAGAAGGTCCAAAAGAGTTCCAGGTAATTGTGCTCTAAGCTTCGGATATTGTGTGAGCTCATACAAGACTCGGGCTCTGTCAAAATTAGCTCATCTTCGTCACATAGTCCAAGGACAAAAAGACCTCACCTGTTGTAAGCAAGATCGAAGGAGTTTGGGAACTTTTTTAGTGCTTCTTCATAATTGTCGACTGCTCTGGTGAAGAATCTCGTTGACTATTGTGACTCAATTCTTTTTAGATCTCGTCCAAGACTTATTAAGTGGAAGTGGTTGATTGAAGCCTTACCTTCACAGCATCACCACCTCTCCACTTCTCACCTGCTTCTTCGAAATCCACTCCAGCTATGACATGTCTTAGCTTCCATGGCCATCCTAAGGCTTACGAACTAAACAATGACTTACCGGCAAGATATTCATCAGCAGTTGCTGGGATCTGCAGGTGTTACAGTGCATTCCATACATTCATTGATTTGGTTCATTTAAGAAGACTTACTTACCTGTGGTGTATGCTTGGACTTTTTCTTGGTATCTCTCAAAAATTGTTTCTTTGGCATTGTGAAGGTTCAGTTGGTAGCTTTGGATATGAAAATAAAACTTGTTCTTTCAATGTGGGTTACCTAGGTAGTGAGTGTCTGGGAATTGTTTGAATAGTACTCGTAGTTCTACAATGTTGTGAGAAAATCAAGGTGGAAATTTTATAGTGGGGTCAGGTAATTTATTGCTTTTTTTTTTCTTCTTGTCTTCTCTTATGAGGTCAAGGGAGCGAGGGAGTGAGGTGGGATGATACTCTTGAGGAAAGGGCGATTAGCAATTAATAATTCCTCGATGACTTCCAAATGCTGCATTGCAGAGATCAAGTAGGTACTGCCTCGCACTGATCTGATCTGCTTCATTATTTAACCAAAATACATACTACTTCCTGAAAGCCGTATCACTCACTCACTACCTTCCTAACCTTTGGCTTACTCTGTACATAACATATCCGTACATATCCGTACATATCCAAAATACCTGGATCCATTCGCATTCGCTTTGCTTTGCTTTGATAGCACTGGTGACCAGAAAGAATGGCCGGAAATTGATGAGGGGTACTCTCAAGTGTTTTGGCCTGCCCCCTCCCCTTCCCCTCGATGGCATCCTGCATATGCACTCCGATACGACTTTGACTTCTCACTCCATACATACCGAAAAAGCAAAATACCACCACACATGCAATGTTCGACTGGCCTTTGCGATTTCCAATTGGTCGGTTCTGGTTGTGTTGCGTGATGTAGATGAATTTCTACTGTACCGCACAGGGGGCAAGAGCAATTACTAATAATTAGGTTACCCGTGGACTTTGTAAGATCTTACATGTCCCAAGTAATCAAGGTGCTAAAGTGCTAAGGTTAACGTCTCTTCTGTTTCATATGAGACAAGCATAACTAGATTCCCCTAGTTCAATGCGACCCAATACGACGGCGTTCTTTTCAATCTAGAATGTATCGTGGTTGCCATATGCGAAGGTAATAGAAAAACTTTATTCATCAGGCCATCAACGTTATCTTTACCTTTACCGATCATGCTGAAGTCGGGTCGGGTCCTGGTGGCCCCTAGGTATTAGGTTCTACTTCTCAACAAGATCAAGATTGGCATCAACCAACGGTCCTTGGAATACTACGGCCTCTTCCGAAACATGTCAATGCTGAGGTAGACATTTATTAGGTATTGTTGGTTGGATACGTGTTGAAAGTGGAGGGAGGATTGACTTTGATATTCACCCAAGACCATTAGAGGAATACAAGGCCAGTGGCAGTGCATCATCTATCGTATCTCAGCGGCAGAGGTAAATTTAGGAAATTCGTCTCTTTTGACTCTTCTCTTCGTTTCCCAATTTACGAGTACCTGATCCAAAGATACCTTCTTCCATCAATCCTGTATTAGCCACAAGTAATACCTAGGAATTCCTGACACTCTCAACGTCGAACATCACAAATCCCATCATTTTCTTCACTTCACTGATATAAGACGAACACTGATATCAATCCAATCATCATAAAAAGATTTCACAATCCCTACATACCACGTTTCTCTCAACTTCCACAAGGTAAATCTTCCCTATCACATTTATCATTCCGATCAAATTGTCCATTGATATTCGTGGAACTTTAAAAGCTGACTGCATCAAATCGATCCTCCAGAAATTCCGTCGAACCACATATCAAAGATTGATGACACTATCAAATCAACTAATTAACTTGCCAACCCATTACCCTTTATCTATCTCTTGTCCCTCTCAATTGAGTCTTGCAAACGCTCCACCGACCTCGAAAGGAAATTCGCGTCTCCGTTTCTTTCTCATTTCACCTGCAAGTCCGCAATTCTGCAAGTGATTGCTGCAATATTTTGTCAGTGCGTTGCCGTTTTTAGAAGCTTTCTGACTGAAGTTGATCCACCTTCGAGAAGGGGTCCCTTGAATATCCTGAAAGACTTGCCCAACACCCCTTCACTCCTGTTTGAAGTTGAACGCCCTTCCAATTCCTTTTTCCTCGTGGCACCCAGGGCGTGACCCACTTGCATACCTGCTGCTACTACAAAAGCCGAAGACGTGGATCAACGCCATCACTTCCAGACCAGAATAGCCTGAGATAGCCCATACCTCCTCACTCCCTCGAGCCACTCTGCGATTCGATCATATAACGGTTGTTATTAGGGACCACTTCATACTACAAGAGGAAAAACCCTTGATTTAACCTGTCCTAAAATCTCATCCCGTGTCAATCTGAAACGAATATCGCAAAGATGGTTGCTTCCTTAGATTCTTCCCGTCCTATCATGGCACCAAGTGTATGTTTATTTCCTTCCCTCTCCCTTCTACATTCTACACAAATTCCCGTCAATCCATCATTCATATTCCAGCATAAATTACCTCCACAAATAATCATCGATCGTCGCTGACAATTATGCCTTCCACAAAGGTCTCTTCCAAAGGCAATCGCTTCAGTACTTACAGCCAAGCTATCTCTGTCGAAACCACCGATTCTGCTCGAGAAGAAATCACCGCGATTGAAGAAGGGTTCGACAAGTTGCACAATAAGAAGTTGGAGAGTCAACGTTGTGATCTGACCACTGAGAAGAGAGATAACATGGGCAAGTTGGCATTGGGAGCCAAGCTGGAGAGGGCATTGGGTCGAAGAATGGGTAGTCAGGATGCCGTTATGCGAAAGAAATCACCTTCACAATCATCTGCCGAATCACCTACATTATCCATGAATGAGAAGACCGCTCTGTCCGAGAGTGAAAAGGAGAATGCCGCATAATGGATGTTGGATGTTGCGTGTTGAATCAGGGGACGATATGGCTACCATGTTGGGAGGAGGACCATTGTTTTACGGATTTTCACTTGGAACAATTATGGGCATCGATTGGCGTTCCGTTCATGTTTTATCCTTTACGTCACCTTGAGCCTAACTGTTATACCATTTCATTTGATGGGCGTCGACAACTGTTTTCAAAGCTCTTATACCACACCAGCGCACGCATTAGCGAGAGATGATGTTTTTAAATTGGCATGAAACTTGCTCATAATTAGAACAAGTAGACATAGGAGTCTAAGGATCAAATTATGAATGCGTCCTACATGTTCTATGTGAAAAGATAGACCTGAGAAAAGTAATACTTCAATGTTATTAGTGTCGGATTGAGATCATTGAAGGATTGAAATGGCAAGCGATGTATTTAGAATATTTTCAGGAATTCAGATTATGGAATGTTTATCTCTCATTCAGAAGAATGAAATAATCATGATTTTACATTGTGACTTGACTTGTAGCTTTGCAGCCGATGTCAACAGCTATATGAGTGAACTTTCTTCAAATAGTAATAAATTGGATTGAATCCCTAGAGGCTACTCTATGTATCGCAATTATCTTGTGACATTCTTCGATATAATAAGTTCACTCTCTAGGACTTAGATAATCCCCTTCCTATCTCGTCTGAACTTTTGTCGGTATCATCACGTGATTTGAAGCTTAATCAATTTATGCGTCTCTCTGAACGCGACCGCGAGCTCAATTGTTAAATTGTCCTGCAGAAAAATCGTTCTCCACGAAAAGTAATAGCTAACCACCACCAAAACTCAAGATATGGCTATGTAAGTTTATCTCCATTCAGATGTGAATTGAAATCAATTGCGATTTGAACATAAAGAAAAAAATGTTGAAAGCTGTCAAAGCTAAAGACGAGGCTTTTTCAGATCTGGTTGCTAACATTATTAAACGCACCAGGGAGAGTTTCGAAAACATCTTCCTTGATCTCTCGAAAGAGTCAGGTCGATGCAGATTCGCTGAAACTGGATTCGGATGGAAACCATCGAGCGGCGGAGATACATTTACACTCGAGAGCAGTAATATCGTAGGCGCGCAATGGAGCAAGGCAGCGAAAGGTTTTGAGGTGAAGCTTTTGCTGCGCAATGGTGATATCTGTCAACTTGATGGTTTCTTACAAGATGTTAGCATACTATACATCCTTAAATTGGCGCAATCTTTCTGATACAATATAGGACTTTGAACGATTAAGTAAAGTTTTCAAAAACTGGTACAGCACAAACTTGGAGCACAAGGAGCACGCTTTAAGAGGGTGGAATTGGGGTAAAGGCGAATTTGGGAAGTCGGAATTGGTTTTCAACGTTCAAAACAGACCCGCATTCGAGATTCCATACACCGAAATCTCAAACACAAATTTGGCAGGAAAAAATGAAGTTGCGGTCGAGTTCACTCCTGCAAATGCTGATGATACGGGTACAAACGGAGCTTTAGGAGGTGCGCGTGCCAAGGGAAAGAAGTCTGGTGCCGGAAAAGATCAACTTGTTGAGATGAGATTCTATATCCCTGGTGTTGCGTCAAAGAAAGGAGCTCGTGAAGGAGAGGAAGATTCTGGAGACGACGCTGATGGAGAGGAAACCAATGCTTCTACCATATTTTATGACACTTTAATGGAGAAGGCTGAAATTGGTGATGTTGCTGGAGATACTGTCGCCACTTTTTTGGATGTCTTACATCTTACACCAAGGTATGTCGCATTTTCAATTTCTTAGTACTAAGCTAATTATTCGCAGAGGACGTTTCGATATCGATATGTACGAAAACTCCTTCCGATTACGTGGTAAAACATATGATTACAAGATTCAATACGACAATATCAAGAAGTTCATGGTTCTACCAAAGCCTGATGAATTACATTTTATGATTTGTATCGGTTTGGATCCACCATTACGTCAAGGTCAAACCAGATATCCTTTCTTGGTCATGCAATTCAAGAAGGATGAAGAAGTTACCATTGATCTGAATATGACTGAGGATGTAATGAAAGATAAATACGCAGGAAAGTTGAGTATACATTATGAACAACCATTACATGAAGTTGTCACACAAGTATTCCGTGGTCTTGCCGGAAAGAAGATTAATCAACCAGCCAAGGATTTCCTGAGGTAAGTTATTTTTCCAAAATTTGACTCTATGCTTTACTGACATTATTAGTCATCACTCACAATATGGTATCAAATGTTCTATCAAAGCTAGTGAAGGTTTCCTTTATTGCTTGGAGAAAGCTTTCATGTTCGTTCCAAAACCTGCTACATATATTACCTACGAACAAATTACAGTCATAACTTTCTCTCGTGTTGGTGGAGCTACTTCGGCTTCCCGTACCTTCGATATCGCAGTCGGAATGAAGGGTGGAGCTGGTGAAACTCAATTCAGTAACATCAATCGCGAAGAACAGAAGAATCTCGAGGATTTCTTTAAGATCAAGGGTATTCGTGTTAAGAATGAGATGGATGAAGATAATACAGCACACATTGCTCTTCTTAATAATCCAGATATGCAATCTTCGGATGAAGAAGTTGTGGCAGCTAGAGCTGATAGAGGAAGTGCTGATGAAGATGATGAGAGCGTGGATGAAGATTTCAAAACGGACACTGAGAGTGATGTAGCAGAAGAATATGATTCTGCTCATGAGAGTTCGGGAAGTGATAGCGAGGATGAAGGGGGTAGTGATGGGGAGAGACCGGCTAAGAAAGCTAAGACTGGTTAATAAGTCAAGTCAATCATCCGTTTGGGGAAAATCTATTTGGATAGAGGGAGATGGAAGAAGTATTATAGGTATTTTTCTTATATCTTGACTCTTGAGGCACGGCGTTTTTAGGTCGGTGAAGATATGATATTAGGTTGGGGAGATTGGGATTATCAAAGTTGAGTGCATATTACGAAATTTGGGAGGGGGGTGAATATAATTAGGAGGAAAATTATGGGGTTGGAGGAGGTGAGGGGAAGGGGGGAAAGAGGAGAGGAGAGGAAAAATGAATTATTATCTAATGTTTATGCTTGGGAATGTTGTGTGATGTTCATGTGAGGTGATGTGATATAGTGAAATTCGGAATGCATGACTGATTTTCGAGCTATAGAGTATAGGTTTGCAAAGTTTAAAAGAGAAAAATGGAAGGATGGCTAGCTGGCTTATGGTTTTTAAAAATAGGGAATAGGAGATAGGCTGAAAGATTCATTTGTATGTTTTCTCTTGTGCCTTGGGAAATGATTGGATTCGATGGTTGGGGAACAGTTAAAGTTGAATAGTTGAACTTGGATGGAGATGAGGATGGAGATGAGGATGGAGATGAGGATGGAGATAGAGATGGAGATGATTGGTATTGATTGATATGTGTTAGTTGGTTAGTTGGTTGGTAGGTTGGCAGGGAAGAGGAGGGAGGAGGGAAAGAGGAGGGAGGAGGGACAGAGGAGGGAGGAGGGAAAGAGGAGGGAGAAAGGAAGGAATGGGAAGAGGAGGGAAGGGAGGAGGGAGGGAGGGAGAAAGGAAGGAATGGGAAGAGGGAATGAAGGAGGAAAGAAGAAAGTATAGATTTGAGAGGCGAAGAAAGCGGATCGGGAGGATTATCGAAAGAGGAGAAAAGAGGGGTGGTATAGAAAGGACACTCTCTTGCCCCAAATATGCTTTCCTAAGCGCCATCTCTCCTATCTTATTCTAAAGTATACATATAATATATACATAGTATTGGTAAATACACTGGTAGGAGATAGACACTAACGCTATATAATCCTTTTATAAATTAGAATATCTCGTGTTCGGTCACCTCGGCTAGCTTTTTTGATGTTCGGTTAAAAAAATTGATTTTCTACGGTAGTGTGGTCGGCTGGGACATCTGGTGGTATCTCATAGTATTTCTCAATGTCTTATTAATGATATTTTGAAAGGAACTGCGAAATTGACACCAGCTGATTAATCACGGTAACGCGAGAAGCTATTCCCTGTGCGAAGGGTGAACAGATGAAGCTGTGTGGAGTAATCAAAGTGTAGAAACTTTGTTCACATCTTTTCGCTGGATGTTGAGTTATTTTGCTTGTGAGATGAGGTTTTTAATGAATTTTTTGTTTTTGAAATGATAATAAACTAGATCGTCTAATGAAAAGCTTAAGAGTGAATCCAGATTTTGGTAGAAGAGAACCGGTGGTGGAATAATGTTGACTAATGCCTACAGATGTAATTTTGTCTATGGCACAAGTTTTGTTTTTTCTTCGATGAAATTAGTAATCTGTATCGTACTTTTGTATGGACTTTTGAACGTGAGTTCTTGCTTGTACTCCGGTTCGTTCATATCGCAGCAATGAATGATTGCGAAATATTGAATAAAATTTTCTTGACCGTTTTTGACACGGTGGAATCGCCTAATTCGGCTGCTGATGCTACGGAGGATCGAATTTAGTCAGTTGAATATACCTATCGAATGTTAGGAGGTATTTCAGCTAAATTAAGATTGGCTGAGGGTGGATTTTTGAGGTGATCCCTACCAAAATACCCGATGAAGCCCCCGTGATCAAGGAGAAATATGACGAAATGGATATGTCTGCCGCTAGATGGAGCAATGACTGTGGTCTCTGAGCTTGGGAAATGATCATCATCATCAGAAGAAGACTCAGAAGTGATGAAATCGGAGTCGCTGATATTGGAATCGTCCGTGATGTTAGCGAGTCTATTCTATCCCTAGCAATCACCAATGAAATATTTGGCTGTGCTGTACTTGTGGGCTGTGAAGTCGAAATTTATCTCGTTGCACATCTCAAAGTTGAATAAGTGATTGATCCTTGAAATTTATGATTTGATGTGTCTGGGGAAAGTAAGCTATAAAGTGTGATGGATGCCATCTTGTGCCCTCTTGGTTCCGCAGCAGCTCCACGCTGAGGTCCAAGAAGCCAGACACACGTGATCCGGTTCCTGCTTGCTACCTAGTTTATGACGTGCATAATAGTGCATGCCAAGAGTATCAGATATCTTCAAGTGGAGAAAAATTATCTCACTTCTCTAGGACTTCAATCCATTTTAGATAATCTTCTCTTAAGTACTTGATCTCGGTATATATAACTTTTATATCCAGGCTCTAGACAGCTGCAAAACTTCGACCGGCCTGGAAGAATACTTTTAATCTGAATGTAGAGGTTGTTTGGCTCATAGATTATCAAGTTATCTAGTGACTTCAAACCGAATGTTAAGTTTTAAGGTGCTCAGAAAAAGCAGACTACATCCAAGAAGCATCAATCGAACTCGTGGGTTAAATTGGACTGAGAATATGGAGCAATTGGATCTTTCCACTCATAGGCTTTGAATGTGTAGCGTGCTTCTGGTGGTAAAAGGTTGTTCAATTACCTGCGTACTTATTGTAGCTTTATGTTGCGAAGATGTGTATCTTGAAGATATTTGGTTTTGAGATTCAGTATTTCATTGAGATTTATATCTTCTTGCGTTTCACTCAGTGGTAAAGTAGAATAATTCAATTCTGATACACTTCCTGGCACCAAAAACGGTATAAATCTACTAGGTGTAAGCTTGCTGAGTTCATGCTGATGAATCGTAATGCACTTATTGCGCAAGCTTCGTGTATGGTCTGTCATAATTATATTCCTCGTCACTGTACCTCCGCGAAATTTGCCCAGTTTAGCGATTTATACCCTGCTCATTGAAATATCTTTTGTGGTAGTGTGGTGGTTTTGCAGTCACTCCATTGCAAAGAACCATTGTGAAGAATGCAGCTGAATTTGATGTAGTATTTGTCTGACATATGGAACCCCTCGCATATTACGTGTGTTATCGTGACTGGGTCACCTAAAATATTTATAAAGTGCTGGATATCTCTTTGGAGCGGGCCAGTCCGTCAATAACATGCAGTCATCGTGCAATCGTCGTTGGGGTCGAGGATTTGAACAATATCTTTAACCATATAACATTGTGAAGGTTACGAGCTTAAGATACCGGTTGAACTCTTTAACTTTGTTTCCACATTCTTCCGAGACGAACTTGTTAGAAGTATTCTTCGCTTCAACTTTTATAATACTTGTGAAACCCCACCATATATTCCAGAAGTTTGAGAACTAGCCATACACTTGTTGAAGGGGTTGAAGCACTACTTTTAGTAGGTAAGACTATTCTAATTGGTATAGTAACTATGGAACCCGAGAGTACAGCAAATTCTAGTGTAATTGAACCTGGTCAAGTGAGAAATCAATCTTTTTGACGAAAGTGATCACTAACTTATTCTAGGATGTGAGTAGACCTTACCTTACAGTTAGTTTAATGCAAGCAATGATTAATCTTGTTCCAATGATTATAGCAGGTTAATATACCCCATATTAGCAAAAGGGACTTACATATCAGATTCATGGCTAAGATGCCTTTCACTATATGTTGTGAGCCATTCTTCCCTGGCTTGAATCAACTTGATCTGAGTCATCGGACTAATTGCTGATGTTGTTCCCTCATGCTTATAGGAAGTAAGCACTTTGTTCATTATCTCAGCACTTATTTACTACTCAAGTAACTCATTTTGTCAGAAATTTTCTGCATGTGTATCACCACCTCCCCAGATTTTCGATTGCTGAAAGATTTACCGGATGCTCAAGAATGGGAGGCGAGCATACAAAAAATGATCAGTAAGGTTGGAGCTTGTCGATGAGTACCCCGAGATAGCAGAATTAAATTGGCATTCGATTTTGGTGTGGAATGGCACTGGTGGTACAATTCTATCACCTATAACATCAGAATTTCGATGGAGAGACTTAAATAATTTTTTGAAAGGAAGAATCACCACCATTGCTTCGAAATTTTAGATAGCAATCTGGCGAACTCAGCGGAGCCAACTCTAGCCTATTACGCCCATATCTCTGAGGATATAGTATTATATGAGATCAATAAAAGCGAGCTAGTACCTCCAATTGCTTTCTTATAACAATACGCTTGATGGTTCTGACTATAACTCTGATTTAGTAACCGCTGGAATAAGACGGGAACATCGGTCACTGCTCCCAAATAGCTCAGTAACCAATGGAACAGAATTATGTATGCAGTAGACGAGGCGAAATCATTCCACTCATCTGACTTACAACAGATGGTGCCAAGGTCTTTCATCGGTACCAGACTCGAACTTCGAACCTCCCGTGGACATTTTCCGTTTCTTGTCATAACTTATTGCTGAAGACAGATTCGATTTCCTTGGTCCCATTGAATCAACCATTGAATCATCAATTTCACTTCATCTTAAGTGTGTGAGAAGGTTAGGTAGCAAATTCGCAAATCCATATCACAATCATGACAATGTTTTTCTTATTTTATTTTACGAAACGATGATGGATTGCGATATACCCAGCAATGAAATCTGGAAAACTGGAAACCTTTATCAGAAGACCACTGAAGATATGCCTAAGTGCTTTCGACGAAGCGTATTCACGGTGAACCCCTCGCGATTGATGTATGAAGTGATTGATTCCTACTAAGCAGATTTTCTTAAAATCGAAACATTCTTGGGATATTCCTCAGCCACAGAAGAATATTCAGGAAGCGGAATCCGAACGCTACTGGACCATGTTGTTACTAACTCCTTCTGATTTCTTTCAATCTTTTGATGAACTCGACCATCGTCACACGATCCGACCCATCCAAGACTGGAGAAATATTGGAATCCAAAGGTGTATACTGGCCGCAGAACTTACCAGCATCTGTTACGCTATGGCATTAGTTGTGAAGCGATGGGAAGATCTGTATCAGCACATAAAGGACCTACTACATCAAGACTTCATGGATCCCACGACTTACAGCGAACTTTTATTCGACGACGAGACTTTCAGCCAATCTTGGCTATGCTTTTGGGTGATTGGGTATCTCAACGAATTTCAAATTAGCATAGAAGACAACATCAAGCAATGGAAACTCTTTCGAGAGGCACGTGTCGAGCCATATCTTGTAGAAAACTAGGGAGATAAGTCCCGAAGATTCATCTTCAACATCAAGTAGAATGAGGACGGGTGACCAGAAGAAGGTTCGAGATCTGGCCAGGGAGATTGATGTTACCGTGGAGTCCTTCATTAATTGGCGAATCCCAATTTAAGCATCAACAAGAAACCGCACAAGCTTTCCGTGATGGAGTGAGTAATGTCGTAATGATTTTGTTTTGAGATGTGTATCTCACCTGTTGGTAGAAAATTCATGATTGACAGATTTCTTTCTCTTTAGATGTTCAATGCTAGTGCTCTCATGGAGAGCAGAGCGTCGACAACCTTAGGAGAGAACGTTGAGCTACTGACTTATGTCAGTATCTTTGACTTGCCGCTGGCATTTTGTGCTGTAGGTACCCCACACAAAGCCGAGTTTCTCCTTTTACCTTCGTCATAGCTTGCCTCTCCGATATACGGCGCAAGTCTTCTGGGATAAACCTGCAGATGTGTACTGATAGATCTGTAGGCGCTTTGGGCGATACCCAATATTACCAGCAGTGGCACAAGAGACCCTTTTATACTTGTGACTATTATTGTTGGGTTTGTAACATACATGATAGCCTTCAACCTTGGAAACGTTGTAAATCAATGGAAAATACTTTACGAGCCGTTCAGGTCAAATGTGATAAGCCAGATGTGTGAAGAGTCAGAGTCAGAGTCAGAGTCAGAGTCAGAGTCAGAGTCAGAGTCAGAGTCAGAGTCAGATTCAGATTCAGAGTCAGAGTCCAGGTTGAAGAAGCGGACCAAGAGATTCGAATCGACTTTGGCCCCAAAAGAGTTTATAGAGAACCTTCGGAATGGTGGATTCCAATGTATGTCTGGTGATCCCATATGTGCATCAGGCTACCTCAACATGTGGAGCTGTACTAACTACATCATACTTATTTAGCTGTTTTGTAATAATCGTTTACAAATGACTTATCGTTCCTTTTGGAAATACATTTGGATGGATACGTATATTTCTCAAGTCCCCTCCTAATTCAACATTGAGTTATAGCCAAGAGTACTCAACATCAAATGATACCCGGGAGACGGTTCAAATGTACTACAGGATATTCAGTATCTGTGTCGTGGTATATCATAGGAAGTGAAAAGAATTGGCAACACGGGAAAAGGATGAATAAAGCGGACATGACTGAGGATAGAACAATAATACAACAGCAAGCAAGCATGTGAAAGGGCTGTTATTTGAGCTACTGATGACAATTTATGACAATTTAAGCAAAAGCTTTGTGTTTAAAAAGTTTGATACTCTCAGAAAACTTGGGAGATATATAAAATCAACTTCAAATTGTAATAAGAATACGTGAGTAGTAGATGTCAGAAATGATTGGTTTGGTATATACTTGACGAAAGAAGGTGTGGCCATGATAGATCGGTTGATCTCCTTCCACTTTCAAGTATTTAGAATTGTTCTTGGAAAGTTCGATTGACTACAGAGCCTAAAAAGTATTCTCCTTCAAACAAATACTTCTTCAACCATCCACTATTTTTATTATCTCACTACATCCAATTAGCCTACATAATGGGCGAACGAACGGTCAACGAGATATTTGAGAGCTACAGAGATGCGGTTGAAAAAATCAACACTATCAAGTTAGCACTTCTAAGAGGCAGACCACTCAACGAACCAAGACCCCAGCTCATTGCAGATCCCCTCAACGACGTAGATATACTTGAGGTTATCGAACCATCCGACGAACCAAGACCCCAGCTCATCACCTACCTCCCCAATGACGTAAATAGACTTTGGGAGATGATCGATAACATAGAAGAACATTTGGGTCGCCACAAATTCAATAACACTTGCAAACCCCGGGACTTCGTCAAGGCTATGAGATGGTATTACGAAGGTGGCAAAGAGACCTTTGAGCTCAAAGAGAAGGATATCCACAATGACATCGCTATCTACGTCCCAGGCACTATCGTGGAGATATCTCGGATTAAAAATGACTCGAGGATGACTTTCGTGGTTCTCACAAAGAGAAAACGGATGATTGAGGGCATAGACTTGTGGTGTGAGAGTAACAATCAGCGACAACAGCTCAACCCAAATCCTCAAGAAGGTAGCAAGTCTCAACTAGAGTTATATGAGGAAAGAATGAGGGCTCGTGATGCGAAGGATCTCGACACTCTGTATCTTACCTTAGTATATGGTTTGAAGGCTCTCATTCACTCCATAATCTCAGTGAAAGATCCAGACAAGTCTGCATGGAACTTGAAAGCACTTAATATTAGAGGGCAGCTCGAGGATCTTCACATAATCCTATCTGAAAAGTTGACGGATTCACTTAAAATTTGCGAAAGATGCGGAATTGAGGAAGAAGGGTCAGAAGAATCGAAGTATTTCAAGCAAATGATAAGTAGAACATTCATTAAGGTGCTCATACACATGGGTAATAATTCTCTTCCCTTCATTAAACTGTGGAATTCAGCCTCGCTTACTTCTTCTAGATTACTTTCTCATAGAAATCTCCGACCCTTCTATGTATAAGGACACCATTACAAATCATATTCGGGAAAGAAAGTCGTTGAACTATGTTTCTGAGATGAAGGACTTGTATGCGGAAGAATCGAAAAGTTATTACACCGTGTGGGAACCACAATTCTCTCGGCGCATGGATGCTATAACAAACGGCATCAGAGTCGTAACTGCTGTTCTCAACAACGGAAAATCGTTGTTTGGTATATCCTAGATGTGTACCACAACATTTCTAAACGGAGAGTTTATATACATTAATTGGATAGTATTACGTGTTGGGACATCGATCATGTAATCGATCGTCAGGGAGCACTGTGTTAGCCAGCAAGGCACTAGCGATTCCTTGTATAAGTATTAGCTTCCCATAGGTAGTTAGTATTGCGTATGCATTGCATACAAAGCCTGAAACAAGATGGCGAAGGCAACTAAGCGCACTTGGGAGCACATAGTTTTCGATTGTATATAGCTATAGCCAATCGAAATTGACCCAATTACTATTAATCAAATTGCTTAAGCTTGGGTAGTTTCATATGATTCAAACTCACCTAAATTATTGATGATTGTGAACTATAACCTAAGACCCTTTCACTATCTTACAGTACTTCGTACTGATATAGTAGTTTCAGGCATAATGATCCAGCAAAATTACAACCATAATAGAACAAAGTACTTTACACTTATCGAACAATTTGATACCAACGATAATAGTTTTGAATAAACAAATCTGCAAAAAAATGAAGACTACTGAGTTGAATAACAAAATTCATCGCTAACTAAACAATAGACAGACATATGGACAATCAGTCCAGCCAATTAGTCGAGTATATATAAAGCAAATCGCTCTCATGCCCTAGAAACCGCACTTTCTTTGATGAAAGAATCTAAGAGGCATAAGAGTGATTTGTCGATAAATAGATATCCAAGCAAAATATGACCCCAACCCAACGAAAAGTAAACCGCCATAAATTAATAATTTACTCAAGAAAAGGTTTAGCCGAAAACAAAAGTTTCCCCCCTTCCCCCTCTTCAAGTCCATAATCCTCTCAGAATGATTCACGTAACCAAACGCGCGAGGCGAACCAACTTACGACTCCCCCTCCCCCCCCCTTAAATCACTAATTCACTTGGATACTTATCCGAAACTCCATTTCCATATCAAAAAGTCACACAGCAAGCAAGAAACCTGAGCCCCTACAGCCCTTCAAGCCCCACAACCGAAAAAGCTCATCCCTAAACTTCGATCCAAACCAATTCCAAGTTCAAGCAAGCACTAGCCTAACACTTCAAAATCCACACAACGACAATCAGTTTCATGGATGAACATGATGGTTTGCAAAATTAATAATATCAATTAAATAGCAAATCAAGAAGCTAAAATAACATGCAGGAAAAGTACGTAAAAACGTAGGTATCTATGCCAGATCGCTCACCTATCCTAACCACATCTTTGAGCATTTTCCGTGGGGAAAAAATCATATCATCTCATAATATATCCGTCTCCACTCCATGCCATCTTCATTCATTATTTCATGAGCCATATACCAAAGGCTTGAACATAAGCCAACATCTTCATACATATCGTTCCGTTTTACCATCTCATCCACCTTTATATCTTCATCAATAAAAAGCAAAAGGACCAACCGTATTTTGACAACTCCAAACACCAAACAATAATACAACTCGAGGATCAAAACTCAAGTAAAATCAACTGTGCCAGCCGTTCCAGTTCCTATACTTTGTCTTTGCCTCTCCATTCTCCTCCTTTGTCGCCTTTCTCTCGCATGATCAGTACCAGAATCTGGACTCATGGCACTCCATGTACCATGAGTATCTTCCGACATATTACTTCTTCCTGCATCGAATATACTTCCTCCAGCAACACTTGGATCTTGCTTACCAGCACTTTGTGGTCTACCAGAACTCTGTGGTCGCCCAGAATAGTAACCTGAATCTTTAGGTTTCTTTCCACCTGCAAATGCAGGGTTGGGTGGTGTAAGAGGACCTATTGGTGGTGGTGGAATGCCAGCTTCTTCATGTTTATCTCTGACCATTGATTCTGCCCTTCTTTCTGCTCTCTTCTCTGCCTCTCGTCTATATCTTGATGATACTTCGCCATCACTGAAATCACTTGCTGAATCCCTTCGCGAACGTCTTTGGCCACTTCGAGCTCTTCTCGTGGCACGTTCTGCCGCAGCTTCTTGTTCTGTAAGACGTCTCAAAGTAACATTGCGATCTTTATCGCCATGCATTTTGACTTTAACACTGACAGGTGGACTTGCAACTGCCGATCTAGAGTGGGATCTTTGACGACGACGTTCCTCTTCTGCAGCAAGACCCGCTGCTCCAGCGGCAGCGGCAGCAGCAGCAGCTTCTCCTTCCTCTCTTCGAATAGATGATCGGCGACGACTTCGACCAGGGGTTGGAGTGACATCACTATCGGAAGGTTGATGAAGAACGCCATGTGGATCGGTGGGCATAGGAGGCATTGAAACTGTTTCTGTAACGACATCATGGTGAGAACGAGATTGACCCATATTTACCGGAACTGGAGCTGGTACTAATACTGTTGCTCTAGGTGCGGGATGAGGATGGACAAGTGATGAAAGTTCAGATGATTCTATTGAACTTTGTCTGATATGAGTTCTTGGTGGAAATGCGTCACTTGTCAAATGTGAACCTTGATTAATATGTCGAGAAGCTCTCTCTCGTTCATATCTCTCATCTTCTTCGCGTTCAATGCGATCCATTTCCTTCTTTTCCCTACGATCTTTCATTTTCTTGGCAAACCAGCCTATTCCCAAACTAGCAAGTAATCCATTTCGTATTCCATTATTTTCTTGTGGTCTTCGAGATGGGCTATCTGTAGTACCAGATCCGTAATCGTAGGAATAACTCATGGAATCGAAACTGTGAGCTCGGCCGGCTTGACTTCGTACTGGTCGGGGAGTTACCGGGGTTACGGGTCTTGGAGTTGTTGGACGTGCTTTTGCAGCATTAATAGCAGCTGCAGCAGCTACTGGAGCTCCGGGTCCAGGTAAGATAGAACGACTTCCTCGGCGATTTTCAAAATGATTTGTTTGCTCAGTTGTAAGAGTTGAATCACTGTATTCGGTGTCATTGCGTCTATGTTGCCTTCTACCTGGAGTATCCGGAGCGACAGAAGAATACTCGTCCTCATGCTTTGTTCGCTGTCGTCGATCGAAGAAGCTCTTCGCGAGCGCACCAGCTCCAAGAACTGCCGCACCCTTGAATAATGAATTCATAACCCCGCCACCTTCCTTTTTCCTAGACTCGTATTTCTCTTCTTCGACATAGCTTACTGATCCGCGTCGAGATCTTGAGCCCCTGCGTGAAGGTATGACTTCTTCTCGAACTCTACTGTGATTGCGACTGCGACTGCGACTCCTACTTCTACTTCTACTCCTATCTCGATCTCGATTTCCAAGTAAAGCGGCAGCTCCGGCACCTGCGAGTAATGGACCAAGTATGCCTATACCAAATGAACTTTTTCTTCTCTCTTGAATTACCTGGCCATGTCGACTTCCTTCTCGTAATACTTCAGGGAGCGCCTGTAGTGCCCTGTAGGAAAGAATGAAGTATAGTAATACCAAGAGACCCATCCAGACCGCAAATAGTATAAAGAGGTATTTTGGTGATCCATATAAAGTCAGTCCTAGAGGTACTTGCGCAATTGCAAGAAGTGCTGTTGCACGACCTATCCATTGATGCAAGACAGCCTTCAATGGAATCCTTCTCAAGACTCGTTTCTTTTCCGAATTATGTGTCAACCAGCCCGACAAGAATTGTACCCAGATGAGAACATAAATTGCCAATCCGATACCATGATGAGGATTCGTTAAACTTCGCGCATTGCCTACTGCCATCCATCCAAGTATGAAAATAACTGTTGACAGAAGAAGCGTCATGATTTGTAAATATATGTGATATCTAATCGCATTTCGTATATCCCGCCCATAAAATCTCGCAATGAATATCGCTGCAGGTACGATGAACAGAAAGGTCATTGCAGCAAGTACACCATGAGCTGTAATTAATCCTTTATATCCAGGCATTGCCGCGAATCTATTTCCCATTCCTATTTACCGTCAGCTCCGTCGTTCATCGTAAACTAAACAGACTAGATGTCTGCAAAGATTCACTCACCATTATATCTCATCGTGTCGAAATTCAACCCCATTAAATTGGGTAATAAGAAATCATTTTTCGTAGCATCCCATGTCCCATCTCCAACATACATTGTATTTGATGAATATGTACTGCTCCCCGGCGGAGAGAGATCATCAGTCGCCATTGCGACGGGCGGATCTGCCGCCTAATGGCAGATAATTTCAAAATTCGTAGAGTAATTCGAGATAACTGTTGTCTTGTGGCATTCGAGATAAACAACGAAAATAGAAGAAAACGTAGATGAAATGTTATTCTGGAAGATTATAAAACGGCGGCTGGGAAGGATCTCGACTGCGAAAATGTGCTTATCGCACAAAGTTGTAAATAATTATGATGGGTTCGCTAGGTAACCAACGCGGTGAAGCCAATTAGCAGGGGCAGAACTATTGGAAACAATGATTCTTCCAAAAATGAGGCTTTTGATAATTAACTGATGTCTCTGAGAATAAAAGATCATACTACAGGATTGTATTATCAAAGAAACCTAGAACCAAGCATGACAGTTTTCTGGTTCGCGGGGGAGATGAGAAGCAGACAGTTTTTAGCTGGTGGCTGGGTAGCTGCAGCTAGCTTGACAGCAATATCCACCATACAGTCCAGCAAACGCCAATCACAACATAACGTTTTAGTGCCCGGACAACATGATGGCTTATGCGGCCACGACGATGGGTCTCTATGGTGTGGTATCACAGTATTACATACAGGCCGTTTTCAAAAAAAGAAACTTGTCAGAGATGAGAATCTATACCATGTATGGGGTGTTGCGTCTGATAAACCTCCCCATGAGCATTGAGCATACCTAGTATGGGCAACGGTTTTAGAAAATGCGGAGAAGTTTCCCCAGAGAGATTGCTGCATCAATGTGCCTGCATGTTATCGGCAGGGCTCAAGCTTAGAATGGGGTTGTTCTTCTTGATGTTGCTACTTCTTGAAGAGAGACGACACTATCTTCGAGTACGATTATCATTAATTAACTTTCGAGGTTCGCACTTGGTCAGTCACCAGTCACTAGTCATGACGTGTGCGAATTTCTGTTGGATCAACGTGTCGCAATCAGCCGGCTCTGTTGCCCCTGCAATCTTTGGAGATAACCATTTAAAATTCGGCAATGGACGGCGGTCAATATTTGCCGTGTTGGGTATCATGAGGAGATATATAAAGCTCAAGACATTATCATTATACAATTCGGGGGTTTCTAAAACAATGGATAACGTTTACGATGGAGAAAGAACCCAAAATCTCATCTACTGGTCAACTTGATGTTGTTCCCCAGGCTAGTGCTCAGAAACCCTCCAACCCTCAAGAGAACCCCATCCCTCTCGATGTCACGAACGTGCAGCCTCATAGCAGTATTGGTGCTGAGAAGTTGATCAAAAACAACGATAATGACGTGCTCGAACCACTTACCGAAACAGTTGAGAATACGCAAGCCAATGCAGTATCATATGCTCCATATAGTGTCTTTTCCGCCTCTCAAAAGAAAATGATTGTCTTTACTAGGTCCATAGCAAGCCTCTTCTCTCCCATGTTAACAAGCATATATTATTTACTTTGTCACAACTCTCGGTCTTGGACTTCAAAATTCATACCCGGCATTAATGGCCCTACGTTGCTTACAAAGTGCAGGGAAGTAGTGGTACAGTAGCTCTTGCGAAAGATTTAGCTGGTGATATTATCACTTCTTCTGAACGCGGCACTTACGTTGCATGGGCTTCTCTTGATAGTATCCTTGGCCCTATCGTTGCTCCTATCATTGGAGGAATATTAGGGCAATATGCAGGTTGGAATTGGATATTTTGGTTTCCCCTTAACTATTCATGCGTCGTGTTTATACCACTTATTTTCTTTCTTCCGGAAACTTCTCGAAATCTAGTTGACGATGGGTCCATACCTCCACCATTTCTCCACATGAACATCACAGACCATGTACGTCATTCGAATCGTCGTAAGAAAGAAATTCCTTTAGATGTAGAGAATTACGGCCCTGCGCAAGAACAACAAGCTACATGTACCAAATCCACTGTCTACACTTAGAGTTCTTGCAGATAAAGAAGCAGGACCATTACTAGGCGCAGCGGGTATAACTTTAGCTTGCTATTATGCTATTGCTACCGGTGCTTCATCATAATTTGGTTCTTTGTACGGGTTCCCACAGCTAGAAGTATCATTAATGTTCATTCCCGTCGGTACAGGATCTCTCATCTCTGCTCTTACTACTGGGAAGATAGTAGACTTTAACTATCGCCGATATGCCAAGATTCATAACTTTCCACTCATCAAAAATCGTCAAATGGATCTCACCAATTTTCCAATCGAGAAAGCGCGACTGGAAATTGCACTCCCGTTGTTCTCTCTCGGTGCTTTGCATATAGTTGCTTACGGCGGCTGGGTTATGGATCATCATGTTAGTATTGCTGGTCCAATGATACTATTGTTTGTGATAGGGTATGCTCTGGTTGCAAGTTTTCAAGTTCTCAATGTCTTGATGGTGGATATCTATCCTGGTAAACCAGCTACTGCCACAGCTGGAAATAATGCGGTACGATGTGAACTGGGAGCGATTGCGACTGCGGTTATTGTCCCTATAGTCAATGCCATCGGTGGAGGTAAGTTTGGTTTTCCTTCGGGCTCAACAGAGCAACAGCATGTACTCCTCATGTGATTGTCGATTGAAATATGTACTGACGTTTTTGTAGTGGTCATATACGATTCTGGCCCTTCTATTCGTGATCTACAGCCCGGTATTGATAATAATCATGAGATATGGAATATTATAGAGAAGGCAAAAGAAAGTTAAAGATATCGAATCAGCCAAAAGAAAACAGGAGAGAAAGTAGGATAAGTAGTAGTAGTAGGCTGGCCACCTAGTGATCCACGCAAGGCTGTCAACTTGGTCAAATTCTTATACGTGGGGGCCGACTCCATCTCATTCTGCGCGGAGTAAATTTGGCCTTCCATTAATCGTTTTGATTTTGATCCCCAAATAGATGGAATCAGGAGCTCAGGGTAATCACGATTTTAGTAATTATTTGAATTGACTTTGAAGTAGATATTCGCAATACATATCTCAGATTCCGGGTCATCGACCGATCAAAGACGCGAAAGGATAAATTTGAAGAATTAGAAGTGGTATGTGGGAAGTAGTTCGAGGGACTGGATTTCCATCATCTAGGAGGTGGCGAAGGAGTGAAGGATATTGCGTTAAATTGTTTCGAAGGATTAGAGATTGTTGTATTGGGGTTCTACATGAATTTGTGCCTAAGAGTAAAGTTCGACGAAATTCAGCCTGGACGTCTGTTAAGACTCATGCAAATCCCATGCAAAATTCAATAAAGGTATGTTGTGTTACAGAATAGACGAAAAAATCCCCCTGAAAGGCAGCATTCGCCGCAGTGCTGCACTTCCAAGACTCGCTCTCTTTGGTAGGCTCGGTAACATTGGAGGCCACTATGCAGCTTCATGTTTGAATTACAACTTTAGCCTCTACATATGTTATGCATGGTGCTTACGAATTCCATGGCGATTAGGCTTAGTATTAATATGTCAATGATCGCCATGACTGACAGCTTGTTACTTAGCGACGAAATATTCTTCCTCTTCTCAACAGTACACAACAAATACTCCAAATTTTGGAAACATCTCAAGTATATATCTCCAACACAAAACGAAGGGAAAAGCGATGGAGTTCCTTCGAGTCAACAATGATCGGGGATTTGAGCCGCCAGACTTTTCATTTCGGGATCATGGAATGGACCTACAACTAGATGATTTTTCGAAAGTCTCGAGCCGCGATAGAAGGAATTCACAACACTCAGTCACGGAATCTCTATTATCTACTCCAAATCGACCAGGATCTTGGCAGCAAGTGAGCAGCTTCTCGAGTTCTTCAACAGCACAAAGTATACATTTGAACCTTCTCGCACAACCTTTACAGAATACCATCCCATCAATGACAAATCTACCGATAGATACTGTAATTTGGAAGATTAATTAGCAACAACCAACTTTTATGTGCTCGATGCTACTGTGTGATCTGATTCTAGCAATTGGACATCATGTTTACTACAATTCATTAAGTGGGACTCCGGCAGGGGATGCCACGAGGCAAGCTTGGTCAATTTGATTTGGGACAGCCTTCGCATTTCTCGTCGTCGCATGTTTCAAAGCCATTACCGTCTACGCGTTGGGACAGTATATTTGGAGCGTCGTAAGGTCGAAAGGTCTCAAAATTAGTATGTATCGTTCCATATTGCCGATACAAGATTGCCCTTTCTAGACAAAGTACTGAGAAAACATGCAGGTGATCTCGATAAGTTGTACGCACTCACAAGTAATCCGATTAGCATGTTCAGTATTTCCGTTATCAAGGATGCTTCCCTGGCAGCTTTAATTGGCACAATTTTCCGGTATGTGACTATGGCTCAAAGTCCGAGACTTCTTTAGACCTCAGAAAATGGTTGGAAAACAACTGTATGAGCTCTTTATACATAAGACGTGGTTTAAGGCTCTTTGCCATGTTGGGATACTTGAAGGTGAAATAACGCTAAAAGTTTGGCGCACTGAATTTCAGCTCAATTTGTGAATGGACTATCGATGGAGTCTACAGTTTAGGTTACTGATATGCATCTTAGGACCATGGATTTTGTTGGTTTTGCTCCCGCAGCTACGCTCTTTGTCGTTCCAATCAATATTATTATTCCAGTGCCAATTCCAGTATTGAATGGAACCAAATTTTCGCTTGACATAGAGTCATATGAAAGCTCGCGGTTTTCCAGTATCTCACAACAAATCGCAAAAAATTCAGCATCTCTGGCTGATGTGGTGGTACCTCTAGATTTTTCGATCGCGCCTTAAATCGGGTCCTTTGATATGCAGTCTTTGGGTCTCACGCTCAAGTGCAGAGAAGCTAAAAGTACTGAGCAAGCTAACTTTGTTCAACGAGCGACTGATAGGGAAAAATCTCAATCACAGTTTATTGTCCCTCAAATCAATGACTCGATTTGGAACAACTCAATATCTGGGTTGGGAAAATACTCACAGTACCTCCTCTTCTATTTTTCACCTCGGCCAGATGACCAAATATCACGGGCAGGCGAGCTCGGTCTCCCGGTTTCGCTGTATGAGCTGTATTCTAAAAACTCAAGTGGTTATAATATTTTCGTACAAAGTTCGGCATCAAGTATTGTATGTACAGCCATGAATACCTCGGTTGCTGTTACAATCACTTCTGCCTACAGCAACCAATAAATCACGCAACACAGCACCCGGTACCTAAACGAAATACCTTTGTGTGATGGATCACCCAGCTGTCTGGTGGATTATTATCAATTTTCCAATTTCGCGAGAGTGTTGCAAGGAAATATCGCGTTACAAACTAGATCGACAGGCACCGGTCGCACGTTTTGGATCCCTTATTTGATCGACAATCCTCTCCTCCGTCTATTTACCGCATGCGACGACATACAGGCTTCACTATTCAAGTCCCTGTTCCCTCCCAGTGGCGATGACTTTGAGAAAAAATTACTAATCGAGCCATGGCAGTGTCGCAATCGAACCTCCATGAGAGCAATCGAGGATCTTTCCATCAATATCCCCATAGGTTGTCTTGGTTCTCCCAGTCTCACTAGTAGCAGCACAAAGTATGCTAATATCACCACCTCAGACACCAAAAATGTCTACGTCTATCATCCTCTGTACCTCGTTCTTTCCTATAATATCGGGTTCTTTCTGGCAAGCCTTTGTGGTGCAATTGGTCTTTACTCAATGCATCTTAATGGCATTTCGCATTCAAACTCCTTCTCGGCTATCATGCTTACAACAAGGAATCCAGACTTGGATATTCTGGCAAGAGGGAAGTCGTTGGGATCTGATCCATTGTCTAAAAGTATCAAAAACACAAAGTTAAGGTTTGGACCGTTGATATCACAACATGGTCCTGAGAAGAGAGGATCTGATGATTCTCCACGGCACGTTGCATTCGGGCCTGAGGGAAGTGTTGACGAATTGAAGAAGGATGGAAAATACATGTGACCAGGGGAACTGCAATCACAAATGCGATACGGAAAAACATCCCAACAATATAGTGAGTGCTCAAATCATCAACGCAAATGAAATAGCACATTACTATCTCTAACAGCCGTTCTAGTTTCGAAGCCTGCTAATAAATCATGAAACATATCAACATTAACTTTTTAGCCTCCGATTCTCTAGCCACCAAGCCGTACATATACTGCAACTGATGAAAACATTAGAGGAACGTGGGCCGTAATGTGGAGGGAATTTAAACTTTAAATCATGGATTGGATACCACTTTGCATTTGTACCGTTGGCTCTGGTGTACGAGGGGAAGATATTCACCATTGTCAATGTTAACAAAATTTGGGAGATACGCAGAACATACAATATTCACTTGTCTATCTAATACTGCCACGGCAACGCGTTTTTGGTCCCGAGGAATCCCGTTTTCATATTCTTCCTAAATATTCAAAGATCAACAACTACCTAACAACCAACAAAATCCAAATCACCGAAAACAATTAAGGACTTGGAAGCAAAAATTAATACTGATCAAAGCCATAGCCCAATACTCTGATTAGTACAAACTGGACTTTCTATCAAACCACATCATTTTATCGACGGTAGAAGAATATGCTCAATATCCTACAGGAAGTATTTTCAGAATTCCAAAACGATGAGGACATGTTTTTGTAGAGCAAAAATCTACACCATTAAGAATAGGACGGCGGGACGAAGTAGAAAATGATCAGTCTGATGTGAAGTTCAAGGGAAAGGACGACGGATTGCAGGAGAAGCAGATTTTGCTTTAAGACCGACTTGTATATTGTCCAAGTGAGTTGCACACAATAATTATCATCTTCTACTAACAGCTTCAGAAACATGGCAATTCTCCGAGATAAAGTTTTATCACGATCTTCCAACAACTGCCATACAAATAGCCTGGCCCGCGGACGACTGCGCTATCGTTCCAATTTCAGATTCGTTCACTCTGTTCCCCAAACTTCCAACTGAAGTTCGACACATGATTTGGGCCATGCTTTAAGCTGCCATCCTCGAAATGTCAAACTTAAACTTGATCGGGCATATCACCAGCCCAACAAAAGCGACCTTGAACATAAGATAGAATTATCATGTCATACACGACAGCATGGTCCCATTGCTTCCAAACTTCCGATCTCTTTACTTTACGTATGTAAAGAATCACACTCGGCCTTTTTGAAGAAATATTCCAAAATGAACTTGAGCATCCCAGTCCAGAGGTATAATCTCGACTTGTTTGCTGTAGGACATGCCCATAAGATCCTTGATGGCAATGAGATTGTGCATTGTAAAATTCAGGTTGACCGCAAAGAATACAAAGCCTTTCACCAAGATACATTGATGATACCATATTCTCGCAAGATCACAGGTATACTTTGGAATTGGAATCTCATTACTTTTGACCTATCTTTAGTTGAGAGCATCGCTATACAAACCAGAGTCGGCTCGGATGCAGCACGGACAGTTCTCCCATCGTATTATGGAGGGAAAAAAAGTAATATGGGAATTGTTCGAAGCTAGATGCCCTAACCTAAAGCGCCTTGGTTTTACCGCCGGTTCGAGGACAGTGGAGAGAAATGGTTGGGATTTAGACGAACAACCCGTTGCACGTCTTTTATCAATCAATGCGGAATTGATCGATGGGGTCACATATGGTTTCCGAGTTTCATGTCGAGATGAATGCAGCCGTATAAAAAGCCGACGTGGTCTTAAGAGACTAAAGCTCAAGCATCGAGAAATAATGGAGATTTTAACCTCGAGCATTCAACAGGAGTTTTGTAAAGCTCAAAACATGAAATTTCATCACCGTCGGCAAGCTAAGCGCAATCCAAGCTTCTGGGGAAAAGTTGACGTCAACCTGGTTTACATCGCTTGGGTTATGAGCAATTTCTATACTAAAGAGAAAATGAAAAAAGTCCTAATTACAATACTAGTACACTATTACTAGCCACTTATCAAATCACACCTATAAAAGTCATTTTATTACTTTTATTATAGGTAATAAAATCAATAACTTTAATTAAATATTTTTATTTGACTTTTAATATATACATTATTTCGATATTAATATTTAATAAAAACATATTTTTAATACTCTTTGAATTTTTTTAAATCATTAATTATATTATTCAAAAACATATTTATAAAATTTCATGATTTTCGCTTATTTTATTAAAAAGATTCAATTTTTTAATCTTTTTTAACTTATTATTCTTTAATATAACAAATTATTAAAAAAATAAATTATAAAAATTTTAATAAATTTCATTCACTGATTTTAAATCTAATTATTTAATTATTTATACAAATTAATGATCTTATAATTTAAAAATTAGAAGTATATTCTATAAGTTTTGATGAATTTTGGTGTGATTTTGATGTGATTTTGATAAGTGGCTAATAGTAGTGCTCGGTGACAGTACGCCTTCGAAAGAGTTGCAAGTCTCGATGCCCAACTCATATTTCTGGGCTCAGAGATCAATAGAATTTGTTGATCATAAGCCAATCCTGAGGTTTGGAGAGCATGGATTCCCGATAGCTTGTCGCTCTGACGGGAGCTTGCTAAACAGATACGAAGGAGCGAGGGAGTTGCGAAGGGGTGAAGGAAATGTTTAAAGGAGAACATGATTGAGAATTTGGGCTTGTCATGAGGGAGATTTGCGCATAATTTGCGGCGTTGCATATTTATTATTAGGCTGAGAAATGGATACCTGCAGAGCAGATTGTTGGCTTTACAAACAGACAGTCTGCAGTATAGGTAAAGCTTTCAACAGAATATCTGTAAAGTAGACTATCTGCAGATTACCTGCAGGTACAGGTTGTTCCGGCGCAGTCTACTTATCATTCTCTTCATTCTTAATAGCCTAGCAATCCATATACGCATATTAAAGCATGCATAAGCCATTACGTCTTTCATCTCTGTGAGTGCATGTCACAATATCAATTTAATATAGTCTTCTATTGAATATATCTATAAAGCTACGTATCTGCCATGCTAGAATTTCGGATGCTATCAGCCCTTCAACCTATTCCGATATTCAAGTGGGTTCAGTTCACTTGCTTGATGTATTCCATATTTCAATCTTAGACAACTCAGTCCCACTTCTCATTCGAAAAGCAAATATGCCCTCGAGGTAGATTAGGTCTCAGCTTTGATAAGTAGTGCTTAGTCAATTCCGTCTACATCGAATTACATATTCAGACTATCATGAAGTAATTACCTAGTATCTTGAAGTCAGAGTATCAAGTGAAAGTGGGATTAGACGATGAAATAACATTTTAATCCGCATCAGCGAACCACAAAAATACAAGATGAAAGGAGTTCAGCAGGAGACAGGATATAGGATATAGGATATAGGATATAGAGAATGACATTACACATCATACCCCCGAGATCCGATTATAATTACCTAAAAATAGAGAAACATGCTATGAAGTCTGCAGGCCCCACTTTCCATCTCCCCATGTTAACAGGTCGTCAACGGGTCGTTAACGGGTCATCAACGGACAAACCCCTCCCCCTCCCCGCATTTGTCAAATGTGCTGATAAATCAATCTTCGTTCCTAGAACTTGAGTTTTTCATTAATTAGGTAGGTATAGAAAATCTGGGAGATTCCACTGTGGTGTCCCCTTATGATTTCTTGGCTGACAGGTGCTGACAAAACGCGTTCGGCCGAAAATGTGATTGCAAAGCAGTTGTCTAACTCCGTTGGTGAGCAGAGTAGGGATGATGTTCAGACTCTGGGTATATATAATACTGTAGTGAGCCATCAGGAAGATTCAAAATCATAAAGAAAGAAAGCAAGGATCTAGACCGAAACAATGGCATCATCACAACACTCACTCATCGTGCAAGAAACCGGCAAGCCCGTGGTGAAAATCACAAGACCTATTCCTGTGCCCAAGGAAAACGAGATTCTCATTAAGACGACATCTGCTGGGAGTGGGCGTTCCCCAACCCATATCTCACCACTGCACTAACAAAAGCTCCAGTAAATCCCCACGATGCCAAAGTGCGAGACTGGAATCTCTTTCAATCTCCCATTCCTATAACCTTGTGCAACGATGTCGCCGGTGTGATCACCGCTAAAGGTGATAAAGTCTCTAACTTCCAACTCGGCGATCATGTATTCGGATATCCTAGTTTCGTGATCGATGCCCAGGGATCTCAAGAATATGCACTTTTGGAAGTGGGTTGTTTTGCCAAAGTACCAGCGAATATTACGGATGATCAAGCGGCAACATTTCCTGTAAATCTATTTGCTTCTGCGGTATCATTCTGGTCTGAAGAAGCTTTTGGATTTCCAGCTCCGTGGGTAGAAGATAAGACTTTCGATGCTTCCTCCCAAGCTGTTGTGATTCTCGGTGGCGGAACCAGCTGTGGAAAATTCGCCGTGCAAGTTGCGAAAATCAGTGGATTTGGAAAAATTGTTGTGGTTGCATCGAAATCAAACACCGAGGAATTGAAATCCTATGGCGCAACCCATGTTGTCGATCGTCATGGTACAGACTCGGAGGTCAAGGCCCGTGTGCAAGAAGTCGTCGGTGATGAAATCATTTACGTGTATGATCCCATCAACCTCGAGCATTCATTTGCCATTTCTCTGTTATCCGAGAAAAAGAGAGGGAAAATCATAACATTGTTACGCATAAAGCCATCTTCTGGGAACTACGATATTGCTCAGACACTTGGGAGACCTCAATTGCATATGGATTTCTCCAAAGAATTCTTCAAGCTATTGCCTGGCTGGGTAGAGTCTGGAGAAATCAAGCCGCTGGGCTTTAAAGTTTTGGAAGGGGGTTTGGATGTAGATGCGTTCAATAAGATATTGGATGATCATCGGGATGGTAGGAATCCTGGAAAATGGCATTTCCATCCCAATGATGCTTGAATTATAGATGAAGGAATATATGAATAGAGAGACTTGGGGTTATTCCTATCAAAGGACCCGCAGATTCAACTCGTATAGAAATAGAAATGTCCTTTTTCTTGATACTACATCATTAAATGAAGAGATTAATACGCCTATTTCCCATCGAAAACCACTTGATTTCTCATGAATTGTGTATACCTATCACTTTCCTCACTCTAGTATCTACATGCGCACTTGCATCCAAACTGCATTACATGAGTCGGACCTCATACTTCTCCATTCTAGTTCCGGTCTACCATCGTGTAAAGTGCTTACCATTGTGATCGAACTCTCATATGCCCAGAACATAATTGAATTTGTATTCTTGTAGCGAAGATGATGAGTTGGTCGAGATATTACTTTTCTTGTCTATCCATAGACTACCATGAAAATACATGACGTTAACGACATTTCCTCCCCGCACAAGCTGAAGTATAGACTAACAACCAACCCTCCATAAAAACTTCTACAGATGCGAGAATCATGCGACCACGTCTTCATGAACTAGCTGCGGCTCAACAAAAATTCCATGTGATTGGTGCGAACGTATCCAACTCCTAAGAGTGTAATGAAAAGGTACTCAAATCTTCTACTATTCGGCTTTTTCTTTCTACTTAAGTATGAAAGTATGGTAGGCTCAAGAGCCAATACCTTTATAAACTCTGTATCCACCTTTGGTGTAGCAGAATGTGTCGAAAGAGGTTATGCTACTGAACCAAGCTAGTTCTTATTTCTTGGCATCGAGGTTCTCAATGATGACGACGGCTGGCTGCTGAGTTTCTAAAGGGCGAAAGTCGTGAGTATCATAGATATATCGTTTATGGATATCCAAGAAGAAATGGTAGGCTGCCACAGTGTATGTTTAGATTCTCAATTGGAGGGAAGGTCGGCGATCTCTCTTTCGCTTTCCTGTCTAGCTCCGCTGCAAATAGTGACTTGATAGCTCTGAAATCTTTTCTTCCAAGTAAAGGGGTACACCAAGATGATACTGTACTTCCTATTTTTCCTATCTTTCCGGAGTGTCGCAAATCGAAGATGACCTTCACTTGTAGGGAGAGTATCTGGTGTCAAAATCCGTATAACAGACAAATACGCATGCTTGCAAACTGCTCCGCGGTAGTTCGTGTCGTATTGAAACTTATTCTTCTTAAATGAGTAGGCCATGATGAGCAGCATTCTTCTCACTCCTTGGTCTAAGTGGGCTTCCAACTGATGGGTCAAATGCGTCATGACCGTCAAAAGCTCAGAGCTCTACTTTCAAGACCAAAATTCCTGACATTGCATTCCTAGATAGTAACATGTTCCCTTTCAAAAGCTAGTTTGCTCTGGTAGAACGGGTTCGGGAATCTCTGATGTTTGCCCGTTAGTTGCTTTAATTGTTGAACTTCCCTTCGTCTGAGCTGAGTTCATGTCTCAGAATTTGTCACTCAACAAGCTGCCGCGTTTTTCATCGCTCGCAGTTCCAGGTACGAAATACAAATGAATCGTTATATATTCAGCCGACCGACCGTTTGAACTTGAAACCATATTTTCTAGTTAGCTTGGTTCTTGGGCGGCAGTGGCTTCGGTTGTGTCAAGATAAAAAAGCTACTTGGCGTTCTTAGCTGCAGAATTGGCTCTGAAACAATGGAATCTTGGCCATACAAAGATAGAGTGAACAAGCGTATCTAGTAGCGGTATTCGGCGATTTGATTAGAAAAATCCCCTAAATTGATGTGCAAACTTGTGCGGAATCGTCCCATCTAGGCTGCAACTTCTAGAAATGCTTATTTTACAAGACAATCCTTCGCCTTGTCATTGAGGATTGCGAGATTGCTTCCATGTTATTTGATAGTATACGAGATTCTATAGATCATCTATCTCGCATTCCTAGTCGACTGTTCTGAAGAGACAAGGCATGTTATCCGGTAAGGTCCATTCAGTCAAGGTCGGAAGAAAGACACAGGTATCATGTCTCGAATATTGGATGAATTACGGACTTCTGAATCTTTATGGCAGTGAGTGCATGATAAGTGGAGTCACAATGTTGATTTGTAGGTATAAGACAATTCATCATGACGACCCTTGTTCTTTGCCCACTTTCGGGGAGGATTCATGTCCCAGCGAGACTCACTGACTGTTATGAATTCCGAGTATATCCAGGTTCGGAACTATTTTTTCCGCTGTGTTTTGAACTTGAACGATGTAAATTGGTTGAAGGCTTAAGAAAGTTATATTAGCACTGAGTATGGATGAGTATTGTATGATTTTGTATGCGTAGTACGTAATGTTAGCAATAACTTAGGTTTTTTTAACTAAGAGATGGCCGACCTCGTTCTTGGGCACCAAATCTGTAGACATTAGAAATAAGAATAACGACTGCACAAATAGTGCAAACATGAAGACCCGACTATTTGGAACGATCATACCGGGACGGAGCGCTCTCGGAAAGCTTGAAAATTCAGTATGGATACACTCCACATGAAAATATATGATATGATGGGGCTTCATCTAGACCCATGGCATCGTTGACCTATACAAATCTTAGCAGAAACCCGACTCACCACGGTATACAGCTGCAAATACCATAAGGTTATTTGACATAGTTAACAGCAACTGATGTGTAACGTTACTCTGTGGCTGTTTGACATACCTACTGACTCTCAAATATCATCATTACTCATAATAACATGACGACCATACAGATACCATTGATAAACTAATCTTGGGTATTTGAAAGATCAGACCACTTCAACATGAGAAGCCAGCCCTCGTCATCTTCTGCTTAGGATTGTGACTGCCGTAATGAATATCTTGAATGCAGAGGTAAGGTTGGTATGCAAGTTTGACCAATAGCCCCCACTCCTAATCAATGTAGCCCCCCGCTACCTCAACTGGAACTCATAGGCAAAGGTTTATGCTGGTCGTGTCATCTGGATTAACGCGTATCATCGGTCATCGAAGATTCACAGTTTCCCGAATGCTACAACGGAGCATCTGGCTTGAGATCCCATTGGAGAGGTACATTGAAAGGCGAACTTTAGAATCCTTCTGGAAGTGAGAGAATTTAGAAATTGTCAGCACTTGTCTGAACTCAGTACAAGTTTACCAACTTTCGGTGCGGAGTATACCCTAAGTATCCGATGCATATAGTCTGCATGAATGGCTCGCGCGCGGCCGTAAAAATAAAGTAGGGGCGGAAGCGGGCATGCCTCCACCTAGTTGCCTGTCAACTTGACAGATTTTTCATTCCGAGGAAAGTCGAGACTGTAAATGAGCTTATTCGTGCAAATTACCTACCTAGGTATACGTGAGTGTCGATACTTTTCTTATGCTTGAGAATGTCGATGTCAAATTAAAAAATTATCGCCATTGATGTCTCAGACGTCGAAGAGACCCGGTAAACCCAAGGACCATCAATTTCCGACAATATGGTTAAAGTTTAGATTTCCCGTAGGTCGGTTGACGGGTACCAAGGTTGTGATCGAATTATGTTGCATACTTGGTAGAAGACATTTTTGTTGGGAGGAAGGGGTATTTCCAAAGAAGAACTCTGGTCACTCTGGGTGTTGCAAGAGATAGGTAGGTAGGTATGCATGCATGCATATCTATCTTACCCCTCTCTCGGGCTAGGTGCATGATTTTTACCAGCGGCAGATGCGCATTTGGGAGCTATCAAACCATTTGGTTGAATAACTGCAAAGTGCGCAATCAAACAAATTAACTTATATTCCTCATCGGAAATCTTTACTTCTTCTGCAACTTTCAGTGGAGTCTTGCTCTTGAAAACCATGTATGATTTCGCAAAAAGGTGCAGAATGTGTTAGAGTTTTTGATATATGTACTTACTAGGTACTGTGTACATCTCCTCTAGAGTCTGGACAGAGTAGGATCTCTCGTAAGCATCTACGCCCAAATACGATGCAGATACCCAGACATGTATGCTTTCTCTATCAATGATCATAAACCCAAGTCTTCGGAGACGGCTGACCCAGCAAACCGGGAAGGTCGGTCGGCTTATTCTCTTTTAATGGGTCAATGCATGAAATGACTAGGATAAAACTGTGAACGACCCCAAACCCTTTCATCCCAAAGAACTAATCCTTAATAACTTTATGTTGGCTGATCGATTAGCTTCTCCCCATTCTACTCTACCATGAGTCCATCGAATAATACCTTGTCATTTCACACAGACTAGGATGCTTGAACGATGCCAACGCATCAATCAGAGTTCATTTTCAGGTTCGCTGCATACCATTTAGTCTTTCCACAGAACTTCCCTACCCGAACCTAAATTAGCCAATCCCCTGGTCAGTGAGATTTTAAGACATGGCCCACGACCCGGGAATTCGTCTCATGGGATTTGGACGTTTTCCCCATTCTCGTCAAATTTGTCAGTTTGTCTTATGTCAAATTGGTCTTCCTCAAATCTGGTTGCTAATTCTTTGTCGCACTGTACGACATATTCAGTGTCACAAACTATCACACCTACTTGTTATTTTCGAACGTTGTAGCTCTCAACGAACACAATGGCATTAGGAAATTCGGAGACTCCAGAAGAGGTACGATCACTTCGGCACAAGTCCCGTCCCGGATGTCGGTATTCACATATACGTATGACATACTAATCAACCGGATTCATTTTCAGGACGTCAGCCTTACCGCCCGTAGTTATTCTTCTTCCGAAGATGATTTGTAAGTTACCATGTATCTGAGAACTTGTCAAAGTCAATACCATGAAGGATTACAAACGGATTCAAACGAATAGCAGTTAACGATGGTCAACGACAGAGCAGGAGATACTTATTCGATAGATTCGAGTGCGATGGCTTTTAAAATAGAAAATGGTAGAAGATATCAGGCATATAGAGAAGGAGCTTATTGGTAAGTGTTCACTTGTAGATGCCTTCATCTGTTTGATTGTTTGGTTCCAAATTTCAATGAACTTTGAAATCTAATACCAGATAGGCAACCAAATGATGAAGTACAAAGTGAACAAATAGACATTAGGTAACTCGATATTTACAAACATACAGAGAAGCTTATTGATCAAATTCAAGTCATCGACGATATCTAACAATGTTGGATGGCGCCTTGTATATGGCACCAATACCGGATAACGTCGAGGTAGATACAACTGACCTCGAGACAAATTCACGAAAGAACTAATATGGTAGAAAGCGAGTTCTAGATCTTGGAACAGGTACGGGAATATGGGCAATTGACTTTGCTGACCTTTTTCCAAATGCGTCGGTCCTTGGGACAGACCTATCACCAATCCAACCGGACAGTAAGTAACTTTAATTTATTCTTTTGACAAATTGAGCCAGTTTTGGCTCATGAATCATCCGCTCTTCAAATGCTATCATATTTCATGACTTCATGACTCCATACCTTCCAGCTTCAAAGTCCTCATTTCTTGTACATGTACTGACTTTAACACTCTCAGTGGTTCCTCCAAATTGCAGGTAAAGTATTTGACAATCGCAAACAACCCATATAATCATAGCGGCTAATCAAAGTTCCCCAGGTTCGAGATAGATGACTGCACAGAAGAATGGACGTATCCGCCAAATTACTTTGATTTTATACACATACGTTCGCTTCTCGGTAGTGTTGCTGATTGGGACAGATTATACGCACAAGCTTTCAAGTAAGGCCTCGTACACATACCCAAAAAATGTAAATTCCAGTCGTCCTAATCACAATTTTAGACACTTGAAACCAGGCGGATATATTCAGCACCTAGAGCCATCATTATATATACATTGCGATGACAACACTTTACCGCTAGATAGCCCATTGTATAAGTTCTCTGAGGTATGTAGGTATCAAGAAGTTTCATCCAAATTATTTCTTCTGCCAAGTTAATGTACGACTACTAACTTCAGACGGTTTTCAATAGCTTTTCAATGAAGCTGGAGAACGTACCGGACAATCATTAGATCTGTGCGCGACAATGAGCTCAAAAATAGCCCAAGCTGGGTTCATTAACCTTCATGAAAAGACACATAAAACACCATTAGGAGAATGGTCATCCGATCCGAAGTTACAAGAGCTAGGAAAGTGGAATTTGTTACAATTTGATGTTGGATTAGAAGGATTCTCCATGCAACTCCTCACAAATGTAATGGGGGTGAGTTCGGTCCTACTACATGAAACTTCACAAAGGAAAATGTTCGTCACTTGAAATATGAAACTGATGAACTGATTAGATGACTTTACCTGAGGTTCAACTATTTTGGTAAGTTAAGTCTCCTACTCGACGAGGCCATTTGGAGTCCAAGAGAATTGACGTATGTATAGTGCTCAAGTTCGGGTTGCGGCTCGAGATCGAAGAGTACACTCGTACTATCCACATAAATTGGTTTACGCGCAAAAACCTCTATAAATTCTCGCAAACAATAAGATCGGACGACATGTCACACGAAAATACGATGTCGCCTTACGCAATCCAGTTTCCGGTTTACGGCGCCAGTGACCAAGTGTATTAGAACATTTCACCCCTTCATCATTCTATGATAAGCGATCCTCGTAGTTGATGACGGCAGACGATAAAACAAAAGTTTTCTAGGCGAATCGTCATAGGATTCGAGGCAATTCATTTTTTGTATACCGGATGAATCATATGGTCAAATTCTTGAGATCAAGATACGATAGACAAAATGACAGAGTTGATGGGTTAAGTACAACACTAAGTACGATTGAAGATTTAGCATGACTTACTTCTTGTACTCCTTGATGCTGAAATAGTTCAAATTTGCCCTGTACATATTATTTCATTTATACTAATGGGTCTGCTGGGGTAGAGTTGGATCCATTGAATGCTAATTCTTCAATACATTTGTTGAATAGGTATCATACGTAAAATACCTTCACTTTTGATCTCTGGCTTCGAGTTCTTGGGTTGGGTTCTTGCTTTGAATTTTTGCTTTTGTATCTGCCTTTGTATTCTGCCCTGAGTTCTTGTTTTGAGATTTTTCACTACCATTTTCTTTTGAACCTCCAATTTAACGTTGCCCAATCCCTTTTGACGATACCAATGAGTCTCGAATGCTCATTTCTTATCTACTTTACCAAAGTCGGTGTGATGTCTGTGCATACCTTGACCATAGATACCTACCGAGCAAGTACTCGGAAAATGCATTGACTTCTGAAACATGAAATGGGGATATCCTTCGTCTGTATTCCTTAGTTACTTGCAGCTGATTGGTTCAATCTAATCTACAAGCCTGGGAAGCTTACAAGTACATTGTTTTCAAATCACCGCCAAGCTGTCGACTTATCATTTCAAACACCATCGCCTCGTCAGCGATTACACTTTCCATTACTTCAAACCTGGGCTCCACGTCTCCCAAACAAAAATTGTCCAAAATATAGCATTTTTCTTCTTTACTTGTATTTTCTGATTCAAGAAATCTTCAAGCAGGTATTTCCTTGCGCATTTACTTCACTTCAGACGACATGTGATGCTACAAGTGACGAGTATCATGCAATGAACCTAGTGGCATCGGCGCCGTTTCTTTTGACAACCACTACGACTAACTTTCTAGAATACTATTCTAAGAACCCCCAATTGAATGGACGAGTCCACTAAATCCACATCCCGTACAAATGGGGACGCCGCGGCTCCGCTATCATCGTTCTCGATGTAGCCCATTCATCAATCTCAGCCTGAAACTTGTGGATCATTGCATCTATATGAATATTGATGTAAAAAGCTTGGAGCAAGGCACATGGGATACAGCAAAGGGTATTGATTTTGGGAGTTACATCCACTTTTTTCACTTCTGTTAAATATTGCTCGAATATGCAGTGATGGAAACCTTTTTCTTCTCACCGTACATTCATCAAGCTTCTTTCTACTTACCTCCTTTTCCCTCCTCAATATATCTTCGGCACATCGCTGGCGAGTCCGTTAAGACTTTTCTTCGATTCCTTAGAATTTACATTCGCTTTTTTATTGCTTTTGTTGTTTACTGTGTAAACTTGGAATCATTCGATTGATTTGTTTGAAGTTTGATATTTTACTTCCTTTTTGTTTTATTGGTCGAGGAATTTCATCTGTTTTACATTCAAAATGGTTGGATGGGGTGTTCTTCAGGATCCAAGGTATCCAAATATTCCCGGAACCGTAAATCTTGGAGAAAGTACTGGAGCTGATGGTTCATGTGAGTGCATTCCATCTCTGTGGAACCAGCCGAATGTACTGACAGTATATTAGCCAAAGAAGCTAATTGGGATTATGTTGAGCCAAAGAAGAGGGGTGAGATTGTTCTCAATCCTCAACCTTCTGAGAGTCCTAATGATCCTCTGAATTGGTATGTTTGCATGTTACTATTACCAAGAAGTCTTTCCACTAACATGTTGTTAGGACTACTGCTACCAAAATGGCCATTCTTCTCATCCTAGCCTTAACCGCAGGTGTTACTGTCTCGTATGTACTATCTACCCCCGCTAGATATATAGCCCAATCTAAATAAAACTTCATAGACTAGGTCCAATGATTACCACCGGTTCCGAAGATGTAGCAAGAGCTTTCGGTGTCACCACCGATCAAGTCTCCTTCAACATTGTTGGAATTATGCAACTTACAACTGGTTCCGGTACATTCTTTACTGCCGCCGCCGCAGCCGTATGGGGAAAACGACCAGTTTTCATCGTGTCGACTATTGGATTGTTGGTCACCAATATCTGGGGTTTCGTTTCCACTAGTTTCATGTCGCTTTCCATCATGCGAGCGGTTCAAGGTTTCTGTGCTTCTTCCTTGGAGACACTCGTCAGCGCAACGGTTTCCGAGATCTTCTTTGTTCATGAGAAGGGTAAGATGTTGAGTGTATGGAATTTATTCGTTATGGGTGGTGTGAAGCTTGGGTATGTTTATTCTGCAATATTAACATAAACATTGTTCCAAATACTAATTGTCTCCCAGTCAACTCATCGCAAGTTTCATCATCCAATCCCTCGGATTCAAATTCACCTTTGGCATCTGCGCATGCATCTACGCCCTGATCATCCCCGCTATGTATTTCTTCGTCCCCGAAACCCTCTACATTCCCCAAACCGATCCGCCCACTCAACTCATCGTCGACAAAACCGAAGGCCGAGTCTACGAAATCGTCCTCCCAGATCTGAAAAAACCCCTAAAAGAACGTCTCTCCATCTTCAACGGTCGCATCTCCCAAGCGAGTTTCTGGGCCCTCGCCGCTAAACCCATCCCGCTCGTTACCTTCCCCGCCGTCATATTCAGCGCTTTTACCTATTCATTCTACGCCGCCGGTCTCACTCTCATCGCTCTCCTCCAAGACACCATTTTCAGCGCGCCCCCCTACAACCTCTCCACCTCGGCCATCGGCCTCACCAACCTCCCCCTCTTCGGCGTCGGACTCGTCGGCACCCTCGCCTCGGGCTACTGCGCCGATTTCGTCGTCCAATGGATGACCCGCCACAACAACGGCATCTACGAACCCGAATTCCGTCTCGTGCTCATGTTTGTCGCGGCCTCCCTTTCCACCATCGCCTATATCGGGTTTGGATATTCCGTCGCCGCAGGCGCATCCATCTACATCCCGATTGCCTTTTTGGGGATCCAGACCTTCGCGGTGCCGTTCGCAACCAGTAGTATGTTTACATATGTGATGGATTGTCATAATCGGTTGGCGCCCCAAGCGTTCGTCACGATGAATTTTATCAAGGCCGTTTTGTCGCTGGTGATGAGCGATTCTGTGAATGGATGGTTTGAGACGAGTGGTGCGAAAAGTGTGTTTACCACGGTGGCGATTGCGAATCTGGCGGTTTCGGCTTTTGCCATTCCGATGTATGTTTTTGGAAAGAGATTGAGGAGTAAAGTTGCGAGAAGTGCTTTTCATCAGAAATTCTAGATTTTTTCTTCTTTTTTTTCTTTGGATATTTTCCTTGTCGGTACATCGCAAAGAACATGTCTCTTTCTCTCATTTGTTCTTCACCGACACTTTAGCAAGCGGGATTGACGATTGGCGCATGGGATTTCACGTGGAAGAAAACATTTTTTACGGATGGGAAGGAAACGCCGGACGTTGAATGATGAATATATATATGTACATCAGGGGATGGAGTTTAAAAGGTTCTTGATACCATTACCTATCCTCAATCATTCTTTAAAAGATGTACAATACAATACAATACAATACACTACAAACATACATACATAGGAAAAGATCGTCATTATGATGACCAGAGAATAACACAACCCAGAACAATCAAATAAATGAATTGGAATGTCACTGTGCATTGAAGGATATGGTGTATGCATCCGATATATTAAAGTTTATGCCTTTATAGATATATAGCCCCTCCGTGATGTTTGACCCTCTCTCGCTAATTTAAACGTTCGTCCCTGATTTATGATTTTCATCTACCTAACTAGATATGGAGTTTGACATGAAACTGTTTATAGAAATAGGAAATGATGTATAAAAGATGAGATATTGAATAAATAACGAGTATTATTGATTATGCTTGATGACTTCTTGCATAAATGTAGAGGTTGTAAGTTACGTGGAAAAGAGAAAAGACTGATGACTTCGATTAGATGTAGAAAATATTAGGGTATCGGAAGATTTGAGATGAAACAAATACTGGTTTTCCTTTGCGAAACAGAATCATAAATTTAGATGATAATGCAGACTTGCGATGAATTGGGGTCTAGATCGGATGATAGTAGGTGACATGAGCATGAATATCTCAATAACAAGTTATGATAGCAAATATGGAGTCTGTCAATTTTGTGAAATTTTGTGAAATTTTGTGCGGTCAACTCTGAGACTACAGAGTATTGTTGTTTGAAAAGTCGAGATCAATTGCAATCCCGCTGCTGTTGAAGGAATTTTATCATCTCAAAAAAATGGACTCGTGACTTGTGAGAATGAGCACAAAATGTCTAAAAATGAAGATAAGTCATTGAATAGATTTCAAGTTCGAGATGGAGGTATCCAGATTGACAATTGAATGGTATCGCAGTGAATTATACTCTCAGATATAGAGCGAGATACTGAAAAAAATATCCCACGATACTTCGAGCAAAGGCTGTTATATGTATGCAGATATGCGCCTGGAAGCAGAAAAGAAAACGGAGGGAAAAAAAAGGCAAAAAAGATGTCAAGTTCAGGTCCATGGTTAGTGTTAAGGACTGGGAGGGAATATACTCACTTTTTCCACCACATATCCCAACTGACCACTATTCACGAGGAACAACCCGTAGCAGGCCTGCGCCAGCTTACTGCACCACAGTGGGGATCGCCGCTACACAAGCCGTCCTACCTATAGCTTTTGAGGGTTAGTGATTGGGGGAAGGTTTACGGTCTACAAGTATACCTATCCTTTTTCTCCCCTAATGACCCTTGGTTCTTGAGAGCATGGTACGCGTCTTAGTGGTCGACCTCCAGGGATTGAACTAGAGAATTTGTTAACGAAATCATTCTCATGAATTTCGCGAAGTGCGTAATTGACCACTAGACCATGAACTTGAACTTGGCTGTATTTTCAGGAAGTTGTCGTATCAAAGACTATATTGTATTGTCCTTTGTTTGATGGGGAGGAAGTGAATATTTGTGGCTGTGCCGAGTTGAAGATGGCGGCGAGCCCTGCTCATAAGAAACGAACCGCGAAGCGGAGCGGCTAACGGCGGGTAAATTTGATGTTTTTCTCAGCTTTCATTTCTATCATCTAGGAGATTGTGAGGAGCCGAGAAGAGTATTGTTCGCGTATGTGGTTCCAAACTGCCGTGAATCGACATCTTCAGCTTCGATGATGGAGGTACAGCAATCATACATTTGAAGTCCTAACTTAAACAATCAAATTACAGTTTCCGTATCGTATCGTATCCTATGGGTAGTAGGTACGATTTGCTTAGAGCTTTGGTGGAGTGCCGGAATTGGAGGACGATTCGGGGCTTGGTGGAATAAGGACGCAAATGGCGTGAATCCAAGGAGAGTGCGTTTTTTGACTTTATGGTCCAACCCGCTATCTCACAGTTGATACCCCTCTTCCGCATTTGGCACTCGGTCGTGCTGCTTCTTGGGGCTCGAAACCTTTCAGGGTTTTGACCTTGATTGATCAGACTTGATTCCTTATCAGTCCGCACCGGGATATGCATCACCTGCAGAAACTCCACACTGCCCATCGCAGCTCCAGATTCCGCTTCATATTACACTAGAAGATCTCGAGCTCCGTGATATATGTATCGATGGCCAAGACCAATTCTTACGCTAAGCAATACGAGTGTAGAAGAGAAGTATTTCTTGACATGGTTTTCGTGAGCAAAAGGGTGCAATAAAATCGATGACTGGTTATTTGATATATCCTCTCCATATACAAACGCTAAACTTACATTTCTGGGTGCGCAAAAGTTTGTGCTTGCTTGATTCAGGCTTTGAGGATTCAATCTCTCGTGTCGGCGCCATAACCACAGTTCAACCCTTCAGAAAGGGGTCTAACGCTACCATTTTTGTCAGATTTCCATAACTCTTGATATCTATCAAAGACACGAGAGCAAAGTATTGCCGCCAAGAATGGAATGGTGATCTCCGTAACTCCTAGGAGGAAGGAAGAAGCACGACTTTAGCCAGGCCACCTCGTTCCACGTGATGTGGTTACTCGAAATGGATTACCCCGCACAAAAGTCGTCTCATATGCGATGTAACATGCATGGGGTAAGCAAGCGCGGAAAGAGAAGAGAAACATCAATTTCACATTTCAACTTCTGATTTCCTTTAATCCATCATGAGAATGTCGAGCGATTTGTGAGAATTCTCGGAATCGCCTCTTGGGAGAATATTTCAACATTTCAAAATTCCTGCCTCACCATCCACTCTCAATGAAACTTCTTCCGCAGTGGTTGGAGTCGAGAGAGTTGACCGGAGCTCTTGATTTTAGTACTTAGGCTACTAGGTATTCCAAGTACATGCAAATCGAAAGTCATCTCGAAACATGCTATACTGCTCCATGGAAGCTTTGCTCAGAGGATTCATGTCATTTCAATATTGAGAACGAAACCTCGAATATGAATACAAACTCTAATCCGAGTACGATGGACCTTCACGGGCACCTACCGTCATAGAAATTGATCGTCGTGTTGAATGTTGAATAGATGTCGTCGTTTAGGAATCTGTGAGTCAAAGCATCATCTTCCTGCTGTCTTTTGTCTCCTTTTCGAAAGCTAATGTATGCGACCATGTATGTTCTTGAAGGGATCACAGGTTGTCCTCGGTATTGATGATGGAATGTCGATCGGCAGAAACGGACCCCGAATCTATCCCTCTGAAAGCGAAAGACCCTATAAAACATATCGATCCCAGGCCTTGTCCGCAGTCCTCGGCACACAATTTTCTAGCAAACACACCAATTCCATAGTCCAGTCAGACAATCCAAATCCTTCCCATCGAATCAAAAATCGATCTCCGTTCATTTTTCGTGATTCACATATCCAGAGCAAGTAACGGTCTTGACGGCGATATCAAATCGAGTTGGCATATACTTGTGTACACGTGAAAACATCGTTGGGCAATATTCCTCTTTTTTGTTTATTTTCCGAAAGTAGCCACGGAAAACGATTTCCTTGGGTCCTGGATTCAATAAGTAGTGCCCTCCAAGTGGCGGACACTTGCTTAATATTCCAGTAGTACAAGCCTTATCAGACTCTTCAACTACCCTGCTAGCAGCTAGATCCATTAAAGATCTTAAAAATTGGGTTTACCCCCACGAAGAGACTCCCCCCACTGCTGAAGTTTTACACTTTTTATTGATGAAATGATTGAAAGTGGGCAGAATTGTTCCGTGTCCCCAAAGTTCATTACCCTTCCAGCTTAAGATTCCCTAATCTATATAGTATTATATAGGTAGTCAAAGGAAGGTTATATTCTGACATGGCTAATATGAAGTTACAGAGAAATGAGAAACCACATCAAATTCAAATATGAATCTTACCAAGCTGGTATACTGCCCCTAGAAGAAATCCGAAATTTTCCGAACGGGATTCAGGGGCCAAGACAACAACCAGCACAACAATTTCCGCCAAATATATCGAAAATCATGTGCTGGAATGACTCTTTCTACTGGTCGATTCATGATACAACATCAAGATCTGTTTCCTAATTTGACCTTTCTTTTGATTTATCTGCTCTTATAAAAAGTGGGATTTCAATTGTGCAAAATGACTCGTGGCAATTTTTGGTGCATTTATGGCGCACGATAGCTGGCGTAAATAGTCTCGGGTAAGATTCTACTGTGTGACAAGCTTATTAGCAGGGATGAAAACTCTCAACGTCAACCAAAAAAAGTATTGACGACACGCACCCAATGTCTAGGAATCCCGAGAGAGAGAAAGAGGCAAAAAAATAATATCGGGTGGTCAGACAGTAATGGAATTAGCAAGAGCCGATTCAAGTGAGTTGAGTTTAAAAAATTTTCCTTTACAAATTGTCTTTGCTTTTTTGTGTTGGACTCGTGTAACAAAGTGTAGAATTCTTATGTGAGATTGATCATTCAACGGTTTGATGAGATCAGCTCGATGTGCTCTCTATCTGGGCCCCTCTACCCAAGTGGAAATTTTTGTTTCTTGTAATATCTCCACCATTCCGGTATTTTCTCTTGAAGATATCTTGCTCGGAATCCACTTTGTTTCTTTTTATACCCTTTTACTACATAGTGCGGTGGTTGATATCGGACGAGATAAATCTCTCAGCCTTGCATTTCAGTCACAGTACTCTTACACGAATTCTGATAGGAGGATATTATAAATCGAGCGGGCAGACCCACATATTGCTGTTAAAATTTTGGAGATTAGTGACGGCACGATTCATATTCACTCTTTAGAATCGGGAACTTCCTGAATATTCAGGAACAATTAGTTGACACCGACTTTCAAACGGAGCTAGATCAGAAAAGGTGTCCTTAGCTCATTTTTTCTTGATTCTCCTTCCGCCCTTCCCATTCCTTCCCACACTCACACCAAGTCACAAAACTTCTTTTGCTTGTCAACACTCGAAGTCTTCCATCTCCACTCATACACCTATCTCCAAAAAACCTCATTTTTGAGTTACTTCATACACATCAATACAATGGCCGCTCGTGTTGCTCCTAAGATGGCTTCCCTCATGGGATCTGCTTCCGCAAAGGTTGCCCGCCCAATGGTTCGATCCAACCTTGGTGCTCAACGTACCTTCACTGGTAAGCTTTAAGCTTTTAATACCTCCACGTTGTCAATTATCAATTGAGGTTTCGTCAAGCTTCAGTAGCTATCAATATAGCTTCAATTGTTTTACGATTCGATACATCTATCATCGTCTTCATATACCTATCATCAGATTTCAATGGACAAAGAACATCTCGCTAACAAATTTTTCTTCCCCACACAGCCATGAGCAAGTCCTCCAAGACTGCTTTCCAAGCCGTCAAGCGTCAACAAACCAGCCAAATCCTCTCCAAGACCACCCAAATCTCTGCCCGCCCATACTCCTCTGAAATGGCCAACGCTCTCGTTCAAGCTTCCCAAAACCTCGGTATGGGAGGTGCCGCTATTGGTCTTGCTGGTGCCGGTGTTGGTATCGGTCTCGTTTTCGCTGCTCTCTTGCAAGCCGTTGCCCGCAACCCAAGCATGCGTGGTCAACTCTTCTCTTACGCCATTTTGGGTTTCGCTTTCGTCGAGGCCATCGGTCTTTTCGATCTCATGGTTGCTATGATGGCCAAGTTCTTGTAAATATGTCGTCATGTCTGGATGAAGTGGGGAAGGGATGTGTATAAATATGGTGGATGGAGATGGGGAATGAAGGTGGTGGTATAGATCAACGGTGCATTGTTACATCACGGGCATTGCATGCAGTTGCATATAGATGGTTTGGATCGATGATATAGAAAGATCGATGCTCCTTATAGACGGATTTCCTCTCTCATTGTATTAGAGCATAGAATTTCTAGATTAGACGAACATACAGACAGATGATGAATTGACCTTTTTCTCAAAGGGTAGTTCCTGTAAACTATCAATGAAGAATGTATACCAATCCCTTCTTTTACCTGTGCTATGCATGTTGCGATTTTTATTAATCTAGACCTTAGACTCGGGTCTTGGAGTATCTGGGGCCGTGGCTAGGGGATTTCCTCAAAAGCCATCAGGTACGTTATGTTATGTATGTATTGTGTTGCATGTTTGTATGTATATGTGATTGATTTGTTTACTTTTTCCTCTCGGGATATCTCGGGTGAAAAATTTTCACCTGGGTGTTTCGGGGCTCGGGGTGTGGTTGGTGAAGCAATCCGTTGTTTTTGGCGTTATCTATCGATAACGGTTGAGGCTTGAGTCTTTAAGGACGGACTTTTGTGCGTCGTGGTTGGCTCGGATTTCCAAGGTTATGGGTTGGGATTGAGAAGCGAAAACGTGATGAGTGTTCATGTGATGGATGGGGTTTGTGGGTGGATCGCATCACGTGGGGACTGGCTTGGTTTGATTTGGGTTGATTTGATTTGTTTATATTTAGGCACCTAGGTACACGCATTATGGCTAATCGCTCATCTTGAGACTTGTGCTCGTGCGAGGAATGGATAGATTTGGAAATGTAATGGGGGGCGAGAGGAGGGGAGAGAGAGGAATGGATGTTGGATGTTGGATTTCTTGGCGCTGGTTGGGGATGGGTAGATGGAAGGCGGGCCACGGGGATGGTCTAGAGATCGTGGGAATGGGTATTGAGGTAGGGAATCAGAGGGAACAGGAATAAAAGGGGAGGGAGAAGTTTAGGGTTGGGGATTGTGGATGGCGCTTGGGAAGTCGGGTGTTGGAGGAGGGCATCGATGAGGTGGGTTGGATTGCATGTTGTGTTGTTGAAATCTGTAAGTGTGTATGGATGGTATACTGCATCTAGAGAAGTTCAGTTTGTCGATGCTAGGAGGATGGGAGGATATGATGTAGGTATTTATATACTACCGAAACCTTGGTCTATTTGAGAATGCATCCTCAGTTAATCTGTTCAATTGATATTGTATCAAATCCACATGAAAAGGAAATCAGGAGATTGACATTCATAGAAGCAAGATTAAGTTAGGATACATGGATGCACTCCATCTAAAATCTTAAAAAGAATCTTCATACTGAATCGAAGTCATGAAATCGTAAATCATACATTTAAACCCCAGGAGAATCATCTCGAAAGTAAAGACAGGATTCCCTATAAAAAGGGACAAGAAAATAACAAAGCCAAACACCGTCCAATGCAACTACATCATCACCAAGTAAATACCAACCCCTAGAAGAAAAATATAAAAACACACCACGCTATGCTAACTATGCCAAATCTTCCGAATACCTATTCCTTCATTCCCATCAACATCCAATCCAACCCAATCCCATCAATTTATCTCAATCGGAGCCGGTCCATAAACCGCATTCTTAGAAACCTCCGCTACATTAGCAAAATCCGACCCCTTAGCCAAAGCCGCCAAAGTCAATCCATTACCCGTAGCCCCATTAGCAGCACCAGCGTCAAACTCAAATTTCGCAGTAAAAACAACCGTTTTTCCATCTGCTTGTAACCTGATACTTTCGAAAGGTTGAACCACAGGTTTATTTTGCTGATTGATATAGACGAGCGAGAGACCCTTGCAATTTTCTCCCCAGGTGCTGTTGTAGTCTTGATCCGCGGTGAGCTGGAATGAGAATGTGATGATGGTGTCAGAATCGATGGTATCGGGTTGAGAAGCGGTGAGTTTCTGGAAGGTTTTGAGAGGGATGGTATCGCTATTTGGACACGTTCCTTCAACGACGAAATTCTGGTTCAAAGCACTGAATGCGAAATCTCTAGTGCTGGCTGTTAAGAAAGGAAGAGCGGAGGGGATTTTGTGAAGAATTTGTCTGAAATATCCATTTTGTTCCCCTTCTTGTCCGAGGGACGCGGCAACACCACGGATGAACTTGGAATCACCGTTGGTACCGAACACGGTTTGGATATCTCCTAAAGTACCCATGGTTACATCTGTGAAAAGAGATGCTGTAGCTATAGCTTGCTCAAAGTTTGCAACGTCGAAATTGTATTGACATGGTTGAATGATAGCATTGGTATCATTGGTGAAGCGAACGATAGCTTTTTCGGCATTTAATGAATGCAGTTTTTCTTGTGCAACGATTGCGTTGAGGTTTGTAAGTACTGTGTCTCTACTGTCTTGACTATCAAATGTATAACCTGGGACATTGTTTGTGATGTTGAAGGTAAGTTCCTCGAAGAATGCGACTTCCATGTTCTCGTTGAAAGCGACGAGTTTGAAATTGGTAAGACTGTCATCTCCACCAACCAATGCAGAAGGAGGAGGGATATTGGAAAGAGAGCCGTGAGCTGCGGTTTGAATTGCTAGTAATGGCCCTGTATTGGTTGCTGTTACAGCTTCAAGAAAGCTATTATCGACTGAGAAAGGAGCTGCGGCGGCAAGGGTTGAGAGGAATGAAATTCCGAAGACAACATTTGAAGTATGCATTAAGAATTATGGACTTTGAAGTTGAAATAAGAAGAAATAAGTGGTTTCTATGAATGAAAGAAGAAAGAAAACTTGCACACTCAAGGAGATTCGTAAAGAGGTAAGGTAATGTTATTGTTGATGAGGTTGTTGATGAAAGAAAAGTCAAAATAAAAACGTGCCAAACGGTCTCCTATATAGCCAGACCATCTCCAGGTCTACTAGAACACCGCCTTATGCTTGTTCGTTAATCGCCAGATTTGTACCATACCTTTCGAGCTGCCTTCAGAATACAATTTAAGATTCGGCCGCAGTTGACATGACCTAAATTCACTTTCTCTTCAAAGCAATCCAAACACCAAAGAACGTGCTTACATGTAAGTAAGATCTGTTTGTTGAACCAATAGTTAAGAAGCATGTTGGAGGCGCAGGAGAACTAGGAATCCACAAATAGAACCCACGCGCGGCTGTAAGCGCTCTTGAATTGACGGTATATGCCAAACTAGAGGGGTGATGATTGGTGAACATGTGTAAATTAGGCGACCCAGCCGACCTCAATGATCGGATATTCTAATTCCCGTTCGCATAGCCACCACCACATGAATGTTTTTCGATTGTAGATAATACAAGGCCCAATAGCTTGTCATGAACTATTGATGTAGGAAGGGCTGTGAAGAGTTGATAATAAATGTTTCAATCAAGATGATGTCGAAATGAACACGTAGGGCTGATGTTTTCAAAAACGTGCATGGTATCATGGAAGGGGTTGATGCCCAGATTTAGGCCGGTAACATGAGATGACAAACAAATAAGGAAAAGAATACGATGAACATCAAGTCGTAATGAATCTTATTGGAAAAGGCTCGTCGTTTTTGGAGTCAAAGTCTCACCTTATTGGTATTGAAAGAGTGTTTCTCAGACAAATTATGGGGCTTGGATGAGAACTAGCGCATACTTGATGTTGAACTCTAGGGACATGGGTAGATAAATTCCCGAAAAAGAAAGGAATACGATTGACATACAGAGTAATCATGCATGATTTTCAAAGTGCTTACTGCAGGTACTATACATGTCATCATGCAGTCACAGTTACTTCCCGCATGTGTATACCAACCTTGAAATAGACACGTCAGTGAAAGATCAGAACGATTGTTGTACCACATCAATGCGCAAAGAATAGGCTATGTAACTAATTCAATTTATTATGGACATTCTCAAGTACTAACATGCACCACAAGACACGCTAGATTGGTTTTGGTACATTCTATGTAAGTGAACTCCAAAGTGTAACTCTTAGTCGGTTTGTTCTGCGTAATTATAACCTATCCCGCCTCCATATCACATGCCCAGACATTTCAGACAATGCGATGCGGAAATGCTAATTTGACTAACGTAACGCAAATCAAACATCCGGCGATGATCAAAATGGCAATCAGCCATTCAGAACAAGGAAAACATTTCTTCGAAATATCGAGGCCGTGAAGTAAGGGTCTTTTGGTGACGAGGGCATCTGCCAAGGCACGGGGAGTTGCAGCTACTTTCTGGGATATCATCTGCTTCTTCTCGTGATATTGTCGCTGTGAGAAACTCTCGACTTGAGATTTTCATCACGTCAACCTCAAATTCTTTGCTAAGTAGTGGAGCAAAAAGTCTTACCACACGTGAAAGTCCGGAATCGGAGTATTAATACCCTGAGTACGCAAGACAACAGTAAGGTTACTGCGCCAATATGATGGCTGGACGTGATAATTGCATTGCCAGGTAAGCGTTGTGATGATAGATTATAGAGTCAAGTGCGGCGACTAGACCGAAGATTTGAATATTTTGAAATCAAAAGTCATCATCACTATCCTCGTCATCCTTTGGTGGTAGCATCTTACTCATGTAAGGACCATCCAACCAATAGCCTAATCTTCGATAATAATCTCTTGTACCAACACCACTAATGACACTTATCTTTGTACTTCCATGCTCATTTCGGGCAATCCTCTCAGCTTCTTCCATGAGTAATGTACCATAACCTTGATGTTGAAACTTTCTTGGATCACGAGCATGCACTGGAACAGCTGAGCCATAAACGTGAAGCTCACGAATTATACTGGTAGGTTGTCCGGTAAGCTCGGGTCTAAAAGTGTGTGTTTTAGAACACTTTCTCAAACGAAGTAATCCGATAAGAATATCTTGCTTTGGATCTTCGTATGCTAAGAATGTCTCCCATCCTTTATTTGCGGTATAATCTCTTCGGACAAGTTCGACCTGAGAAGGACGAATCTTATTCTTAACCTCATTGATACCAACTTCACGAGTTCGAACATCACGGCAAGTAGTACCAAAGTCCTTCATTCTACTCAACGCAAGCTCTCGAAGATTTCCATTCTCAACACCAGATGTGACCAAAGGCATTGGAATATCTCTTTGAACACGATAAATACGAGTCCATGGTGGTACGAGAGCGAGGATGCGAGCAACTATATCGATCAGGGCATTTGGTGTGTAGTTCTTATATCTGCCAGTTCTCCAGAGTTCGTATAAACCAGTTCCACGAATGACCAATGTTGGGTAAATTTTGAGACCATCGGTTCTAAAGGCCGGATTTTCGAAATATTCTCTGAATTGATCCAAATCTCTCTCCATTCCAACATTGGGTAAATCTGGCATCATATGGCTAACAACTTTAAAGCCAGCGTCCTTTGCTAAACAAAATGTTTCTGCGACTGAAGCCACTGTGTGACCTCTGTTGGTATCTCGAGCAACGTCTTCGTATAGAGATTGTACGCCAATTTCTAGACGGGTGCAACCATATCTTAGCATAGCAGATAAATGTGGTTGTAAACAATAATCCGGTCGAGTTTCAATTGTGATACCGACACATTTGATGTTGCTCATCTCACCAGCTTGAACTGCTTCATCTACATTATTTCCTTGATATCCACTAAGCGCGTTGTGTAACTGGGAGATAAACCCATCTCTGTAACTTTCAGATAATGACATGAAAGTACCACCCATGATAATGTATTCAACCTTGTCGACGCTGTGACCTAGAGATTTAATTTGATCTACTCTTCCTCGGGCTTGTTCAAAAGGATCATATCGTGCTCGAATAGCTCTCATTGACGTAGGTTCATAACCGGTATACGATTGTGTAGAATATTCGAAATCGGAATCAGGTCCACCAGGACAATAAACACAAATATTTCCTGTGTATGCAATGTGAGGACATCGATGTGGTTTACACATAACAGCGACAACCGCAATACCAGAAGCACTCCCTGACAGACTGTTAGCCTCGCATATATTCATGCCATAGGAAATACATACTAATTGGTTTTGCGATTAACTTTGGAAGAATATATTTCTTATAGTGTTCTGGAATAGCGGCAATAATAGCAGTCAATGGTGGAATATTACTGAGCCTGTGACGTTTCGACATTTTGGCCCTTAAACTATTCAAATTGATATCCTTCCTCGGCGCATTTGGATCCTGTTGAGATTCATGATCCTGTACTAATGCACTAGCAATATCTGAACATGCTCTCAAGTATCTTTCATTCTCTGGAGGTAAATTAGGATCCTTTGGCTTTCTTTGCCTATCCGACAATGTCATTGTATCGACGATAGTGGCCATTTTGGATTGTGTGGAGATGCAGTTGGTTCAATAAGGTTGCACGTTGGAAGCGATTTTGGTCGCCTTTCTCTTGAGACCTTGCGCAACTTTTGATATCTCAAAATCAAAGCTCTTCTTGTGGTTAATCGTAAAGCTGTGAGGAGTGATGTAGTTGATGCTTTGAAGAAATCGCGGGGTTACCAAAATTAATGTTCTTGTGTGAAATAAAATTCCATTCCAAGCCAAACTACCGGAATAACCTATTAATCCGGCAAAATCGGAGGCCTTGCAAGCGATTCCGTCCGTAACGGAAGAAGCTGGTAAGAAGAAAAGAAGGAAATAATTCAAGATAAACTTCAAATTACTTTCCTGTCTTTCATATCTGACATCAATTGTCCCTCAGACAAGATGCAGGCTTTTTCAAGATGTGCCAGACCTGCGATGCAGGCTGCTATGAGAAGACAAGGTTATTCCACTTCGACCTCTGCTTATGCTGCTACCGCGGAGAACCTTCGTATCACTAAGGATACTAGAGTTATCTACCAAGGTTTCACTGGTAAACAAGGAACGTAAGTATTATCGCGAGAGTCTATTTAGTATTCAAGAAACAAGTTGACAAATCTGCCATAGTTTCCATGCCCAACAAGCCATCGAATATGGTATGTCTTCAGACGAATGATGGGGGAATTGAAAAGATTCTGATATGGAAATAGGTACAACTGTTGTTGGAGGTACGAACCCAAAGAAGGCTGGACAAACTCATCTCGATTTACCCGTTTTCGCAACCGTCGAACAAGCTGTAAAGGAAGCCGGTGCTACAGCTTCTGCTATCTTCGTCCCGTAAGGATCTACCGCAATCGCAAAGAATCTGTGATGGAAGGATGGATTTGGTGCTGATAAAAATATACTTTGCAGACCCCCTCTTGCTGCTGCCGGTATTGAAGAGGCTATCGCTGCTGAAATTCCTTTGGTTGTGTGGTAAGAAGATATATCAAATTTGCATGTGATAGCACTTGTACTAATTGATGATTTAGTATCACTGAGGGTATCCCACAACATGGTATGTTTATATTTGAAGTCTAGGAGGGTAAATCTGACCTCAATATAGATATGGTTCGCATTACAGATATTTTGAAGACTCAAGGAAAGACACGTTTGGTTGGACCCAATTGCCCAGGTCTCATTGCACCAGGACAATGTAAGATTGGTATTATGCCAGGGTTCATTCACAAGCGTGGACGTATTGGTATTGTTTCTCGTTCAGGAACTTTAACGTATGAAGCTGTCAACCAAACTACACAAGCTGGATTGGGTCAATCTCTCGTTGTTGGTATTGGTGGTGATCCATTCTCTGGAACCAACTTCATTGATTGCTTGAAGGTATTCCTTGAGGATGAGGAGACTGATGGTATTATCATGATTGGTGAAATTGGAGGATCCGCGGAAGAAGATGCTGCCGAATTCTTGAAGGATTACAACACTGCTAAGAAGCCAGTTGTCAGCTTTATCGCTGGTATCTCTGCTCCTCCTGGACGAAGAATGGGACACGCTGGTAAGTATCTTAAGATGATACCCACTAATGACACTTAACTAACTCATCTCAGGTGCTATTGTCAGTGGTGGAAAGGGTGGTGCCGATTCCAAGATCTCTGCTCTTGAAGCTGCAGGCGTTATCGTTGAGAGAAGTCCAGCATTGCTCGGAAAGACATTACACGCTGAGTTCATGAGACTTGACATGATTTAAGGATATTATTTGTGAATAGATAAAGGGGCGATGATGATGTGCATTTGGTTTCAATGGTTTTCTTCAATACCTCATTCCTGTACAGCTAGCAATTACCCTATGTGTGCCAGTATAGACTTTTATAGACTTGTGATGGAGCGATAATCTAGGCAAAGATTTTAAGTGATGAATAATTAATTATGAGTGATAAAAATACTGTATATATAGAGCGAAAGCTACCGGATATTGACAACTCTATCCGACCTCGTCAATAAGGCTACCTGAATATGACATACGTCTATTACCCTATCTCGATTTGGAAGAAACAAACTGCCACCTAAAAACATACTCTTTCCAATATCCACATGAAATAAAACAACCAAAATTCCGATTGAATGCTGTACAGAAATATTTGAAGACTTTTGAGCTTATCATCTACATAACCATCTCATAACAATAATTCAATGGCACACCTACATTGTCGAAAGATTTCATTTTAGCCCCTGAACAATGCTGAAAGGGATGTTCGGTAAATATTGCACTGTCTTGAGCTTGTCCTCTAGATCTACTGCACCTTGTAGCTCTCGGCTCCCCACTCCTTATACTCCCTCGATATTTCAATAAACAAATCCTCCTTCAACCACATATAAATCAAAATGCTGTCTGGCATATTGATCTTTAACCAAAAGGGAGAGAATCTAATCTTTCGCGCTTTTCGAAATGATTGTCGACCACGACTCGCAGATGTCTTTCGAATTCAGGTCATCTCGAATGCTCAAGTTCGTTCACCAATCCTTACTTTAGGAAGTACAACCTTCAGTCATGTCAAACACGAGAATATATACTTGGTTGCAATTACCAAGAGCAATGCCAATGCTGCGCTGGTCTTCGAATTCCTCTATAGATTGATTGCGCTGGGGAAAGGCTACTTTGGAAAGTTCGACGAAGAAGCGGTTAAGAACAATTTTGTCCTGGTATATGAACTTCTAGATGGTGAGTGCAATGCGCGATTCGCAAATATCAATTGTGCCGGAAGCTGATGAATTTGCGACATAGAAATCTTGGATTTTGGATACCCTCAAAATACAGAGACAGATACATTAAAGATGTACATCACAACGGAAGGTGTCAAATCGGAACGAACCATGGAAGACTCGGCGAAGATTACAATGCAAGCAACCGGAGCTTTATCATGGAGGAAAGCCGATGTCAAATACAGAAAGAATGAAGCATTTGTAGATGTCATTGAAGATGTCAATCTTTTGATGTCTGCTACAGGAACTGTTCTACGAGCTGATGTAAATGGTCAAATCGTCATGAGAGCATATCTTTCCGGAACACCAGAATGCAAATTCGGACTCAATGATCGATTATTGTTAGATGGCGATAGTCTTTCATCTCTACCATCTGGAAATCGTATGGGTACCAAGGCCACCAAAGCAGCAGCTGGTAGTGTTACACTGGAGGATTGTCAATTTCACCAATGTGTTAAGCTAGGGAAATTCGACACCGACAGAATTATTTCATTCATACCTCCCGATGGAGAATTCGAACTCATGCGCTATCGCGCCACCGAAAATGTCAATCTGCCATTTAAAATTCATGCCATCGTGAATGAAGTTGGTAAAACAAAGGTTGAATACAGTATTGCAATTCGAGCAAATTATGGTAGCAAGCTATTCGCTACAAATGTCGTTGTTAAGATACCTACGCCTTTAAATACTGCTCGAATCACCGATCGATGTACGCAAGGAAAAGCAAAATATGTACCAGAAGAGAATGTCATTATATGGAAGATACCAAGATTTACTGGACAAAATGAATTCGTCTTGAGCGCGGAAGCTACGTTAACAAGCATGACGAACCAAAAAGCATGGTCAAGACCACCATTGAGTTTGAACTTCAGTTTGTTGATGTTTACAAGTTCGGGACTGTTGGTCAGATATTTGAAGGTTTTTGAGAAGAATAATTACTCAAGTGTGAAATGGGTAAGATATATGACTAGAGCAGGATCTTATGAGATACGGTAAATTTGAATCCCAATGACACACAAAGACTTCACTGACAAATTGCAGATTTTAATCAAAGTTATCATTTGGGATGGAGTTCTGGGAAACAATGCATTGCCAAGGCGTCGGAGTAGAAATTAGGAATATAATACAATCTTCGTGTCTTACTATAGTCATTTCTGAGGAGCTTTACTTTGATGGCTTGATCACCCAATTCTCTCAATCAACTTCTCAAATATACACTCCAGTCGTTTTTCTCTTATCCTTAATACCGAACCATACGAAAGGTCGTCTTTTAGTACTCCTCCATCTTATTGATCTCATCGTTGCATCCACCCTATTCTCACTATCTTTAATCTTCTCTCATGGCTTCCCGATAATCTAACCCAACATTATTTCACCGCGACAGATTTCAAGAGGCTACTGAAAGTTCATTTGCCCATGTGTCTTTGATCATATAAAAATCTACCCGGAAATGATTCTCCTTCTGATCTCACGAGAGGGTTGGCTGATATGCTCACATTCATACATTCCGCGTAGCTAATATCAGTTTCGCAAAGAGCGACGTCTTTTGCATTCTTTCCCCCTTTACTTCAATCATTTTCTTTGGAATCTACTCTGATCAATACATTGCCCATCATCTTGGAGTTCGACCTGGCGTTCTTGTCGAGGCAGGATGGTAACTAAGATGGCCACATGCGAGTAGTACTCATAGAGAGTCTCATGACGAGGGAGTAACCCAAGGCATCGCTACAATTTTCTGCATGAGGTTCATTGAATCAGTCAAAGTTTGTGAACACATCGCATGGGCATGTATAAATGATAAATCAGATTCTATGTTAGCCATCGGGTCATCCCTTCAACCACTCTTTTTGGTCTGAGGCTGATGACAATCCGGCTCTTTCGGTATCAATCGTAAAAGGAAGTTCGAACTCGATTTAATATTTGAAAAGGCCACTGCTACTGTCTGTGATCAATGCTCTATCGATACTCAATTCCTGATCAATATCCAATAGTTCAGAATCCGAATTGTTCGTTAGAGCCTGCGTTATAACGATAAAGCTTTTATCATAGTATGCAATAAGAAAATTTAATTACCTAGCTTGGAGCCCCTCCTTATGGCCACTGACGAGTAATCTGGTATTCTCAAATCTTTTTCTTTTTCTTTATCGTCGTTCGAAACTCTAATCTCGAGGAATATTTCTAGTCACCCTCCCTATCTTCGGGTGTAGAATCTCCAGTGGGATTTTCTTTAACACAGGCCTCAGGGTAGCTGTCATATGTAAACC